ACAATGCTACTGTTACACATACACTGACACCAACACCACTATCGCGAAAACATCAAAAAATACAATGCTACTGTTACACATACACTGACACCAACACCACTATCGCGAAAACATCAAAAAATACAATGCTACTGTTACACATACACTGACACCAACACCACTATCGCGAAAACATCAAAAAATACAATGCTACTGTTACACATACACTGACACCAACACCACTATCGCGAAAACATCAAAAAATACAATGCTACTGTTGCACATACACTGACACCAACACCACTATCGCGAAAAAATCAAAAAATACAATGCTACTGTTGCACATACACTGACACCAACACCACTATCGCGAAAACATCAAAAAATACAATGCTACTGTTGCACATACACTGACACCAACACCACTATCGCGAAAACATCAAAAAATACAATGCTACTGTTGCACATACACTGACACCAACACCACTATCGCGAAAACATCAAAAAATACAATGCTACTGTTACACATACACTGACACCAACACCACTATCGCGAAAACATCAAAAAATACAATGCTACTGTTGCACATACACTGACACCAACACCACTATCGCGAAAACATCAAAAAATACAATGCTACTGTTGCACATACACTGACACCAACACCGCTATCGCGAAAACATCAAAAAATACAATGCTACTGTTGCACATACACTGACACCAACACCACTATCGCGAAAACATCAAAAAATACAATGCTACTGTTGCACATACACTGACACCAACACCACTATCGCGAAAACATCAAAAAATACAATGCTACTGTTGCACATACACTGACACCAACACCACTATCGCGAAAACATCAAAAAATACAATGCTACTGTTGCACATACACTGACACCAACACCACTATCGCGATAACATCAAAAAATACAATGCTACTGTTGCACATACACTGACACCAACGCCACTATCGCGAAAACATCAAAAAATACAATGCTACTGTTGCACATACACTGACACCAACACCACTATCGCGAAAACATCAAAAAATACAATGCTACTGTTGCACATACACTGACACCAACACCACTATCGCGAAAACATCAAAAAATACAATGCTACTGTTACACATACACTGACACCAACACCACTATCGCGAAAACATCAAAAAATACAATGCTACTGTTGCACATACACTGACACCAACACCACTATCGCGAAAACATCAAAAAATACAATGCTACTGTTGCACATACACTGACACCAACACCACTATCGCGAAAACATCAAAAAATACAATGCTACTGTTGCACATACACTGACACCAACACCACTATCGCGAAAACATCAAAAAATACAATGCTACTGTTGCACATACACTGACACCAACACCACTATCGCGAAAACATCAAAAAATACAATGCTACTGTTGCACATACACTGACACCAACACCACTATCGCGAAAACATCAAAAAATACAATGTTACTGTTGCACATACACTGACACCAACACCACTATCGCGAAAACATCAAAAAATACAATGCTACTGTTGCACATACACTGACACCAACACCACTATCGCGAAAACATCAAAAAATACAATGCTACTGTTGCACATACACTGACACCAACACCACTATCGCGAAAACATCAAAAAATACAATGCTACTGTTGCACATACACTGACACCAACACCACTATCGCGAAAACATCAAAAAATACAATGCTACTGTTGCACATACACTGACACCAACACCACTATCGCGAAAACATCAAAAAATACAATGCTACTGTTGCACATACACTGACACCAACACCACTATCGCGAAAACATCAAAAAATACAATGCTACTGTTGCACATACACTGACACCAACACCACTATCGCGAAAACATCAAAAAATACAATGCTACTGTTGCACATACACTGACACCAACACCACTATCGCGAAAACATCAAAAAATACAATGCTACTGTTGCACATACACTGACACCAACACCACTATCGCGAAAACATCAAAAAATACAATGCTACTGTTGCACATACACTGACACCAACACCACTATCGCGAAAACATCAAAAAATACAATGCTACTGTTGCACATACACTGACACCAACACCACTATCGCGAAAACATCAAAAAATACAATGCTACTGTTGCACATACACTGACACCAACACCACTATCGCGAAAACATCAAAAAATACAATGCTACTGTTGCACATACACTGACACCAACACTACTTGCGCGAAAACACCACATAACTCAATTCTTTTATGCTAGATTATGGAAAGTGTACTGATGATCCTCATGTGTGTTATTCGCTGCCTACCTTTGGAATTGCTTTAATGTTTCTTCTGTGGTATTTGCATGCGCTGCTGGGTCATGACTGGAGTTTCTTCAGGTTCATTGTAGCGCTAATATTCCTTGGACTCTCTTGTTGAACTTCGCCGCAGGATTTTACCGAAGAACACCATAATTTACATGATATGGGCTTTCGAAGGAACCTCTCATGCCTGCCAACTATTCTCACTGCAAGAGGAAGCTGGGTCAAATCCAGGGACAACAAAAGACCCGTTGACGTCGTTTTCATAGACTTCAGCAAAGCCTTTGATAAAGTACCTCACAAAAGACTGCTCGTGAATTTAGAAAGTCTTGGTATCAAAGGGAGCTTACTAAACTGGCCCATGGAATTCCCCATAGATAGGAGGCAGAGGGTTTGGATCAACTGGAAACTCTCCTTTTGGACAGCAGTACGCAGCGGAGTGCCACAAGGCACGGTACTTGGACCTCTCCTATTTATTTTGTATATCAATGAGTTATCTGTGCTCACCGACTTCCCTATGGTCCTATACGCAGATGACTTAAAATTTTGGAGACAGCTGAAGGGCAACAGTGACAAGTCCACGTTGCAAGAGGACCTCTACAAATTGTCAGAGTGGTCCATAGAATGGATGCTCCCGATAAATGTGTCAAAATGTGCAACCATGCGCACTGGACAAGCAAGCACGAGCTCCTATGAACTAGAGGGAATTACACTTCCATCAGTTCAGACTCACTTGGACTTAGGTGTCATAGTTAGTCACGACTTAAAAACTACAGCACACTGTTGCGCGGTGGCTGCACGTAGTTTCAGGTCATTATGGGCAATTCGTAGAGCCGTCACTAGAATCACCAGAGATATGTTCACCTCTTTATATACATCTCTGGTGAGGTCAAGACTGGAAAACTGGAAAACGAGTGTGCTTCGGTGGCACAGTGGTTAGGACTCTCACCGACCATGCACATGGTCCGGGGTTCGATCCCCTGCCGGCGCACACCCGATATCTATGGTCGGCCTGAATTTGGGCTACCGATATCCATGCTGAAAATTCCACGCTTGTACTGAAAATACGGTGTGAAATCAAGCTGTAAATAAAAAGGAAAAAGAAAAAAAAGAAAACTGCATCCAGGCCGCCAGCCCTTGTCTAAAAGGGGACTCACACATTCTAGAAAGGGTTCAAAGGAAGGCAACACGTATGGTTCATGACATGACTAACTTATCATACGAGGAAAGACTAGACAGATTAAATCTCTTCTCCTTGTCATACCGCAGGCAGAGAGGAGATTTGATTACAATGTTTAAAATTTTAAATAATGACTACGGACCTGACCTATTCTCTCTTTTCCTTCCCATCAGGTCGGAACACCTTAGAGGACATAGCAGGAGAGTTCAAAAGCCAAGAAGAAATCATATTGCTATTGAGTACTGGTTCTCATACCGAGTCATAAACTCTTGGAACCGACTACCAGAAGAAGTGGTGTCTGCAACCTCAGCTGATTCGTTCAAGAAAACCACAGAAATTTACTAGAAAAGGATTAACATAGGCTCCAAGCCTTCTATCCTCAACCAGTAAATCTGATTCTGAATCTGAAATATTGGAAAAATTGAGTGTGCGGTTGATGTAATTCCAAGGTCACTGAATAGCTGCATTGCGTTCTCGTTAAGTAAGTGTTGTTTCTAGAAAAATGTGCGTCGCCACTTGCCATACAGTTATTAATATTTTGGAGTTTAAAATAGTTTCATTATATTGAAAACTGTTACCTTTGGGGCGATTGTCATCAAAGTAGTCAACTTACTTAACAGTAACCCGGAGAAACGATATTGAATTTTGGCGTCGCTAATTTTTTAATGACCTACGGTAGTCGACGGGAGTATCAATGCCTCTTGATTTTACGGATTATGGCCACAATCCTTTCATTATATAATTGATGCCCGGCTCTAGTAAAATACTTCAAGAAATTTCGACGTAATTTTTGGATATGTGGGTCTTGGGAAGATTAGATTTATTGTTTGAGGATAGAAGGCTTGGAGCCCATGTTAATCCTTTTCTAGTAAACTTCTGTGGTTGTCCAAACCCTTCTTGAACGAATCAACTGAGGTTGCAGACCACTTCTTCTGGGAGTCGGTTCCAAGAGTTTATGACTCTGTGTGAGAACCAGTACTCAACAGCAATATGATTTCTTCTTGGCTTTTGAACTCTCCTGCTATGTCCTCTAAGGTGTTCCGACCTGGTGGGAAGGAAAAGAGAGAATAGGTCAGGTCCGTAGTCATTATTTAAAAAAGAAAGCCTATCATTTTCCTAAAGGTCCCAGCAATTGTTTACATCGCTTTGCCGTCAAATTTCGCGAAATTTTGTTTTGCTGCCTTAGCAGCCGGGATACCGTAATGGACAAAGCTGAACTGCAAGCGTCAAAACTACAGTGACCTTGAAAAACTAGTCAATTCGGGTGAAGAAAAGCTGCCAAATCGTTAAAAAATGCGCTAAGAGCATTGCGGACATAATATTATACTAAATGGTTGTCGCTTATATGTCGCTTTAGTGTATGATTAGTTATTGGTGGTTAATTGCTTAGTTTCGTTGATTTATAATCACAGACTACTTGAAGATTGTACGTTAATCTGTGATACATTTCTCACAGTAACTGAGTATTATAATATTTATGGTCAGTAATATTTTATTTGTAGATGACGGATAGTCATGGGTTACCAAATAAACGGATCATCTACGTCACTCCTGAAGAATTCTCAAGTCTTCCGTCAGATGGGCCGATTTACGTCTTATCAACTGCAGAGAATCCAAAACCTACTTCTCAAACAAGTGCATTACAGTCACCTTCGTGTAGTCAAAGCCCACTCCCTACAACTAGCATAGGTACAGGTCTTACAGGCAGTGCATTTACGGCTCTTTCAGTCTCTGGCTCTAATTATTTCAATAATGCCCCATATGCAGTACCATACCAAACTAATGTTATTCCATATCCTCCTCCTCCTATGATTTCAACAAATGTGGTTCCTCCTTATGGACTGTGCTCAACCTTTCAACGTCCATCGTATTCCGCCTGTCAACCAATCCCCTGGTTAACATCAGGCTTCCAAAACTCTACATTCTACAACCCAGCTGGTAGTGTTTTCCCATTATCTCCTCAGTATGTACAACCTTACCATACATTTTCCGGTTTTCAGCCAAGCATCCTACCATCTCCGTTCATCCGGACATTCAATCCGTATCAACCACCTCCATGTTTCTTTTCACCACAGCTTACTGGTAACCCAGACAGCAATATCCAGGCACATGCTGTTGGTACAGTTGCCTCCTCTGCTACTACTGCTACTACTACTCTTACATGTATTCCTACAACCACAAATACGGTTAGCAACACGTGGCGTCGTCCGTTCTCTCGATCAACTGAAACAAAGGGGTATGTGTAATGGTTCTTTTTTAATTACCAATATCTCTAAACACCTATGCTGAACTCGGTATAGGTATTTAACGTCGTTTATGTAGGGGGAAATTTCGACATTTTCAGTCACAGACAGTAGTACAACGTAAATAGCTTCCTTTTTGTTCTCACAACTCTCCACCACTTTCATCATCGTTATTTATAACTCCTTTCTTTGTTTTGTCGGATTTTATTTGAAGCTTGACAACTTAAGCCAGCATGTAAATATTTCGACGTACCTGTGTCTTTACAGCGTATGTCTGCTCAACACAGTTTTTCTCGGAAAAACTTCATGATTTACACTAATACACGACAATATCTATCACTTTATTCAGCAGAAGTTATGGAGGCAGAATAATATTATAAGTCTGCATTCTATAGTACACAAAACCGCGGTTGGTTATTGTTATTAAAACACAAACTTCGTACATTATGGACACCAAGAGATGCACCACACTAGACTGGTTGGCTGCCGTCGTTTTCAGTGCACACAGAGTGAAGAGGAAGTGAAGAGCCATTAAGTAGAGGAGTTGCATTAGTAGAAGGAAGGCATGATAATAGAGATGAAGATGAAGACAAAGATGAGTGAGGATTAGAGAGGTTTCGCGTGCACTTCGGATTGTGAGGGCGATTGTTACTTTCCGGCTGCCCACACCGTGGAAGTTGGTTGCGTGACCGCAGAGCCCAGGGGACAACTGCTTGAGGCCGGTCACACACGGCCTGTTTTTGTTTGTTCTTTTTTATTTGGTGTGTCTCAGTAGCATATTTATCACTTCTGCCCTGTGACACGGCAGCAGGAAGCGCGGTCGTTGTTAATCTGGGCCCCGACCGATCCGGCATGATATTTTGTGATTTATTTGGAGTCATAGGATTGGATTGGGTAACTGCTTTTAGTCTAACCGCTGTCCAAACAACCTTTCTGGCATGGTAGGACCTACAGGAACATAAGTTCCAGCCAGTATAGCTTGTTGGGTCATTGCAGTGTTCAAGCCCGACCACCACGTCAAGGTAGCAGCTTTCGGTCGGGACCACACTAGAAGTCATACTTTGTATAAGAACTGGAGTACTACCCGTACATCCGAACTGAAGCAGGTGGTTATCTTAAGAGACCACTGCACTACTCTGAGCCTTTGGCTTGAAGTCTGATGCACAAGGCATTAGAGCAGTGTCAAGAGCTAGATTCCCATGGTGTCCAGCTACCAAACCAGGTTCAGACACTTCTAAATTATTTCGGATTCTGGAGTCCACGACTAACAGGTTTGTAATTGGTATTTTTCAGTTCCCCTAGATAGACTAACACATCCAACATTCCATTTGCAAGCACCAGACTTCCGGTTTAGCCCTTTCACTTCCGTCAAGGACACCTCCGATGTTCCGTAGTGTCAGCAAATAGGACTTGCCTGGTAGAGGCAATGAAGGCGTGTCCTCATCGGAGAAATTCGACAGGAATACTGAAGTCTACTCACCTTCGGTCGCATCAGGTGGTTTATTGGGGCCTGCACTGTTGTTAAGTGTCATAGACGTAAAATAACAAAACAAGTAGCGAAATGTAAAAAGTGTAAGTTGACATATTAGTTATAAATTTAGACTTCAAATTACTCTGTCTCGAAGAGATTGATGAATATTTGTTTACTTCGCTTTTTCCGTCATGTATTTGTCTAATTACATTTGACAATATTATATTATACTTCACGAATTTGATTTTTTTCGAATAATCAGGAATTCAGAGCCAAATAACTTTAAAGCCGATTCTACACCACTGAAACAGCTGAAGCCTTTACGATATACAAAACTGGTATACACTTCAGAACCGGATTTCTTCACTTTTGACGATACTGTAAGCTCTATATTTCCTTAAAATGTATTTTAAAGAATCCAATATTGTATAGTGTTTTTGTCTCAACTCTTTATATAATTTTACTTGTGTTCATCTACTAATCACTCGGTGATGAGTATTTACATATTTGTGATTTTGTGTTTAGATTTAGGTGGTTGGAGGCAATCGGCAGGAAGCCTTGGACCTAGGTTTCGTGCTAGTTGGCACTCGTCAGCAAGGCGTATCTGCAACCTTGAAGGAACTCATGTCCCTTCTGAGATTCGAACCCGCGTCACCCAGTGCTGCAGTCAGAGACGTTACCACTGAGCTATTCGGGCTCGCGATTGACCTCCTGTAGGACTGTGGTGGATATCTTGATTTGACACTAGTAACTAGTGTGATGCGTCTAGTCCTCTCTTTGGTGCAGACTGAATTCTATCAGTCAGGTTGTAATGTGGCCACCGTGATGGCGAGCTACCTAGAATGGTGGCCACATTACAACCTGACTGATAGAATTCAGTCTGCACCAAAGAGAGGACTAGACGCATCACACTAGTTACTAGTGTCAAATCAAGATATGTGTTTAGATTGTTTAATTGTGGAACATTCATGGGATTAATTCGTACGATACTGTACTTCACACTAAATGTTGTGTTCAGTGCGTTCTAAAGCTTCATACTTACTTTCACGTTATCTGACTGAAAGCGTATGCGGATGGCTATTACCTCCCGGCTACGCACACCCTGGAATTTGGTTTCTCCCTTAAGTACCTGAAACAGAAAGTATTAGTATTGCGTGACTGCAGAGCTCAGGCGTCAACTGCTTCGGGACTGTCACATACATGGCCTGTTCGAAGTGGATTTTGGCGTTGTGTATATATTCTGACCTTATCAACAAAGTGAGAGGGCGAAAGCGGATGCCCAGCGCTCTTCACCGGGTTGACTGTCCATTGGATGACAATCTAGTGGAGATGGCTAGACCCTGATTCCAAACCTCCAACGACTGGCGTATGAAGCTTACTGGAGCTCACCGGCAGACGTATGGACAAGGGCTTGTTGGATGTCCTGGATGTCTGGCCCCATTCAAAAAGGCGTATGAACCGAACTCCGGTCACCGGCTGCCAATGGATAGTGGACTCCCTACTCCACTCCTACTGCCTTGTAGGTCACACTTGGTTGTGTAAAGGCTAGAGCTGCACTCTCAAACAAAAGGCCGAGCGATTCTGGGGACATCACTCGTACCAAATTCCCATGAAACTTCATGAACTCTCTGTTCATGAAGCCGGCTCATCCTCCCGTAGGAGATAGCCGAAGTAAAGTAAAAAAAGTAAGTACCTCAATGTAAGTCGGGATGTACAACTTTCGGGGCCGACCGTTTCTATCCTTCCTCTCCAGACCTAAGTGGTAGCATTGCCGGCTTGCTAGTCACCTGCTGTTATATCCCCTATTCTGCAGCAGTACGACTTCATGACTTACCTTATAGTGGCAACTGCTTTTAGCCTAACCGCTATCCAAACAACCTTTCTGGCAGAAATACTAGTTCCAGAAACGATTGAGTTCGTTGGGTCATTACAATATCCAAACCCGACGATCACGTTAAGGCAGCAACTATCAGTCTAAGGTGCATTATTATTTAATCTTATTTAACTCGATAAAATTGATCACTGCATTTTATTACTGGCTGAATTTCTTGTGCGTGGGTGTATATAATGGCATAATAAAAGTATAATTTCCGTGATCTACAGTTAAAACTGATGTACGACTCAACAGTTCGTCTAATCAGATATCCAAATTGCATCTCACTCATCCAACAGCTAAGGTACTGTATAACATTAAATGTGTTATTTTGCCAAAGTTATCTTATTTTACTTATCTTCATTGTATCTGTGATTTGTCAGCATAAGTAAGTAGCCGATTGTCATTTAAAGGGACATTAGTTCAAATCCTAATTTAGTAGCCAGGAGACATTATTAAGAGAGTGACGTAAGTGTTTGACTCTCTTGCGTACGAGCGTTGTACTTTTTTGAGATAATGCATTAAGGCTCTATTTTTCATACAGAAAGTTTTATTAATCTTATTTGTCATATTAATACATGGTGTAATGCATTACGTTGACATGCCAGTTGTGGAATGAGTAGCGTTTCATGTAGTAATTATTTTGCATGCTAGCTCGAGGTTGTACTTCTAGAACACATTACGTTGTTCTGAAACATGTGGTATGAATGCTCAGCCATCACTTTAGTAAAACAGTTAGCTCAAGTGGGTTCAAGTTAATAAGTTGTAAGCAGTCAGGTCCAAACATAACATCAATCTATAAAACCACTGAATAATGGTACCATTCACAGAAAAATTATTATTATTCCCCTGGGTTCCAAATAGTACGTGGGGCTTCATACGGCATGTCTACATTTTGTCCTGTTCCCTGCAGTTCTCTTCAGCTGAGCCCCAAGATTGCACATTGTCTCTCATCTCCTCCATGTTAACCTAAAACCGATTCCTAACTCGTCGTTTCCCGCGTGGGTTCCACTCGAGTGATGGCCAGGTTAGCTATGTCATTCGATGGTCTCCTCAGTATATGTCCGATCCACTTCCAATTTCTTCGGAATATTTGTTGAGCAAAAGGTTCGTAGCTGGGTCGTTTCCAGAGTTTCTTGTTGCTAATTCTTTCTGGCCATTTGAAATTCAATATGGAGCACTTGTTGGTAAAAGTCTGCAGCATGTTCGAAATACTTTTAGTAACATGCCAAGTCTCTGAACCATTTCGAAGAACTTACTAACTTGACATTCGTGTTAAAAATTCGAATTTTGTTCTTTATGCTGAGTTCAGAAGATTTCCAAACTTATTTCAGAGTGATAAAAGTTTATCTTCCCTTTCCAATACTGGTCTTGACATCCTCGTCCGTGCTGTCGCCTATAGATGAGACGATGCTTCGTAGATAAGTGAAGCAGATAACTTCTTCCAAATTTATTCCCGTTGATGGTGCTTGGTGCTTGTTGTTTTTGGTTAGTTGCTTTCATCACCTCCGTCTTCTCTATGTTCGCTTGAAGTCGTGTCTTTGCTGCTTCTTCTGCCAGTTTGTGAAACATTAAACAAGAATCTCCTGGAGTTTTCCTATCTTTTCAACGTATTCCCGTCTTTTTTCTCCCCACTCATGGAGTGCCCCTTAATCCAGTTCACCACAATTAGGAATAATATCGATCATAGTAAGTAGCCTTGTCGTACCCCTGTCTTCACTTCCAAAGGCTTCTTTGAGTTTTTCGTTTTGGATTACTTGACATGTGGCCTTTTCATGAAATTGATAACCATTTGGGACACTTCACAGTGTTGAATTAGTCTCCAGACTACTTCGTGGTCAACTCTGTCAATGGCTTTTTCAGAGTCTATGGAGTTGAGGTCAAGGTTTGACTGCCCTTTTTGGTCTGTCACGGATGTGTAGGTTAACTGGCTGTCGTCTTCAAGATGCTAATAATCAGTGATGAATTCAGTCCTTATCACAGGAATTCTGAATACCTTCTCTAGTCTTCATTAATTTCTTTCTACCGCTTGATATATACTTGTAGATCAGAGTATCGTCATGTTTTAATCCTTTTTATTTTTCTTCGTGTTTTCATTATGTGCCAACTTGAACTGCTGGATTTTGTATATGACCTTGGTAGCATAAGAACTGCTCTAATTAAGGTAAGATTTATTTAGTAATCGCTTTTAGGGCGACGGGTGTACAAAGTGATGTGATTAAGTCTTTCCATTGTTTTATTTTCTTCCGTTTAATAATAATATCAATAATGGTTATAGTAACATAAACAACAATTATAATAAATTTTCTGATGTCTTGTTATTCATCTAGACTGGATCGTATGTAGCTACTCACAAACTTATAGACTTAGAGAATCAATTTGAGAATGAAGTGATCGCTAGACGTCATCGTGCTACTGTAAATGATCCAGTTAGACAGCCTCCTGAGCGTCCAGTACTTTCAGATAGTGGTGAGTGATTTCTTTTATATAAGCTAGGTAATTTATTTCTATTTTCACCAATTCTGCAATAACTCGTTGTGCTTCATTTCAGTCGGAAAGCAGATAGAGATTCATAGGAAGCGATTAGTCGATAATAAGTTGTTGCTACTGTCTGCATCTCGTTCGTTTCGTTTCATTCGATTTACGTTCCTAGTGGGATATGGAGTTTCAAGCTTTCTAAAATTTAAAGTCTCAGTAATACTTGTGTTGCTTTAACGGGATGAGGTTACTAGCCTCATAGCCAACCTTCCCTTTTTCCGGACATACTGCTGGCTAGGCGAGGTTTGAGAGTGCGTCCATCTGGAATCGAACCCCGGACCACATGAGTGGCCGGTAGGAGTTCCATCGCCAACCGACTATCCGGTCAAATCTTGATCACAGTTCATATGAACTAACTATTAATCTATATATCAGGAAACCTTTGGATGTTTTTCTATAAGGAAAGACTTTACAAAAGATTCATGAAAATCTAAGGGGACACAGTCTTCTGTCACTAAGGTTCACCGAGAGTCTTGAAGGAAAACTCAGCTATTTTAGTAATTTTAACATGTACTGTTGCTCAATAACGTGTGTCAGTAAACAAATCATTAATATTACCGTGGAACCCGAATGGAAAACAACGAGTTAAGCTTAGTCCGAGGGTGACATGGAGCAGACTGTGTGAAGAAGAATGAAAGCTCATAAATAATCATGGAGTTAGGTAAAAAAAAAAAGACTGCAAAAACTTAGTGAAATGACAATGTGCTGACTGAAACTCTATGTTCCCCCTGAATCGAAAGCACTCTGAATTGATATTAGATGGTGAGAGGCAATCTGCAAGAGGTCGCGGTAGTATACTTCGTGCTTGTTGGCAATCGCCAGTAAGGTGTATACACAACCTTGAAAGAACTGGTCTCCCCATTGATTTTCGAACCCCCATTACCCACTGTCGCAGTTAGAGACATAACTACTAAGATATTCGGGTTCACGATTTACCTCCCGTAAGACTGTAATAGATATACTAGCTGGCTATGCATTTTTGATGTCGCTACTCCTAGCCTTTTTTGATTGGTGGCGTAATAGTTTATTTAAGAATGGTTTATTAGCCATGGTGTTGGTGATATATGTGTATTTTTATTTTTAACAGAGCACCGACGTAATTCTCGTGCTTCTCATCTACATAAATCAAAAAAATCATCTCGAGACAGTAATACTGGGAATTCTCTACTGGATAATATTGATTCTGATGGCAATCCTGATGAAAATGATGATTTAGTCTATGGGAGCGATCATGAGGAAGGTTCAGAAGAAATGCGTTTAAATGCATTTAAAACAAAGGTATTCTTAACTAGTGAATCAATTCTACTCCTAGTATATTTAAACTTTACACTATTTTCAATAAAAAAGTGGTTATTACGTCTAAGAATTAACTTGGAGGATCTCAGATGGAAACCTTTATGCATCCGTTTTTAGTTTAACGGTTACCAGTGGAGCAGCTTATATACTCTCCGTACTTTTATATTTATCAGTTTCGTAATAGTGGGGCGGATAAACGACCTGGTACGGTCAAGGGTGGCTAGACTTTGGTTTTCCTCTCGAAATGCTGTCATGTGGCCACGCGTTCATATCCGCTGCCAAATAAGTTCTATTCACTGCCTTCACGCGACTAGGGAGTTTCTCACAGAATTGAAAAGGTGAATGTGAACATCTGGCGCTTGGAAGCGGACTGGTGGAGATACAGGTCTAGTCAGGAGAGCTGGAAAATCCAGGCTGCAAAACTATGATGTACATGGGTTCCAGAAACCGGAAAGATCGAATGGCGTATGAAGCTGTTTGGGACACCGGAAGCCATGGGAACGTAGCTCCAGAGGCTATTCCATTTTCTTGTGTATCAGGCTTCGGTCTGGGCTTCCAGGCAGTATCCCAGTCCGCGCACAAACTATGAAATTTTTATTTTAATAAAGATAATGATATTGGGATGCATATTATGGTTAACTTTTTGCTTATTAACTAACCATACTGTTTAGTGTTAAGCTATGTTGTCTGTTTTCTTTTCCACTTTGTAACGTGTGTATATAATGATGAAATACACTTCAGTCTCGTCGTGGACGTAAAAATAAAATCATTTCATTCAATTTTGAAAGCAAGTGTAAATTAAACAATTCTGCGTTAAACCGTATTTCACAAACAGTCAATGGTCATTCAATCGGTCAACGCAGTATTAGACAACAACGTGAAGTTGCTTACAAAGTTGAACATCCTAATCGACTACATCCTGATATATGGCATAATGAAGCTAATGAATTCAATGATGGTCCAGCATGTTCTTGCAAGCCAAAATATCGTATAGGACCATTGCATAACCAGTATGAAGGAGAGCAGGTAGTTATAATGACTGCTTCATTTTACTTTTACTATTAATAATAATGTGTTTACTCAATTGATCATGTATTCAAATTGACCCCGTCTATCTTATTCTAGTTAGTCGGGCAATATGGTTGTCATATGGTTGTGAATTGCACTTTTTGTGTGCAAGTATATGGATTCTGTGCGATTACCCTACCTTCCAATATAAGTGGAATGGATTTTGAGACGCATCATCCATTAGTTAAGAGTCATGAGCATAAATCAATGGACTGTACCCGTACATAGCGCAAGTGAACTTGTTCCTTTTACTGTTTGGTGATTCATATCTCAGTCATTAAATCGCAAATCGATCTGTATAAAATTAAAGAGAAAAAACCCACTCACTTTTAGATGAATTAGATAGCTTAATCCGGGTATTAAATCTGATTCACCTACTAATTTCACGCTTTAACTAACTGAATTTAAAATTGATCATGAATTGACTTCATTTAGAGAACGATTAAAGAGCAAGAGGTACTGGGCTACTGTTTCGGCCCTGTTTGGGATCCATCGGCAGTACATATACATCAGTTCACAAGGGATTGGACCCAGGAACTTCATGTTACATGGCGGGTTCGTATGCGACTGCGTCACTGGGACAGAACCCAATGGTCCATCAATTCCACCTTACGTCACTCCGTGTTATATATCGCTACCACCAGGCAACGTCATCGGTGATTCGGATGGTTTCAACTGATTTGGCTCGCTGAGCTGAGTCGAATAAGGCATATCACTGTTGAGATGGGCCCCAAGTGACCGTCTGATGTTTTAATTCCCTCGATCTGGTTAGCAAGCACTACTGGTTGATGTATCGAATTATAGTATCGTGGACAACTGAAAAGGCGGAAACATTTAGCTTGTTCCTTTACTGGGTGTTTGTGACCCTCGTGTAAACTTCTGTTTTCTTTATATATATATATATATATATACATATATATACATAGTCAAATCCTTTGTCCCATTTAGAAGACTATCTTCATCACGAGTTGTTATCAACTGATTAGATGATAAATATCATGTAGTATCGATATAGTGTTTCGTTTTTTATGGAACTTCTTGTCAGTATAAGGTGAGAAATGTAAAACTGTTTGGTTGGGTCCTGAATTATTGTCCAGCTTTTAAACTTCTATTGCCTCCTAAGCTTTTTTCCGACGAAAGGAAACCACATCCACATGTAATACATTATATGAAATCCAATAAATAATATTGCAACTGGTAACTGTTTATGATATATTAATATCAAAATTGTATGTGGCGAAGTTGTCTACCTTACTTGACACCCTCCCTTGTTTTACTTTTAGCCAATACCTCCATGTATCCCAGAGTCGAATAATCGTGACCGACTGTATCATTATCGGATAATTATTTCTCCAACAACTAATTTTGTTCAACCAATCCCATCAAAAATAACACACAATGGGAATGATTATATATTTGATGGGTTCTCTTTGTTCCTACATTACAAATTGGATAAAGTAAGCAGTTAAACAGCTGAATGTGTATTCATTTCTCCCATTATTATTATTATTATTATTCGCTTGGTTTCCCAGTGCAATATAGGGCTTAAACTACACATCTCTACCTCGTTCTCTCCTTTGACGTCCTTTTCAGCTGGTTCCACGATTGTTCATAAACTTTCATTCCCTCATGTCACCTTCAGACCTATGTCCCACTCGTCTTTTCCCATTCGGTTTCCACTCTAGGATGTAGTGTGTGATGTCACTGAACAATCTCCTCACCGTTTGTCCGATCCATCAACATTTCCTTTTGCATATTTTTATAATGATAGAGTCTCAGTTGTCAGAGTTCCTTGTTGCTTACACTTTCTGGCTGGCTATATGATCTGAAGTATTGAGCGAAAGCATATGTTGATGAAAAGTCTGCAGTAACACGCCATGTCTTTGAAGCGGCGATTAGAAGATTCACTGGACTGATATGAAGTGTTGAGGATCCGAATCTTGTTCTTTATTCCGTGGGCAGCAAATTTTCATACTGATTTAGGATTAATGAAGGCCTGTCTCGCTTCTCCTCTTCATGTGTTCTGTCTGTAATTGAAATGATGTTGACTAGGTGGCTTACTTCTTTTAAATTGGTGCTTGCTGTTGACTAGATATCTTCCCTATGTTCACGTGACTCCCCTTCTTCGCTGCTTCTTCTGCCTGTAGATATTTGAATTTGTGTGACATACACGAATCATCCGTCGAGTCCAGATCTTTTAGAGTCTTCTCGTCTGTCCGACGTATTCACTCATTACTTACTGTATCGTTAAAAAGCATATAAGCTTTGATGATGAATAAATGACAGTAGAATCATGTACTCTATGTAGTTGAATAATAAACTGTCTAGATTATGTATATGCACTGACTACCTGTTGTTATTCATGTCATCTAAAGCTTCCATCTTGCCATTTTCACCTTCACACCAGTCTTTAACCTAACGCCTAACTTTGAGATTTACACGGATTTCTATCCCGACGATCAGTGGTTCACTTTTCTTAACTTGAAAAATTCTTCGCAACTTCACTTCACAGTGCAGTTCAATATGATGAATTTTAAGTCACTGTTTACAATACATTCTGTATTCAGTTTAATTAAATCAAGTTTGCATGCTTATCAGGCTGTTAGACATTTCAGTCTGAAATTCTCCACTCCACCTTAATAATACTCATGATGTGAAGCTAACTGTTGATCGGTGTTATTATTGCGTTCGCGGGATAGATACCGTTACTGTACTTTCATAATATCTGCATGTATTTTCCTTTGTAATTCTCCCATTACCTGTGTAGTGTGTGTTATTGGGAGGTGAAAAAAGTAGGCCAGTCTACTCGTACTCACTCAGCTGCGTAAGACCTTACAAAGAGTCGTCATCTCAAGTGATGTTAACCAGTGATTTCTGTTAGGGATGCCCACTGTCCCCATTTCTATTTAATTTCAGCATAGATGTACAAATGGAGTCTACCCTAACTGAATTTAGTAACTTGGGGATTGAATTGTTACTGGGAGACGCTTTGGTTGATTTAGAATATGAGGATGAGATTGTCCTCCTAGGTGAAGACACTAACAAAATGCAGTGTCTTCTCAATACCTTGAACAGAAATCTTCGAATATGTCGCGCAATTCACCCCTGTCATATGCGAGATGATGTTACAGGACTGAACTATATAGGCTCCCAGCTTAAAGTTAGGGCGTAAAGTAGTAGAGCATGTCGACCACTTCACTTATTTGTGAGGTTACATCAGCTTCAACGTGCTGGTCACTGACGCAATCCCACTATGGATACAAAAAGGCTTATGTGGCATTTGACAACGTGCATTATTTCTGGCGTGGACGCTTTATCCAACTGGCTATCGATCAAAGGTACTGTGCGGCAGTTCACTCTGTCCTCCTCTATGGTTGTGAGACATGGTCATCCTAGGTGGGAGTTACGAAAAGGCAAGCTATCTCTAATAACATCTTTGGGTACTTTTTCTCGTGTCAGGTGGTATAGTATGGTGGGTAAGGTTAGGTGTTGAGTGTTGGGTGAGTAGGGTAAGTAAGTCTATGCAGTTGTGAAGCTGAATCGATTGACATGACTAGCACACATGTGACCCATGCCTAACCATTGCCTTCCTCGACGAGCAATCTTACCTGACATAGGATTAGGTTCAAATTGAGAAGGGGATGGTCAAACCAAAACTGTGAGTCAGTCTATGAAGTCTTCGACAATTGGTTTGGGCCAGTCATGTAGTGAGGTTTCGGCTACTTGTTTTGGGGTCGTCGGGTTATCAAGATTCAATGACTTCAAACTATTGATGATATGGCTCAAATTTTTTCCTGGTGACTCAGATGCGTTCATCCTCTGTAATCCTCTATATCTACGAATTCCTCATTTTTTTCCTGATATTTGTGCACATTATAGTTCTTTTGAATATTTTTTCAAAAGAATGGTTACTGAACAAAGAATATTCTTTTTCATAACTTCCTCTTCAGGTTCTACAGTTATATATACAAAATAGTGAATTAATTAGTGTTATTGACAACATTAATGCTGTTGAAATAACATCGAATCAATAATAATAATATCAATGGATAATAGTTCGTTAGCATCAACATAATAATGCACTGAATATCAGAAAAATTAGGAAAGATATTAATACAAATTCATGAATTTATATTCTCCAAAGGAAGCCAGGGCAGTAGTAGTGGCTAGAGTTGCTTCTTTTGCACACAAAGCACTGGTTTCATTTGAATTGCTATAGCCTCTGCTGTTTGGAGTATGCAGTTCCTGGATGTTTTTGGCAATTTATTTGGTACCCGGCAGATGACAGAGAAGGATTCGTCAATGCTGGCTTTGTGGCCGGCTTGGACCAGATGGTCTAATATCGAACTGTTGATGGTTTTTACTACACCTTTACTTACCCATACTGGGAGATGTTCTCGAGCACGAAAAATCAAGTTTCTAGAGCAACGTTCAATATAACTCGCTCCACAAGTGCAGTTAAATTGGTAGATACAATTAGAAGTGGCTAGTCTAGGTACTTCATCTTTCAATTGAAGAATCACCATCGGTCATGTAGAAAATAAGACTTGTAGTTTTCCAGCATTTAAAATTCTTTGACCTGATTTTCTTAACACCTTCGTAATTATTTCGCTAGGTATATCGGCCGTTGAATTGCAGTCGTATATATAAAGGTTTCTTGTTAATGGATAGTCACTAGTCCTTTTCAACTTTATTTGTCATATGCTGCCTGATGAATTTGTTTGGATAGCTGTTTTCAATCAATGTATCATATACATTCCTTAGTTCATCTTCATTTACGTTTTGTGAATACCTTTTTTCTGTCTCTTCTCTATTTTTGTGTTGTACATGGGGTATAACAATTTAAACTGTTGCACTTCTGTGCAGAGTTCTATGTTGAAATTCAGCAGTCAGTGAGAAGTGACAAGTTTATAAATACAAAATGTATTACTAACAGCAGACGTTGTTTTTCATTTGTAAATTCACAGTTACTAGCTAGTTATATTTCGCACAATCCTTATATCTCTCTTTAACAAGGTGTAAAATTTGTGCTGTTCAACCAATTGCACTGTTAGTAGATGACAGCAGTCCTCTCTTACAATTTCATTTTATTTGTCTACTCTGAAATACGTGCGTCAGTGGTACAGCGGTAGGGTGTTCGCCGACCACGCAGGTGGTCAGGGGTTCGACCCCCGGTTGACGCTCTCCTTTACCTCACTAAGCTGGTAGTAAGACTGGTTTAGAGGGAAGGTTGGGCATGAGGCTAGCAGCCGCATCCCGTTAAAAGTGAACACTACTGTTACAGAAACTTCAAGCCTCTAGCCTGAAGCCCTATGTTCCACTTGGAACGTAAAAGAATAAAAAAACAAACTCTGAAATACAGTAAAGCTTCTCTGCAAGATAATTGGTTGTCATCATTCTACACATGTAGAAATCAAAGTCAGTGGATGGGCATTTTTGTATGTTACATAAATTGTTATAGTTTCTGAATTTCTAAGTGATAACGCTACCGTCTACCATCTATTTTAAGATATATTTCCTCCAGTGAGGCGTTTTCAATAATTGTATAAATATTGTTTACTTGTGTATTTGTGTGTGTATGCATGTTTTATCCAATCTATTTGTATTACAGCCGCCTCCATGTCAAGTTCTCCGTTTCAACTTACTGTATGATATTTTTCCAATTGAAGAAGAATTCCCACAGGTAAGTGTTTATTATTTGACTTTTGAGGTATTGTTAATACTTAATAAGTACTTTGATTTTTCTTGTTGTTTTCTCTTTATTATATAAGCAGTATACAATCCAGTATTAGCCTGAATTTTTCTCTCCTCTCAGTTGAGTTTATAGGTTGCTTTGGCTTGAAGCTTACTACTCATCGGTCTGGATAGTTAGATATCATGTGTAATATCTACTTTGAGTAGTGTTCATCACTTTTTCGTCTCTGTCTTAGTTCCAGATGCTCCCTCAATCTAATTAACCTCCTACTTGAACCTACGCTTCTAACCAAACGCTGATCGCACAATATCAGGCAAACTAAATTATTCTGTGTAAAGGGGTCCACAGAATCTTTTAGCCAGTAGTCTTTTGTTTATAACAGAGAGTGCCCTTGTGATGCATTGCTAACAGACCGCAAACTTTTTTATCAACGGCTGCCTTCTTTGGCTGCATATTGAAGATTAAATGGCCAGAAAGAATTAGTAACAATAAATCATGAGAACATACCAATCAATAACGTATTGCTCAACAAATATTCTGAAGAGAATAGAGATGGATCGGATACACTCTGAGGAGATCGTTGGTGACATCATACGCCTAGCCATCTCTGGAGTGGAACCCGAATGTCAAATAACGAGTTTGGCATCAGTGCGAGAGTGGCATGGATGCAGACAATCATGTGAGGAGGAAATGAAAACTTATGGATAATCGTGGAACTACTAGATAAAAGAGACTTCAGAGAACAGCATGAAATACAGATGTGCAAGTGAAGCCCAATTTTCGATTTGAAACTCAAAGGCAATAATAATAATAAAATATTCTGAATCTCTTATTCTTGTGAACAATTTTCGTATTTTTAAGCATTTACTTTTCTGATGACAATCATCATCTTTACTTGGTGATTTTTAGATTACATAAGATTACTTTGCTAAGTTTCGCAATTAATCCGCTACACTCATTCTTGCTAATATATGATTTCGTATGCTTTTTTCGTGCGTCGGTGGCACAGCGGTAGAATGCTCGCCGACTACTCATTTAGTCCTGTGTTCGATCCCCGGCCGACGCACTCCTTTACCTCGCTAAGCCAGTAATAACACTGGTAAAGAGGGAAGGTTGGGCATGAGACTAGCAGCCGCATCCCGTAAAAAGTAAACACTACTGTTACAGAAACTTCAAGCCTCTAGTCTGAAGCCCTATGTTCCACGGGGAACGTAAAGGAATAAAAAAATTGCTTTTTTACCAACTGAACTGAATTCACCTCCAGCCGCTTCTAGTGTCGTGATTTTTGCTGTCTACGTCTATATCCCGATGAAATCTAAACTAACCACTTCTCTTTCATCTTTTAATTTTAAGTTATTTAATAAGTTTTTTGGTTCATAAGAACATGTAAATAAAAATTTTCGGTCACTTCTAATCATATCAGTTAGCATGACTAAGTATATAAACAACTGGTACACTGGGGGTGTTTCCGAACTCAACTATGGATTTAATAAGAAACCTTGGTTTATACTGCCTGAGTTAATTTGGTGGATAATGACTACCAATAGAATCGGAAAAACGCTTTTCGTCCCACTTATTCATTAGTTAGATAGATGTACTTGCATTTCCCAGTGAGTCATAGTGTCCCCACTGTGATTCTGACTCTGCACTCGTCGTCTCCAACGCCAAAACACTATCCAGTTGACCAAGTGAGCCACAAGAACCACTTCTTATATAAGAGGCATTCGTTTTTATGTATTTGGAAGTGAATTTTGACTTTTCCGTTAATTGATTAGACCATAGTGTTTGGCATCTGTTACTTCAAGTTAATCCGCAGACATTGTTGAAGCGTCCGTACTAGGAGCTGAGCAACTAACAGAGGCCAAGCATTTTCAGTCCAATCAATTAATCGACGGAAGCGTAAAAATTGATTTAAAAACGAATAAGGTATGCAGGTTGTCTTAGATAAAAGAAATCCATCCTTAAACTGTCTAACGACTTGTTATTTTCTCCGTTTCTGCTTTTCTTTAATTTTTAGTATTTTACTGTTCGTTCATTGGATCTCCTTACTCAGTATATATTTATTGAGTTATTAGAATTGTTGGATTTAAGCTGGAAACCATATGGAGTTGAAGAAAGTTGTAGTGTGATACATTTAATGCCACGATTTATACGTTTATTGTCAGCTGCTGATGTAACAGGCCTTTCTATGATTAATACCACTACTACTACTTCTACTACGACTACTGATAATGACAATTCAATGCAACATAATCCTGAGATAGATGATTCAATTGCCAACTGTGTGAATGATAGTACTGAAAATAATAACGATACAGTCGGTGAATTATTACCAGTCCATGTGATAATGCAGTATTGGTTAAAAGAAGCACTAACTCCAGTAATTGATGTAATGCAGTTGTCATCGTTACAAAAAATGTCTACAAATGAATGGTCAAATTATATATTTGATCTACGCGGGACACTTGCTTGTTTTCCAGGGAAAGTGAGTCTTTCGCTTTTCTGTCCTATTGTTTCTTCTGCTGCTCTATAAAGTGTATTCATCTCCAATTTGGATCTCAAACCGACTTCAGTCAGGGAACTATTAAAAACTAGGGAGTACTGTACTGGGTAACTGTTTCGTTCTATAGTTTGGGACCCTACAGATAGGTATTGAGCCCAAGCTTTACAGAATTAAAAAGACATAAACGTTTCCTTTTTTATATTAAATTCAGCTCAAAATCCGTCTGCACATGGTCTAAAGACCGTGAGTTTGATCCCGTAGGTGGTTGAAAGTTTACACAGCTAAATAGCTTCAAACCTAAACGAAACAGTGCATGTGAAATAATTCTATAAGCGATGCAGTAAAAATATCGTGTTGTGATATTAATGAAAACAGGTCCAAGGCTTCCTGCCGATTGCCTCCAACCATCTAATACTTCTTGAATCTGCCATATAATTCCTGTTCACTACCTTCACATGGTATGAGTGTCCCTCATAAAAGTGAAAGGACAAATGCAAATATCTGGGGCTTACGACCGAACTGGTGGAGGACATGCAGGTGTGTCTAGAGGAGCTGAAAAACCCAGATTCTAACCCTGTAGTGTATACGCTCTCCAGAATCCGAACGGATCGATTGTCGTATGAACTTGTTTGGGACACTGGAAATCATAGGAGTGTAGGTCCTAACGTTGCTTCACCGCCTTATGTTGTCAGGCTTCAAGTGAAAGGCTTTGCTCTGGGTGTCATTGCAGTATTCCAATCGTCGCACAAACTATGAACTTTTGTGTGGCGCATTTCCTGATACCCATAAAGTACCCAATTTGTGTATCAATAATAGTGATAAACTTATGTCGATAAATTCTCACAGTGTTATACAGTAATATTTACTGATGACGTTCCGAGCACAATTTATTGTTCATAATCATATCAAGGTACTCACACAACTTTCTAACTTCGTTTATATGATTCCATTATTTTTCATCGCTTGACTTGATTCGTAGTAGTATTTTCCATATTTCAGGTATGAGTGATAAGTCATTCCTATTGCATGTGTTGGGTGTAGACTCGATGAACAAGGATTCAGTAATCAATCCCTCACTCTCTCCATCTAGCTATATTACTTCTTAGAATTTTAACCCTCTCCCATCTTATTGTATGGTTGTGTTAATGCATATAGTGCAATCGCTGAGCTTTTTTCTAAATCAATTATCTTCTCGGGGTCAACCATTCTTAACTTAGCTAAATTCTTATGTTCTGATAATCTGACTACCCCCGACCTACTAGTTTGACCTATGTAGTTGACCTCACAGTCATTGCAGGGTATTTTGTAAATTATATTATTTTGTCTAATTGGGTCACCTGGGTCCTTTAACCTACAGAGCTTGTCCTACCTGAGTGAGTTTGTAGGTTTGAATGCCACTCTAATTGCTGCTTTATTAGGAATCCTACGTATGGTCTCAAATGTCCCCTCCTTATATGGTATAACAGTAGATGCCTTGATGTGATTATGAGCAATAAGTTGTGATCAAAAGGTCATCAATAAATATTACTGTATAACACTGTGAGAATTTATCAAAATATATTTGACCCGTAGTGGAATTATACTCTAACACAGTGAACAACTTTTCTTCGTATAATAATAATTTTCTATAGTTGGTTTGTAAGGATTAGTTTTTTTTTAATAATATAAACTTATTCGTGGAAGCTTTTTCTAACAAATTTTAATGTCAGTGTTTCGTATTCTGAAGAAGCTTTCTGTTTTACTGTTTGAATGCTACGGCAGAATACTTGAAATTACTGTCGTAATTGTAATTCACGCGAATGTCTTAATATGCTAAGAATGACTGAAAGAATGTTCATGGAAGATGAGGTGCAAATCGAGTTCTGTAGTTTCTAATTAGAGAAAGACAGGAATGTTTATACACTTACTTTTACTTGTAAGTTACTACAAGTCCTACCATCTCATATGTGCAACACACCGTATCGATATTCGCTATCACTTACTGGAATGTATCATCCTAACACCTGTGATTGAAGAAATCTTGCCTATTCAAGTATTAGTTTGTAGGGATTTGATTGATTGGTTACAGTATTTCATCATGAGCTGACATTGGTTAGAGAACTATTGGAAAACCTGGGAGTACTGCGCAGCTGTTTCGTCCCAGCTTGGGACCCTTCATCAGTACGCACCCACCGGGGTTCGAACCCAGGACCTGAGATGCTCACTGGCGACTGGCCCTGTTCAGTTAGGTAGTTACCTGGGGTTCTAGTGGGAAGTCGTGGGGTGCAGCAGATCGGGCATGAGGACAAATACTCGCCGAAGACATTGGTTAGCGGTCGCGCTATGTCGTGAATTGGCAGAAGTTAGAATTTATGGGTCATTGGATTGGGTCCTGGTGGCTTAATGGTTTACAAGCTCGCCTTGTAACCAGTAGGTCCTGGGTTAGAAACCCGGTGGGTGACTACTGTGAAGAGCTCCAAATTAGGCCGAAACAGCCGTCCAGTACTCCCAGGTTTTCCAGTGGTTCTCTAACCAATGTCAGCTCATGATGAAATCCTGCTTATCTCAAGGTACACCATGCTTCTTTACCAATAAAAACCGAAGCCACCACTTGACACGGAGATCCTGAATGGTGAATTATTTTCTCACACCACTGGTGCTTAAGAAAATAGTTTCATCCTAATCAACTTGACATGGTTTTTAGTTTCAATTGCAGGCTTGTTAAATGGTGTGTATAGTCGAAGACCATTTTAAGTAGTATGACAGTAAAAGTAAGTGTTTTCAAATATTAATTTGTAGGGATATGATTAGTTTAAAGTTTAATTATTCACTGTTATAAGTAGAGGAACCATTGAAAGCCAAGCGTGGGGAGTATTGGACATCTATTTCGCCCTAGTTGGAGACCCTTCAGCACTATGTACTGGTAACCTAAAAAGGAGATCGTACCAAAGACCTTCAGGCTACCAAGTAAGATACTGAGTCGGATTCCAGTCGTCTTGCAACATAAATGCTCTGGGTTCCATTCCTGGTAGGATCATCGGTGCATAGCGATGAAGGGTCCCCCAAAATAGGAAGAAACAGCTGTCCAGTACTTCATGATATTCAGTAGTTCTCTAAACGATGTCAATCTATGTTCAAACTTGTAAAGTAGGTGTGTTCGGTAGGTAAGTGTAGAGTCATCTGCATACTTTCAGTCCTACGTGATTTACCGGCGTTATTGTTGTCAAAAACCGTGAGTAACATTCTAGTATGATATTTTTTTCTCGTAATTGCCTTTAAGTAGTTTTTGGGCTTATCAAATCTTTCTTTTTGTTAACTTACTTGTTTGACAAAGAATATGCAAAGGTTTTCTGAAGGTCGTATTCATACTTATTACGTAGTAAATGGTTATGTTTTGTAAATTGCGTCTTTTTTCCCTAACTATCCTTATTTCTCCATCTACCACTACAGAAACCAGCTGCTATACGCATAGATCAGTTGGATCGTCAATCGGTCACAGGTCAACCTAATGAAGCAATACTCATTTATCCGCTCATAGTGCATATGACGTATACACCGATGAAGTTGAGTTTAACACGTGAACCAAAGTATAAATGTGTACTGAAAAATTTCATGAAGTTACAATATCTAATGATGAATAAGCCAAGAATTAGTCCATCTGATCGTGCACAATTGGTTCAATTGGCTAGTGAATTAGAAGAGATGGAACATTCTGGGTAAGTGTAAACTGATTGAAAAAAAATTTATAACTGCTAGTTAAGAATTCCCGTGAACAGTTAATTTCAAATTATACTATGTATATTTAGCTGTTGGGTTTGTACTAGTTTGACCAATTTCAAGGTTACGCCCCAACACGGATAGAAATCAGTTGGATTGTGAATACCAGGCAGCACGGGATAATTGATTTTCTACAGCAAAGTAGTCATGATCCTACCGTGACCCAAAATCTTTGGGTCACAAGGTTACCACCACCCAGTTGCCGGGTTGAAATCCATTATTGCCGTATGAATCAGAACTTTTACTTATTCGTTGTATAGTCATCATAACTATCAAAAGCCATCGATGCGAGTAGCTATACTGCCTTTCGACGATGTAAACGCCATGCTATTTTAATGTTTCATTAGTATATTGCCTTGCCTTGCCTAGTGTCAATGTTGTGTATAAGCAGTAATAAACGTAAGTCAAGAAAATTCTCTACTGAGTTTAATCCTCACATAAAGCTAAACTGTTTGATTCGCAGGTTAACGTAAGGAGTAACATATGAAGCATGAGAATTGAAGCTAAAGTCCAATCAAGATTAATTGCCATCATTGGGTAAATTGTATTAGTCAGATGCCCCTGAATGTTCATAACGATCTTCAGGTGACTCAAGTACAAAACTCACTTGGTTATGTGATTAGTGATAATAAGTTTGGAGATGAAATAGCTAAAAGAAATATTTATTTGATGCAAATTTCCACTGTTCCTAATCTCCTTTTCTTGGTCACAATTGTTACAAACATATGGCTTAGCAATCTGTTATATATATTCTTTGAACGATATGAATTCCTTGAAGAAATCCATCCTACCCATTGTATACTTTAAGTGTTAGGTCTGCAGAGATTTGATTGACCCATATTTATTTCAGTACAGATTTTGTTACAAATTGACTTCAGTTAGGAAACCACTGAAAACTATGCGGTACTGTACGACTGTTTCATTCTAGTTTAGGACTTTCTAACAGTGTGGGCTCATATAACTATGAATATACCTTTTTATTGTAATTACCCTACTGACATATAACATACATTGCTGGATAATGTGGGACAAAGCACGTCTTATTAGCTTGCAAAATTATCAATAGTAAAATCGTGCATGTTTCAGTTCACTGAACAGAATTTATCGGATGCCTTACTGACTGACTGACTGAGTTTCAACACAGAACTTTGCACTCAAATGTAGTAGTTCAAGTTGCCACATTCCATGTAGCACACAAAGAGAGAGAGAGAAAGAGATTCAAAAGGACTGTAATAAACGTTAAAGAGTGAGTAAGAATAGTACTGTGGGCAAACATGACCTTCTGGTGGATATGGAAGAGATTATAAAGACTGAATGCCACTGAAAACGATTTTCGGCTATATCATCAATCAGCCCCAAATCATTAGATCTTAGCATCCCGAGGATCTCAAACAGGTAGTTCTCACCTTCCTATGTGACTGAAACCAGCTGTGAGAGAATTTATTAACTGATTGATGCTAAGTTTTGGTATGACCACCCGTAACTCTTTTCAAACTTAATCCAATGTCAGCTAAGATTGCTCGTCGAGGAAGGCGGTGGTTCGGAATGTGCGCAACACGCGTTTTTTCCATCTTAATTGATGTTCTTCACTTCGTCGGCTGACTTACCGTCGTAGCCTAACACTCCACGCCTAACCTCAATATTACTCACAGTGTTGTACCACTTAACATAAAAGAAAGAACACAAATAACATCTGTTAAAATGAATGTTTCCTTTCTTAGCTAAAGAACATTAATAGTTGTCTGATTTACACAATATGCTGGTTACTTGTTCTTTTATAGTACGATTGTAATCTGCTTAATGTAACTCCTGCTATTCTCATATGACAATAATCCATGTAATCTATGTGAATGCGTGTTTCTTATCGGTGTGTTAATATTCTGTCAGTAAGCAATACATTATATTTCGTGAAATTTACCAAAACATTGAGTCTACCAAATGCATAACCACATCATTCTGTACCTTTAAATTCGGAGTCGATCCGCCAACAGGAGTGAATCACACACAGATTTGTGTTCAGCATGTTCAAAAGTGCCTGCATTTGTCAACTTCCCTATGTAAAAGGACTATTCCGTCTGCGCATTCTATGTGAACGAAATCTGTGACTGGTACGTAGTCGATTTCTGAGATATTTTCTACATTAGATATTCCAAGAATGTAGCGGAAATACTTTACTTGTATAATTTCCCTCCAGCTAATAATCTTTTATAATAGTGAAACTTTCTATTATAATAATAAGAATAATTTAAACTGATCGACTGTGTATAAAATTTATTTCTTTTACAAATACTTTTCTTTTCCGATAGAGTACATCGACGTGAAGTGACTGTAGAAATCAGTTGTGAAGGTTTCTATCGAACGGGAATACGACCGGATATACCACAGCATGCATTGAATTTAGTCTCACTTATAGCTCATCTTCGTTTTCATAAATCACTGGAAAGCTTAGAGAATCGTCTAGGTTATACCTTTACTGATAAATCTCTATTACATGTGAGTTTTCCTTCGCTTTTTTTTGCAAATCACTTTTCTATGCATATTGTGCGTTCTTGCTTTTCTACAATGTTTTTCAATTTAGGTAGGGTTTGTTCTCTACAAACTCTTATTAAGCCAATAATATTGAGAAATAATTTTGTCATTATTGTGTTACACTTCACTTAAACACTAAAGCTGCCTGTTTTGTACTTGAAAACAGTGGTTATGTATTATCGGAGTAGAAAGTTCGAATAAGGTGGGTGAAAGTGATTGATTGCTCGGAATAAATGTATTTTATTCCCTTACCTCCTGAGTGGAACACTAAGCTTCAAGCTAGAACTTTGAAGTTGCGAAAGCATTGGTGTTTTATTTTTACAAGGCATTTGAATTTTCTGGTTCAGGTGTAAAAATATTCAGTTATCCGAAGTAAGTTCTATTCAGTTTACTTATGTATTTCTTCCTAGTTTGATCATAAGCCAACTTCATTTAGAGAACCATTAAAAACCAGAAAGTACTGAATAGATATTTCTTCCTAGTTCCGTACTTATGACCCCACCTAAAGGGACCAAAACCACGACCAGCTCGTTGAATATTCAGTCACTGTGATGGGATCCAATGGTCGTTAAGTCTTAAGTTCATACAGTCAATTTTAACAACTGCGATAAGCTTTTTGAGTCTGATTGACGTCTGATTTGCCAAGTATTTGAAATTACTTCCGAATACTAATTATTGGCTAACGTGATTATGATTGTTCTGAATCCTCATGAAATCTATACTCTCAATAACGCCTTATGACCAGGCTCGCTCACAGTTAGTAGAAGAAGGAAAAACACATTAAAAAGGGTAACTTAAAATTTACTTTTTTTCATCAAAAAGTGAAAAAAGTTGAAGTAGAGCTGATTTTCTCTCACGTTTTAAAGTATTGTTTAACAGGCTTTGATTTTCAAGCTTGTTCCATAAAGAAGGCCGCTTTAACATCTTTCTTGCCTCATCCAACAATAAAATATTGACTGCTCAAACAGGAATTCGGTAAAACTAGTTTCTTTCATCCTTATTCACTCTCAGAGGCTGTTATTATCACGTCTCGCACAAATTAACAGGAATGAAAACAAAACACGTAGTTCAGAGAAGAATCTCTTTTCGGCGAATTCATTTTCTAAGCTTTACAATCGTATTTTGTATGTATGTGTACATTAAGTTTGTCAAACAAAAATACAATTGCAATGCAATAGGAACCAGTAATTTTATATCCTCTACTTTGTTTCTGCGTGCATCCTGAGTACAACTCAATCATCACACTATTCATATAATGAAGTAACTCCTTTTTAACAACTGTTTATCACAACTCATCACCTTTGTTGTTACCCTAGTTTCATTAACACCCAGTTTTCTTGACCGTTTTTGTATTGCGTAACTCCACCCAAAATGTGCTAATTCTCACCCCTTTAGTTAAAATATCCATAACCACTTGTCGTAAGAAAAACGCGTAAACAGCTAAGAAAATTTTCTTTTCGACAATTCATCTTCATGAGCTGTACAATCGTAATTATATTTAACAAAGAAACCTTTAGACCAATCAGATACTGGCAAATTTTGTCCTCGGAAAATGTATTACGTAATGCAAGGTGTCACCTAGAAGCGATGACTAATTGTAAGTTAGAAAGGAGACAGAAGTTGGCGTGACGTAATAGGTGTAAGATAATAACTAATCAGTAAACTCGTGTAGAATGGACAGGAACTAGTGGAGAGGTGATAGTGTTTGCATATAAAATCTGTATGAAAAAGCAATGCTATTAATACACAGTTATAGAGTGGTAATAAAATATGGATGATGGGAATAATAATGATAATAAAATAATAGTAGTGATAACAATAATAATAGTAAACCTACATAAAAAAGAAGTAAGATTATAGTAAGAACTTTACTCTAATGCGTCGGTGGCATAGTGGTTAGGATGCTCGCCGACCATGCACATGGTCCGGGGTTCAATCCCCGGTCGACGCACTCCTTTACCTCGCTAAGCCAGAACTAAAAGCTGGTGAAGAGAAAAGGTTGGGCATGAGGCTAGCAACCCCATCCTGTAAAATAAACACTGCTACAGAAACCTCAAGCCACTAGCTTGAAGCCCTATGTTCCACTGGGGAACGTGAAGGAAAAAAAAGAAAAGAACTTTACTCTGGTGACGGTAGGGCGAGTGAATGTATGTAGTGCTTTTGAGTTCAGAGGTCCGATACTCAGATCCCGAATAGCTAATTCTTTAGCTGTGTACAAATGGCGTATCGAAGTTCCTTTGTACGATATTGAGGGACTCTGTGTAGCACTGTGAAGCATTCATGTGGGGGTGCTCGATGTCCGGAGATGACAATGTGTTCTAGGATAAGGCTGTTGCTATTCTTTTCTCCTCTGGCTAACCAAGCTGGATTGTTAAATATGATTACGACTGTGCAGTACATGAAAATGAATCGTCGAAAATAAAGTTTTCTTCGCTGTTTATGCATTTTTCTTATGACTCTATATGGGAATATTTCATTCATAACCAATTGTATCTTTGTTTGACAAATTTAATGTACAGATACATAAAAAATAACCTATATATATTTGCGATTGTACTGCTAAGAAGATGAATTCGCTGGAAAAAGACTCTTCACTGAACTACTTGTTTCGTCTACATTAACATTGTCTGCAGTTTTCTAACTAATCCAGTGTATGATCACAATAAAATCAATATTTCCACTCAATTCATAATTTTCCTTAGTTGTCTGATATAGGGAATTTCAATCATTTGCTTACAAATTGGAGCGCTTAGGCTCATCGGTCAAGAGATTCAACCTTTCTCAACTGGTTAGCCACACATTTGTGCCCTGTACTCAATCTCATGGAGCTAGGGAAACCAAATAAAACTATTAGTGTTCTGTATGTATGTCTAGTGCGTCGGTGGTATAGTGGTTAGGATGCTCGCCGATCATGCACATGGTCCGGGGTTTGATCCCCGGCCGACGCACTCCTTAACCTCGCTAAGCCAGAACTAAAAGCCGGTGAAGAGGAAAGGTTGGGCATGAGGCTAGCAACCCCATCCTGTAAAATAAACACTGCTACAGTAACCTCAAGCCACTAGCTTGAAGCCCTATATTCCACTGGGGAACGTGAAGGAAAAAAAAGTATGTATGTATGTAAGTGCACAGAAATATACGCTTGTTAAATTATCAAACAAAGATAGTGTGATAACCTTCAATTTAGAGCTAATAGTCTGTCACTTCCATATTTCAATCATTCCAGAATACTAAAGATAGAAGAGTTCACGATGAACAGGAATATTTTGAAAGAAGTAGAGTGGTTATTATTATTACATTATTGTTTCCTTGGGTTCCAAGTGGAACATGGGGCCTCAACAAGACATCTCCACTTTGTTCTATTTTCTGCTGTCCTGTTTAGTTGGGCTCACGACTGCCTATGGTCTCTCATCTCCTTTCACGATCTCTTCCATGTCACCCTCATACAGACGACCAACTCGTTGCTTCCCATTGGTTTTCCACTCGAGCGCTGACCTGGCGCGCGATGCCGTTCGATGGTCTCCTCAGTTTGTGCCCTATCCATGTCCATTTTCTCCTACATATTTGTCTAACGATACGTTCTTGGTTAGTTCCTACCCATAGTTTCTTGTTGCGAATTCTTTCTGGCTGGTCTTCAATATGGTGCCAGTGAAGGCAGTTGTTGATAAAAGTTCACAGTAGCCTATTGGAAATGCTTTTGGTGACACGCTCGCTAATTTTCTGACCCATATGAAAGAACTGACTGACCTAATATTAGTGTTGAAAACCCGAAACTTATTCTTTTTTCCGGGTTCATAAAACTTCCAAATTGATTTCAGATTGATGAAGATGTACTCTGCCTTTCCAATTTAGGCTTTGACATCTTCATCTGTTCCAGCTGTGGTTGAGACAACGCTTCCTAGATAAGTGAAGTAAGTTACCTCTTTCAAACTTCTTCCACTGATAATGATTTCTGCTGTTTGTTGTCGCTGTTGGTTAGTTACCTTCATCACCTCCGTCTTCTCAGTGTTCATCTGGATGCTGCATCTTCAGCTATACTGTTGGTTTTGTCTGCAAGTAGTGGAGTGATAAAGTGTAGGAAATTGACTAAAAGCCTACACCGAATGGATGCACACACAAAAGACACTGAAATTGATTTTGATAAAGACCATTTCACATCAACAATCATAAAATCCTTTAACTGAGAACATATGATAATAATAATTATTAAAAACAAACGTGGTAAATTATGGGCACTGAGGGATACGCCACACAAAATATCATAATTTATTGGATATTGCACGGGAGCCCACACTCAAACAGGTGGTTGTCTTAAGGGACCATCCCGTCTCCCAAGCCTTTGACTTGAAGCCTGAGCCACGAGGCAGTGGAGCAGTGTCAGGAGCCACATTCCCAGTGGACAAAACAAGTTCATACACAATTTCATCTGTTTGAATTCTGGGACTGATGTGGATCATAGATTTGGAATCAGGGTTTTCCATCTCTCATAGGTAAACCTGCATGTCCACCTGTTCGCTTGCAAACGCCAGACGTAGGGACCCGTCCCCACGGCATGAAGGCAGTGAATAAGGGTGTTGTGAACAAGTAGCTACATAAGAGCATTTCGAGAGGCAGACTGAAAACATGACACAAGGAGAATTTAATACAGATACCAGTGTTTGACCTAACACGAGCTATGTTGATATTGACTTAAGAATACAATCGTCATGTGACCTTTTCACTTCTCTTATTTCGTTCATTGTGATAATCAAGAAATGATTACATCGGCTAACATATCACTATTTTCAGGTTTGACTTTATTAGTTATATTGTCTGTTATAAGCATAAGAATATTCTGTCTCGTTATTTATTATTGTATATTATTTCTCCCGCTTGTTGTATAGCAATCGCTTACGCATCCATCATATAGGCGAACAAATTTCGGTACAAATCAAGATCATTTTCAAAACTCTCTGGTTACATGTGGTCCACGTATCTTAGAGTATGGAGATAAATTAGAGTTATATAAAGCATGGCGTAAAAAAGGGCTGACAAAAATGATACAAGTTATGTCATTCCTCCCAAAAATGCATGAAGAACGGTCGAATATTTATGGCAATGAAAGATTGGAGTTCCTAGGCGATGCAGTTGTGGAAGTAATCTCAAGGTAAGTGAATTAAATAAAAACTTTTATGGTATTGTTGTATTGTCTAAACTGGACGAATCATTTTTTCCGCACTATTTTATTCCATTCAGTAGTTCCGAGTGGAACATAGAACTTCAAGTCTGAGCACTGAAGTTTCGGTAGCTGCAGTGTTGCTTTTCCACCGCTCAAACGTCCCTCTTTATTACCTTATAGGAGAGGTCTAGAAGTGTGTTGGCCAAGAATCCACCCCTGCCATGTGTACAGTTGGCTAGTAGTCTGCTCTTGAACCATCGATATTGCGGCCGCGGCGCATTCATATAGTATACAACCTTCTTCAAACTTTGCAAATGACCCTTAGGTTGCGTGTCACCTCACCGCCTTTGGCAGATCTGACAACAACGAATTTTTGGACGATGTCTGAAGATTAACATTTTATCACTTGGTAGATGTTGGTGGCTGCAAGTGAAGTCCAGAGTAGACATTTTGTCTTATTTGGAACTCGTCTTCTTGACCTACCTGCATTCCCAGTGAGTGAGGGTGTTTCCGATGAGACTCGAGTTCAGAACCCATTGTTTCAAACATTAACACAGACCTAACTTGTCGATACAATAAAATCCATCGTTTGGTAGTACAAAAATGAATTAAAACAAAAATTAATTGACACCTGTTGCACAAGGACTGGCTTAGTGGGTAGTGTTTTGGTGTGTGAAAAGACGGGTGTTTAGCTGGAATCTCAGCAAAATCACCACCACTCACTGGGAATACAAGTCCATCCAGATGACGAATTTCCAATGGGACAAAACGCGCATCCTGGATTGCACTGTTAGTAACCATACACTAAATTATAAAATGATTGTTTTCATCATCTTCAAATATGTAGACTGGCGTTTTTAACTTAACTTTATATTTCTTCTTGGATCTATTGTGCAGATCACTATTCTATTGTTTGTTCACTGTTATATTTTCCAGCATTCATTTATTCTTCATGTTTCCTGAACTATCTGAGGGTCATTTGGATGCCTATCGTCAGGCTATTGTTCAAAATCAACATTTGGCTGAATTAGCTGTTGTAAGTTGCCAGTTTTATTCTGTTTCAAGTTTAATCACGAACTGACTTCAGCTGGAGAAATACTGAAAACTGAGGGGGTAATGAACACCTGTTATTTGATTGTTTGGAACTTTCCATCGGAAAACGCATCCATGACCCCACTACTAGAGGTCGAATCTTGGACCTTTAGGTTACAAGGTAAACCCGTTGACCATTCATCCACTGACAGAAACCATTGGTCCATCATTTTGTAATATCTGCCTATTGGCGACGTTATAATAGATGGACCTTAGGATTCCATTCTATTGGTTGAATAGTCAACTAGTTTAAACTCATAACCTGAAGGTTCTGGTCTCGATCTGTAGACATATGTGGTCATGGGTGCGTACTGCTGAGGAATATCAAACAAGGATGTTGCAGTTGTCCACTACTCCCTAGTTTTCACTTGTTCTGTACATTAAACCAGTTCACTATCAAGCTTGAAATCAACCCGGTTTCTACAAACGAACACTTGAATATTTCAAATTATTACTGATTTGCCACGTCCTTATTTATGTTCAAATACTGAACAGTATTTAACTGTGATAATATTGTCGTTGGTGAATTGTCTTTTATGCTTAGATAGGGTAGTTTTACTAAAATGTTTCACTAAGTTCTATGTCCTCCAGTTGAGATTATAGGCAGTAACGACATAAATCTGCCAATTATTTTCTATTCTTATCAAAATGTTTCTCGAAAGCTTCCCGTGTTTTTTTTTCCTTCACGTTCCCCAGTGGAACATAGGGCTTCAAGCTAGTGGCTTGAAGTTTCTGCAGCAGTGTTTATTTTACAGGATGGGGTTGCTAGCCTCATGCCCAACCTCTTCACCAGCATTATTTCTGGCTTAGCGAGGTACCGTGTCTAAGTGCGGTAGTATATTAGTGTGTCATTATACCGGTCAAATGACTTCGTAAATCGTAAAACCCATTGGCCTTATTTTCCATAAAGCATTCAAACAATTGCCCAATTCACAAAGTGTGTTTTTATAGAAGTAGTCTTGAGTTTCTCAATGGTGTGGTGTCATTGTTGACCACATCATCTCAGATCCTTTTCGCTACTATGAGCAAACGTAGTCTTACTGTTTTATAACCGATTATTAGTCACTTTCAGCATTTGCTTTCATTTTTAATCATCTTCTTCCTGTATGGTTTATGCTTTGTGTCAAATCCTTTTTTGTATATGATATTTTCTTAATAGTTTACTCATGTAAATATGTTTCTTCTTTGTTGTATTGCATCCCTTCGTCATTATATTGTTGGTTACCTGTTATAGCAGCCATCCAGAATGGATTGATTACTAATTAAATTTCAGTGCAGATATCAAAAGACTCGTCTGTTATCTGCCAACATGTATCATCTTTGGCGAAGGTGTGATTTCTGACTATCCATCAAAGGACATGTGTACAGACAGTGCAATAGTTTTCTTCATTCTCCTTTACAGCTATGAGACACTGCCGTTGGAAGTGGAAGATATGAAAAGACTAGCCATCATTTATACTGCCTGAGGGTCAGAAGTAATTTAGCCAACAGACAACATCACTCCATAAAGTCTAAGCTTTGTAGGTAGGTGTAGACAGTGTCTGGCTGTTATCTTTGAGACTTTAACAACCAATGGCTGGAGACTGCTGATCGTATGGATCAAATTGTCATTGATAACGCGGATACATTTACTTCTTATCCTCTTATTTATTAAATCTTCATTATTCTCCTTGTAGTTATTTTTTCCTCCTGTGCATTTCCAATTATGTTAGTTTGGTTGGATTTTTTTTAACCTTTAAGTGTGCTTTAATGAAATGTGTCAACCCTAACTAGCTGCATTTTTGTGCAGAATGCAGGCAGTCAGAGTTTAACATAGGCTTGGTGAATCGACGATAACCTGGTGAGAAATACTGCGGCTTTTGTGCTTAATTAATTATTCGTTTTTATCTAGAAACAGCTCTTTTTTTATGGGATCAGTTTTGTTTTACGTGACTGTATGCTAGAGCAATTAATGAAATCTTTATCTGGATGCAGTGATGAGTGAGTGTTAATGAGTATCTGCTTTCGCAAGTAAATTTTTCTGTGTTTTCTTTTCTTTTCACAAAGGGGTTTTTGAGATGAGTATCTATTATTTACTCCTTTCTTCTTCTTTTCTTGTGGATATTTTAGCGATTGGGTATCCATAAATTTCTTCTCTACACGCATAGTGTAGATTTTTGTTATGATTCTACATTTATATATGCTCGATCAGATGCATTTGAAGCGTTAATGGGTAAGTTTTTCCTTGGCGTAAATTTGTATTCATTGTATTATCTGAATCATACCTATCCGTGTGTGTCCATGTTTCATTGGTAGAACAATCGCCAGTCACGCTTTATGTGGTCCAGGGATCGATTCCCGGACGACGCTTTCATAAACCCAACCTAGCCTGTAATAAGTCCGGTGCAGATCAGAAGTTCGATCGTGAGGCTTGCGAATCCTCCCAGTAGAATAACACCACGGTTACTGTAACTTTAAAGCTCAAGCTATGACCTTGATATTCCATTCGGAATGCAAAGTAATCATGATAAATAAACGGGCTGTCATCTCGAATGTTGCCTTAATTTACTTTATCTATGTCAATCCGATTAGCTGTCTATGGATAAAAGTAATGTGATGCATAATCCAATACTGAATCTTGTGAATAATGTGTTCACTCTAATCTCTTCTGATAAAAAACAACTTTATTCCTCATATCCTATTAGAATAGTGTTCATTCAGTGAAATTTGTCGATTAAATTTAGTACTGTGATAAATTACTATCCCCCTCAAGTGTAATGAGGTCAAGGGCGAGGTTAAGAGCACTGAGATTTTTTCAGAGTAGAAATTAGCTTATACTTTTTATTTTAGATTAGTTTTCGACAACTTTTCTTCTCTTTATTGCTTTGCGTTCTGAGTGAGACCTGGGGCTCGAAGCTTAAAGCTTTTAATTTTCATTAGCTATGGTGTTGTTCCTACGAGATTGAGTTGTAAGCCTCACGCTCAACCTTCCCTCTTTCTCAGACTTACTGTTGGGTAGTGAACTGGGCGAGGTTTAGAGGACATCGATCAGGAATTGAACCTTAGACTACCTGCGTGGTAGTTGGTCATTCTACTACCACACAACAATCGACTCTAGTTTCTGGTTATACAGTCAACTAACTCTCTTCTGGGTGTACTAGTCTTTAAGCCAGCATCTTTTATGTGTGACAGTCATATAACTGAAATTAATTGTGCGAATATATATGCTTGAGACTGTGTGTGATTTCATAATCACTAGAATTCTATCCGTTTACGAATTCAGCATCATTTAAAATCACAGAAGAATAAACTTACATAAGGATAATGCTATTTTTCACTCCACAAAGACTCAATTGCAAGGTGTTATTTTTGCTAAAATCATTATTATTGCCATTAAATGAAATTGTTGTTCGTTGCCGATGATACTTGACTTTCAATCACTCCAGCCCAGGCGACTTAGCAGCATCTGTTATCAATTTCTGCACATTAAGTATAACCCATAGCCGGGCGTATGTGAAAACCACTTTGACTGAGTTCAAACTAATATTACCGATAAAATAGCCGTTTAAATAACTGCAGTGTTGAAGTTTCTGGATGATTTTATCATGTTGCTGTGCATGTAAATGTTGTATATCGTTGTTGCTCTCTCTTTATATATATATGCATATATATATATATATATATATATATATATAATCATTCCTCTGCATTCCTAATTGAACACAAGGCTTCAAGCTTCAGTTTTGGAGTTTTTCTACTGGGGATGTACTCTATCACGAATGGGATTGCCCGCCCCACGCCCAACCTACCCTCTTCACTGGACTTACTTCCAGCTAAGTGGAGTCAAAGAGTACCTCGACTGGAAATAGAATCCGTACCGCTTACGTGGTTGGCATGCATTCTGCCATTAAACCATCGATATATATATATATTCAATAAAATGTTTTCTCTCATATTTCAGCTGCAATCGCCTTAGACGCTGGACTAGATGTTGTTGATAGAATATTTGGTGCAGTTCTTTTTGGTGATGATGAAAGAATTCATCGTGTATGGGTACAAATCCCACCACATCCCTTACAAGCCCAATGCCCTGATGGTGACCGATCATGGGCAACTAAAGTTCCTATGCTTAAGGTACTCTTTTTTTTTCTTTCTTTATTCAACACTTTGTTTGTCTATTTTTACAGTTAATAGTTGGTTGAATAGTTAGTCAAATATTTTTGTAATGTACCTTTGATTAATTTTTCATATATGATGCTTATTCGATCGTTAACTGGTCAACTGCCTTTTCGTTTGTATTACTACACCTGCTGAATAATAATTGTATACAAACTTAAAGTGTAGTTAACCATCTGATCGATTTGTGCATGTTGATGTATAATAAACAACCTGGAAAGTCATAATGACGATGAGGCTGTTGGAAGAAGGGAAGGAAGTGAATGCAGTCAGTGTACAAACTTTCAAGCTATCTTCTGGGATTTGATATTTACCCGTCAACAACACTGTCTGTATATATTTTACTGTATACGCAGACCTTATTGTTGGTTTTGAACAAAAAAAACAAAACAAAATAAAGCTTTTATTATGACTATCAATGCCTAGTGTAGTTGAACAAAGAATCAACACCGATTACTGAAATAGTATACTACACAAAAACAATCTCAACAACACTTGTCTACCTGGGTATATATCATAACCAGTGGGATGCTTCGAAAGTTAAATCGACGAACATCAATTCTTAAATGAGATTCCGTCATCTTTCCTTGTGTATTCATTATCATTTTTTCTATGCCTGTATTATGTATTCATGATAATATTATTATTATCATTGTATATACTACTTTTCAATAAACACCCCCCATAAGTAGTATATGTGTAGGGTAAGTTTCTATCATTTGGCTTCTTTTGTTATTGATTATTCGAAACTTATACGGAGATCAAGTGTGAATGAAATAGTTTTGTTGCTTTTAATAAATTTTTTTGTGTGCTCTATATTGATTTTTTGTAGTACATATCGTTAGACACAAGTAACGCCTTAATAATTCCTAGTCTGTGAATGTTAAGGGTGAATAAGGTGAAAGAGAGATTATGAATATGTACGACTGAAATGGGTACCTATAGATTTGGTTAGATGTATAAGCCAGGCCTTTTTTATACAAATCTCTTTTGGTTCGTTAAAATCTCCTACTATCACTTAGTGTGCATATGACATATAGCTTCTTATCATTTTTACGAACTGATGACGGATTGATATCAGTTAGAGAACCATTGAAAACTAGGGAGCAGTGGACAGCTGTTTCATCCTAGTCTGGGAATCATCGGCAGTACGCACCCACTGGTTCTCTAACTGATATCAATCCGTGATCAACCCGTGAAAACAATACTAATCCTTACAAACCAACTATAGAAAATTATTATTATCATTAATATTATTATTATTAAAGTACAAACTTGGTACATTATGGACACTATGAGATACTCCACTGACTGCCTCGTTTCAGCATTGAACTTTGTACAGAAGTGTAGCACTTTGAGTTGCCACACTGCTTGAAACACACAAAGCAAGACAAAAAAGAATGACAATACGCAGAAATGTCAGGAAGAAAGAATAGTAACACGTGAAGACAGCAGGGTTCTGTGGATATGGCAAATCATAAAGAGTGACTGCATGTGCGTCATTGAAGACCGTGTTGAGCCATATCACCAATGGATCTTGGCGAACCGACGACCCCAAACCAGTCGCCGAAACCTCACTACATGACTGGCTCAAACCAATTGTCGAAGACTTCATAGACTGACTCACAGTCTTGGTTTGACCCTCCCCTTCTCAATTTGAACCTAATCCTATGTCAGGTAAGATTGCTCGTCGAGGAAGGCAATGGTTAGGCATGGGTCACATGTGTGCTATCCATGTCAATCGATTCAGCTTCACAACTGCATAGATTTATTTACCCTACTCACCTAACCTCAATATTACCCACCATACTATACCACCTAACACGGGAAATAGAATCCACACATCTGTTATCAAAGATAGCTTGCCTTTTCGTATCTGCCACCTTGGGTGGTCATGTCTCACAACCATAGAGGAGGACAGAGTGAACTGCTGCACAGTACCTTTGGTCGCTAGGCAGCCCGACATCACGTCTACTCCAGATCTCATACTTTGTGAGATGTTTGGTATACTGCCTGAACGTATAAACTGAAGCAAGCGATTTTATTAAGGGTCCTTGCCCGCCTAAGCTTTTGACTTGAAGTCTAATCCATAAGGCAGTGGAGAAGTGTCAGATGCTACGTACCCTGGATTTCCGGTAACTAAAGCAGGTTCATACACCATTCAATCCGCTTTCGCTCTGGAGCCCATGTACACCATGGGTTTTTGAAACAGAGTTTTCCAGCACCCATGGGTAGACCTGCATGTCCTTTACCAGTCCGGTTGTCAGTGCTAACCGTGAAGATAGTGGACAGGACGGACTTGGTAGGGGCTATGATCATCTGGTCATACGAGAACATTTCAAAACAAAGACCGAAGTGAACCCACCCTTTATCTTTCCAAGTTGTTTATAGTGAGACCGCTACTCAGTGGCGACCTGGCAAAAGTATAGGTACGTTAATCTGAGATTGTAAACAACTGGATTATAAACACTTGAGGTTTACGACACATATTCACTCCTTCTGAGTGGAACATAGGGCTTCAAGCTGTGGAGATTCAATAGAGGTGGTGTTAGATTGTTAGCCTCACACCTTACTTCCCCCTCTTTTCCGAGACTGCTACGGCTTATTATTCTAGGGGAGGATTAGGAGTTTGGTAGCTGGGAATCGAACCTGGATCACTTGAAGGGCTGGTGGTAACTATTGAATATTCTAATATTGAATCTACCAATGCTTATCCACAACAACCGATTCCTAATTTGCATTAAAAAAATTGATACAGTCTAGCTATCTGCTGAAGCCATCAGTTATCTTCAACCTTGTGTGGACTTGCTTTCATTGGTGTAAAACAGAACTCTGCAATAAATCGTCCTCGTTTTCGTGGTCGAATTAACATTATTCCCACATTGGGTCTGTGTTTACTCTATATATTAGTTGAAATAATAATAATAATTTGCTTTATTCCAGAAACAGTACTAGTGGTACAGTGTGGAATTTTCAGCACATATCTACAATATTTGCATCTAGTTTTACAGACATTTTAAATAAGTATTAAACAAACAAAAAATAAATCTGAAGACACCAACAGCAAAAAAAATAGGATAAACACAAAATAATTATAAATGCGAAAAAGTACCAAAGTCTAATGCAGTGTTTGTGGTGGTAGTGTGAGTAATCCTGAATAATACAAAATTTTTTAAGGTGGTGACAATGGCGTTCACAACCAATGATTGTCAGTTAATATTGCCGAAAAGTATAGAAAATAAGAAAAAACAGCCACAAAACTAATAATTACATGATGGTTAATGACAGGACAATTTTGTAATACTCATAGTGCTAATATAGTCGAAACCAGTGGATACACAATAGAAGGAATATAGTAAAGTACAAAAAAGGAAGCCAATGTTAATATTTTAGGTAGCTAAGTATGTTTAAGAAGGAGTTCACTAAAGAATACAAAATAAGAGAGAAATAAAAGAGCCTAAAATTATGTTGTTAATAACAGAGCAAGTCATAAGTTTCACGCTTAACATTGTCTCTGTCGCTTAGAACACGGGCCAAGTATGGTATCGTTGAGTTCCTGTACTTGGTTGTACGAGCATAGATTATTTTATACTGATTTCTTGTTTTACTTGATGAGATACAAGGCGAGAGTTGGGAATAGAGGGGGTGTTGGGGGTCTGAGAGTATGGTTTTAGACCATTTTTCGCATGTATTCAGATGCCTATCAACTAAAGTAGTGACTAGCTGACTGAGTTTTACACCACTAGTCCTACTGACTACCTTCAACATCCTTCTCAGGATGGCATAGTCCTTTTTCAGTAGACCAGGAAAGACTAACGGGGAGCAGTAAAGTAGAATAGGTAAGATACAAGAGTTGACAAATTGTGAAAGTAGAGGTTGGGTGATTCCAGATTGTCTAAGTTTCTTAATGTAGTAGGTAAGACAGAACACTTTCTTAGAAATCATTAGGATATGAGATGTCCAAGTAAGGTCGGAAGATAGAACTAGACCGAGGTATTTAGCATTAGACTTAGTTTCAATTTTAGTCCCCTCAATGCAACAGTCTTCATGAGAACTTACTAGTGTTTGTAGATCTCGTTTATGCCTAAGGGAGAAGTCAATAGTCTGGCATTTTGAGGGATTCAGCATGAGACCATTTAGTTTGGACCACTCACTGATGTCCGACAGGAAGCTATTTAATTTGAGACAGTCTGACTGAGACTTAATGGGAAACGATACAGACAGGTCATCTGCATATTTGACGAAGTTGATTTCATCTGAGAGAGGTAAATCATGTAAGAAGAAGGAAAAGAGAAACGGAGAAAGAACAGCACCCTGAGGAACTCCAGCTTCAGTAGGCAAAGGAGAGGAAGATACACCATTATATACCGTGTACTGCATCCTATTAGAGAAGTAAGAGTGTAGCCAGTTGATAGCCCAGGGCTCAGTTTGTGTAAGGCTAAGCTTGTTTAACAATAGGCCTCTAGGTACAGAGTCGAAAGCAGATGTATAGTCAAGGAACGTACAACGGACATACTTGGTCCCTTTGTCTAAGGAGGATACAATGTTGTGATGAAATACAGCAGCAGCGTCCAAAGTACTTTTACCCTGTTTGTAAGCAAACTGCTTTGGATCGTTTGAGAAACTTAGGGAGGGAACAAGTTTTAGTAACAATAGTTTCTCCATTAGTTTCAAAAAAGGAGAGGTAATAGCGATAGGTCTAAACTTAGCATTATTACCAGAGCCTGACTTGGGTACAGGGATGATTTTAATATTTTTCCACAGAGAAGGTACAACATTATTAGAAAAAGAAGTATTAAAAATGTTTGTAAGTGGGTTGCTTAAAATATCAGCACATTTCCTTAGGACAATGGCAGGTATACCATCAGGACCTAGACTCTGGGAAGGTTTAAGAGATTTTAAACATTTAAGAACATCAGAAGTTTTAAAACTATTAAAGTCACTGGTCATGTTATTTGTTACATTGAAGCTAAAAGGTACATTGGGAAGGCGGATAAAAGATCTATTAAGAGTATTTACATCAATAGAGGGAGCACAAGAACTATGCTTACCACAACCTGTAATTTCTTTGAAAAGCTTCCACATGTTCCCAGGAGTTTTACATGACAAAATTCTTCGATTATAAATATTGTTTAACCTCTTGATTTCGGATTTAATTTGGATGTTTATTCTCCTAAGACTAGCTTTATCCTTAGCCTTGTACAGTCTCTCTTTTTCTCTTCGAAGCTTTTTGAGATGAGGAGAAGAGAAACGGTCTATTCTTTTGAAAAGTATCTGTTTTGGACAGCATACATCAAGGCAGAATTTAAGATAGTCAGTCAGATTGGAAATAGTATCATCCAGTGTGTGTTCAGTGAAAAGTTCCCAGTTTGTGTCATTTAACATACATCTTAGTTTGAGCACGTTTTCTTGTGAGTAACATCTTTGTTGTGTTTTCCTGGAGAGATTCGAGAGGATGTTAGAGTGATATCTGCTATATATTTTGGGTAATATCCGAATAATACAATGATCAGAGTTCATTATAGGAGCACGTCTGCGTGCTTCATATATTTCCGCATCATTAGTAAATACTAGATCCAGCGTTTTATCAAGTCGAGTTGGAAATTTGACAATGTTGACATGACCTAATGATTCAAGAAAAGAACAGTCACAGGTATTGAAATCTCCAGTGACAACTGATAAAGAGTTTTCAAGATGTGTAACCGCGAATGCTGTGAATTCATCGGCAAAATAAGATAGATCCGAGGCGGAACAACCAGGAGTAACATAAATGTTTGAGATGAAGACGTATTTAAACTTGGATAAGTGTTTCGGACGACATTTGACCGTAATACAATCAATAAAGTCACTAGAGAAAGAAAAACATACATTATTTGAAGTTGACCACTGAGAATGAATGAAGGTTGCGACGCCTCCACCTCTTTTCTTTCTAGAGCATATTCGATCTTGTCTAAACAATGTGAAACCATTTAGAGAAACCAGGTTGTCGTCATAAAGATCATGGAGCCATGTTTCTTGTAATGCGACTATCGCCGTATTGTGATAAGTATCAGATGATAAGAGAGACTGGAGATGCATAATTTTGTTGGGAAGTAAACGGCAGTTTGAACTGACAATAACAGGAATAGTTGTGCGATATAATGATGTCCGTTTGAGAGCACGTTGCCAACCACCATGATGTTTTCTCTTAGTTTTATTAGATGCATGAAAGTCATGTGGTTTAAAACATTTAATGAATTCATTACTGTATTTGATACGATTTGTGATCATAATTTGTTAAAATTAAAAATTAAAACATGATGTATTAGATGCAAATATGTAGATGTACAGAAAAGTAGCCCAGATGTCAAACAGGCCGCCAAAACTGCCTGAAATACCTCATAGACATTCACAATGCTACTGAAATCCTTCGGGCCGCGATAAGAGACCTGATACAGCGAAGAGTGGCTAAACTTCGGTCTTCCTCGCGAAATTCTCTCATAGTTCCACGCATTCATAGCCTCTTCTAGGTATGTAATATTTACTGCCTTCATGCGGCAAAAGGCGTTAATCACAAAAGTGGAAGGATAACTGCGAATATTTGGCGCTTAGCTTACAACTGGAGTAGTGCATATGCAGGTTTACCTATGGGAGCCGGAAAACGCCGAATCCAAATCTGTGGTGTGCATGGCCTCTGAAATCCGGATGAATCGAATAGCGTATGAAGTCATGATGGTCACAGGAAACTCAGGGAACGCATCTCCTCACACTACTCCAACGCCTTGGGAATCAGACTTCAAGTCTGAAACTCGGTGGGAGGGGAGTGATATTAGTCTATTAAGACAACCACTTGCTGTCGTCTGGGCATCTGAACAGTATCCCAGTCGTTGCATACACTGTGAAATTTCGTTTGACTCATTTCTTAGTGTCGATAATGTACCAAGTTTGTGTTTAACTTATAAAATAAACTTCTTGGTTTTCACTGACTGCTATTCGTCAATGGTAAACGTAATCACAAAATCTTGCTAGCTTTTAAGGAACACAGTACTCTTTAGTGTTATACCTCAGATAGTGATGACACACACAGATTAGTGATTTTTTTGAAGCCTTTATATCACTATCCATTCGTTTCAAGGCATTTTCTCATTCAGCTAACACTCCAATCACTTATCCCATTGTAACTTCACTGAACAACCATGTTGTTCAGTTCAACTGTATTGTGATGATTTCACCGGAATGAGCAATTTTAGACAATTTTCTTTTCAAATTAAGTTAGTTTATTTATAATTGATCTACTGTGGTTAGGATTAAAATGATTCCACCACTAAAGTATTGCCTGTTATCATTATCACGGGGTGTCTCTTCAATTCATTTATACACTATTTATATCATTATGTAAAGGCATGGCTCATTGGTGTTTAAGCACTGAGCTTTTACGTAGTACGTGTCTGGTTCGAGTTCCTCTCTGTCTACTTCAGTCTCCGCAACTGGGTAGTATCGTTAGCTCTCACACACAGCCTACTACGTGACTTGTTCCGAGTTGAGGAGTTCATCACCTACTAAAAAATAGTGTTGTTCCCATAGACCTATACATAATTTTTTCCATGGCTTCATTTCGTTTTTAGAAATTGTGTACATTAGAAGATACTTTGGGAATAAAATTTAAGCATCTACGTGTATTGGCTCGTGCTATGACTATCAGAAAGACAGGTTTCAATTTTTATACCCTGTAAGTGTTTTGTTTTGTTAAGAGTCAATTTTTATTATTTTTTCAAACTTAGCAAGCAATACTGCTAATCTCTGTATCTTGTTTTTTTGTACAGATAAATTTCTTCGCATATATGCTAGACGCTATCTTTAGAATTTTAGTTCAGAGTATAGTTTAAATGTACATGGATTTTTTTTATTCCTTTGCCTTTCGAGTAGAACATGGAGTGTCAAGCCTTAGCGGCTTTAATAGGGTAGGGCTTCTAGCCGCCTCACTCCCAACCTTCTCTTTTTTCTGAGGTCACTATCGCCAAGTACACTATACATGGTTTACGAGTGAGTCTTCCAGGAATCGAACCTTAATCTCCTGCACCGTGTTTGGACCACTGACACTGTAGATTTAGATAATTGTTAATTCGACTTGAATGCATCTGTAATTGGTTATCGTTTATCAGAAATTGATTGTGTTGTTCTCAGTCATCACGTGCAGTTGCACAACCCCGATCGCAGTCAGTATCTCATCCAACCTTTAAACAAATATTAGGAGTAAAAGAAGATGCTTTCACCTATCGATTCTCTCTAGATTCTCTCAAAGTCATTCATTGATGAATATGCTTTGATAAATTAATTATTGCAAGATGGTATTTGTCATGATTTGACATTAAATATAGAGAACTGTTAGAAATTAAGGCGTACTGAATAGTCATTGTGTTTTAAATTAAAACTCTTCCACAGTAATTCCTCACTGATTCCATTTCCATTTGACCACTTGGATTAGTTATTTAACAGTTGTCTCTCTCACTCTTATTGTGATTAGTTGAGTTATAAAAATAATTCAGTGTCGGTTGGAATGCGATAGCAGTTGTCTATTCACCCTTCGCCTTAGTTTCACTTTTTAAGGTGTTACTGAAATGATATGATTTCAAGTTGCAGGAGGAACTGCCACCACCTAAAGAGAACTATCGGAATTCAAGGATTACCGGATAGCCTTTTTGTCCTGGTTTGAGAGTCTTCGTCAGCATGCACCCATAATGCCATCTAGGGATACAACTCCAGGACCACAATCATTGGCTGGTGGGAGCGAATCGACACCATTTAGGACGCATGGGCCACTAGATACCATCCCAGTGGTGAATGGCTAGTGGGCTTATCCCTAGCCTATAGGTCCTGGGTTCTCATACTCCGGTAGGTAGCTAACTGACAAAGAGTTTGAAACTAGGATGAAAAAACTGTTCAGTGTTTGGTGGTTTGATGTCAGTTGATGATCAGATATGTTCGTGTCAATACAACCTGGTAGTTTACGAGTCAATTGCGCTGACGAACTTCCTAACTAGTAGATTTGCGAAGCTACTACCCTAATCACAATTCACAATGACAACCACCCTATCACGATACTACTGACATGCAACGCAAAAAAGAAAGGAACAAGACCGACCATTGATTCGTGGGATTTTACTGTCTCTGCTCAAATAAAACTTGACAGCGTTTCCATGTATATATATATATATATCATCTTTTTGAAATTTGTTTGGAACGAGTACTCTCTTTTCCCTTTACCTTCCCAGTGGAACATAGGGCTTCAAGCCAGATGCTTGAAGTTTCTGTAGTAGTGGTGTTTATTTTCACGGGATGGGGTTGCTAGCCTCATGTCCAACCTTCCCTCTTTACCAGTGTTATTACTGGCTTAGCGAGGTAAAGGAGTGCATCGGCCGGGGATAGAGCCCCAGACTAAATGAGTAGTCAGCGAGCATTCTACTACTGTGCCACCGAAGCTCTTGAGACAAGTTAGTATAAGGAAAGAGAAGCTGATGATTATGCTAATTCTTGGGAACAAATTTTTTCCTAGATCCTATTTGTCACTGACCCAGATTTTGTATATTTGTAATTATTGGGTTTAAAAACATGCTTCGAGAGCTGCAGCCGCTGAAACATAAAATAGCCTCGCTTCAACAGTTCAGTAGTACCAGCACTACAGAAATATTACATCTTGGAAGAAGGAGAAAGTTACGTCTTTATTAAGAGGAGGTGTTATTATAAATATATATGAAACAGTTGTAATCAAGAGGAAATACAGAAGAGGTCGTGAAAATGCAAATAGCGTTCCGGTGATTGGATTATACGATATCGTTTTATAGAAAGGATTCGTCGAAAGAATGTCAGACATTAAGTCAAATACTTTGATCCTATTACAGAGACGAACACCAATTTTATTGAAGTGTTTTAGGGAAGGTTGAAGAAGAGGATTAGAACCTATAACGGGGTCTCAAAAGGATATTATTTACAGCTACTTAGATAAATACATCTGTAGAATGTGGTTTAATTTTTTCATTGATACTCCTATGGGAAACTGGGCGTCATTTTTGCCACACATCAGAGAAAGGTATCCTGTGTGACATTTTTATCTCTTTCTATTCATTATATATATGATTATAATCATAGTTTAACATCAAGCGACATGAAAGGAGTGATTGGACAGACTTTTTCTGCATGTAGAGAGCTCGGGCTTTTCTGTTTTGACGGTTAGAGCTTAAGCAGCACACATGAGTTAGATACATAATCATTTTGGTAGGTTATTTCTCACTTAATCGACAATTTTAAAGGAAGAGGGGTTGTGGTCTACTTGATGACCATTGTCGATCAGATTTTCAGGTGTTGTGTTTTCTATAGCTGAACTTCCACCTCTTTCTAACCACGCGAGATGGTGTTCTTACAGCATCCTTTTGGACAAAACCTGGCTTTGAACAGTCGTTATACACCTAGCTCCACAGGAACAAGTGGACTGATAAAACACACATGAAGTTGATCTTGTCCTTCAGGTTGACAATAAATTCACTAGAAGTTTCTCTTCACTGAATCATTTACTTCCAGATTCTACATAACTTATTCTTTTTTTATTATCAATTCACTTTTTATTAAGGTTAATCAGCAGAAAAATTAGTTTTGTGTCTTTATTATTTTATATTCCAGTGGAGATAATCAACGTTTAGAATTTCTTGGTGATTCCCTGTTGAAGTATGTTTCAACTGACTATCTATTTCGTCATTTCCCTAGACATCATGAAGGGCATTTATCACTGCTAAAAAATTCTCTAGTTAACAAGTATACACAAGCTTCAGTATGCAGTGAATTAGGTTTAGAGAATTATGTTATCCGTCGTGAAGATAACAGTATGAATCAATGGGATAATAAAACAAACAATAATACAGGACTGAATGGTAATCACACTACTACTGCTACAAGTAAAATGGTGATGAGTAATCTACCCCCTAAAGTGTATAAAGGTAAACGAAATAAGAAAGGACAAAAACAATCAAATCATTCTGCTGAAAGTAATAGCAGTAGTAATAATAATTCTTGTAATCCACAAAATCAGAATGTCAAGTATCGAGCTGATTTATTAGAAGGTTAGTCTCTTCACCTTTCATTGTTATTACTGTTGTTATTGTTATTTTCTTTTAACCATGACATGAAAACACCTCAATTGATTTATTTTCCTTCGGAAGCTATGCAACCACTATCTATTTAAGTGTTGGTTTGCAGGGATTTGACTGGTTACAGGATTTCGTCATGAGCTGACATCGGTTAGAGAACCATTGGAAAACCTATTAGTGCTGGACGGCTATTTTATCCTAGTCCGGGACTCTTAAGCATAACGCACCCACCTCCAGGGCTTGAACCCAGCCCCTTCCGGTCACAAGTCGCTTTTTAACCGGATGGCAATAGGCACTCGCCCGTTTGTTGTCGAATATTACTGCCGAAATTTTGTAATAGTGTAAATTGCTTGTCTCACACAGAATAAACCTATACACATGGTTTCCATTAACCAATATTCTATATTTTGAATGCTTGTGGGTTTTTTCAAAATCCAACAGAAATGAATCTATTTGACTTGCTACATTTCAGAACAGTAGACCAATATTATTATTATTATTTTTAGAGAAGAGAAGTACCTTTAATAATTAAAGTTAGTGAAGATCCAGTATTTTCAAGATGTTTAGGAAAAAATACGAATAGCGTAGTTTTTTAGACCTTTTCCGCACAATTCAATCTCTTACGTCTAATTGGTCTGAAGTAGTGTTTTCAATCAACCTTCATCTTTTCCAAATGGTTGATCCCAACAATCAAGCATCTTATCTCCAGGTATTTCTCTTTTGCAGCAACATCTGCTTCATAGTCTAACAGGCCAGCTCCACATTCTGTATGCTGAACGTTAACCCTGCTCATCCATATGATTCCACCATAAACAAACAGTGCTGTGAAAACCACCTATGACTGAGTGAGTTTCAACATAGAAGTTACCACAGAAATGCAGCAGTTCTTTCAAGTTGTCACATTCCATGTAGCACGCGAAGGTAGACAAAAGAGAATAAAAGGAGGATTCAAAAGTACTATAAGAAAGCATAAATTTGACGGAGAAAGAATGGTAACATAGAAAGACATTGGGGTTTTAATGATAATAAGCTACAAACTCTCGTTATCTTCTACTTCAGTTGTTCTTTATCTAATATGGGAAAAATATCTCTCTGACCTCAAAGACGATGTAATTAGAGAATAAGATTCTTTATTATTTTGAAGACAAAGATCATTTGTTGCTTTAATCAGCGTTGATTTTCCCGTTAATTTATTAGACCGAAACTTTCAACCTTTGTAAACCTCTCCGCTTTTAGTACGCATGCTTCATCCATGCCTGAGTATTAACATATCCGTTGAATCAACCAACAGGGAAATCCAAATTGATTCAGACCAATAATAACTGATATCCATTGCACAATGAGTGTCTCTCGTGGCCCAAGTGGTCTAGTGAATAAAAATTTTATATTTGAAACGATGGCTGCTGGATTAAAGTCTCAGGTGGAACGAAATGCACCCTTTCGACTCCATTGCTAGTCATCATCGACCAAAGAGACAAGTCATTTTGTTTAAATGATAGGTTTTTGTAGGGATTCGGAATAACTTCGGTGTAGATTTCGTTACGAACCAATGCCAGTTAAAGATCATTAAAAGCCAGGGGCTCTAGACAGATGTTTCGTCTTAGTTCGTGACTCCTCAGTGTCACGCCACCACCTGGGATCAGACTTGCTGACCATTTAACCACGGTTGGGTTTGTTGGCATTCACCAGTCAGCAAGGCGTATCTGGAGTTTTAAAGGGCTTCACTTCTCCTCTGAGATTCAAATCTGCACCATCCAGCACTGTAGTCAGAGACTTTTCTATTGAGCTATTCTGGCTCGCGACTGACTTATTGTAGGACTGTAATCGACACTTTGATTGGTCACTAGGTGGTAACCAATGCCATGCACCTCAGTATAATTCAGACTGAATTCAATCAGAGTCAAATAACTTCGTGACTTCGCTTCGAAGCTGTACAGTATAGTGTTTTAAAGAGTCAGGAAATACTCATGTAGGTCAGTTGTTCATTTCAGTAGGAAACAAAACACATGGAATTACATGTCAAGAAAAGTAGTGAATAATAAGTTTCGTAATCTGAGGACATTGAATAATGTGAATATCTGTTAAAAAAAATGATTGCCATTAAAAATTATAAGCGCTTGGAAACATGAATATTATTCAAAAGAGTGAGAGATTCAGAATATTTATGAAGCATGTTTTAAAGTTAGAATTTTGAAAGGAAAAAAATAAAGAGTAGAAAGAAGCAAATGAATATGGATTAATTTTCAACTGTTGGTTTGCAGAGATTCAACTAATTTCACGTTTCATCATGAATTGACTTCAGTTAGAGAACTATTGAAAACTAAGTGGTCGGTCGCTTGAAGTTCTGGTGAGAAGTCGTGACCGGCGACGTCCACTAAATTGGGCCTTAGGAAAGGTACTTACCAATAGTATTGGCTGGTAGCCGCGCTGCTTATCGCAAATCAGCAGAAGTTAGAATTCATGGATCATTGGATTTCATTCCAGTAGTTTAATGGTCAACTAACTCGCCTCGTATCCTGACTGTCTTTGTTTAAGTCCATAGCGGTGGGGTTACGATCGCGTACTACTGAAGGGTCCCAAACTGGGACTAGACAGCTGTTCAGTACTCCCTGGAACTCTAACTGAAGTCAGTTCATAATCGAATATATATATATGGATTACATACCAAACTATCGTAGAAATTTTCAAAAATAGAAAATGTTGATTTCTGTTTGAATTTTTTATTCATTCATAGTAACAATTCATTCTGAAGTTAGTCTTATTGCTAAAATAATATGAACACGATACAGTATTATACTCCATGTGTATTTATTTATTTCTAATCCGTCTGTTCTCATGGTTTCTTCTTCATTCCAATATGTGTAGCATTCATCGGTGCATTATTTGTTGATAAAGATTTAACATGGGTTGAACGATTCTGTCAAATCTGTTTTTGGCCACGTCTTGTAGAATTTATTTTAAAACAAGAATGGAATGATGCAAAGTCAAAGCTACAACAGTGTTGTCTTACTTTTCGTTCATTGAATGAAGATCCTGAAATTGCACATTATAAAGTTAGTTAGTTAATTTGTTTGTTTGTTCGTTTGTATTTAATATTTTACATTTAATGCCAAGTGTGCTGTCATCATTATTCCTTTGTGTTCAGCGTTGGAACATAGGACTTCAACAGTGCATCTCCGTTCCACCCTGTTCTCTGTATTTTTTTTCTTTCTGGCTCTATAATTGCCTGTAGGCTTTCATTTCCTACTTACATGGTCTCCTGCATTTCATATCCGGACTCCCAACTGTCTGTTTCCCATTAGGGGTTCCACTTGAGGGCCTGACAGTTGATTGCTACTCAGTGTAGGTCCAGTTCATCTTCATTTGCTTCTGTATATTTCTTGGATAATTGGTTGTTGGCTGGTTCGTTGTCAGAGTTCCTCTTCTGTCTGCTTATCTTTTCTAGCCATCTGATCTGTAATAATAAGTGTAATCATGACTAAATATAGACAAAACAAATATGTGCGTTCAAGTGTGCGTTGTCAACTCCTGTCATAAAATGTGCTGTCATCTGAACTGCTGATAACTAGTGGTGTCCGACAGGGATGCCCACTATCCCCATTTCTATTCAAATCATCATAGGCGTACTAATGAACTTAACCCTAACTCACTTCAGAGACGCAGGAATTGACTTGTTACCACTAGGGAATAATCTCGTTGACTTAGAATATGCAGATGATATAGTCCTCCCTCCTAGGTGAAGACGCTGACAAAATAGAGCAGAGTCTTCTGAACACCTTGAGCTGCAATCTGTGAATGTTTGGCATGCGATGTTACAAGACTGGACTACATTGACTCCTAGCTTAGAAATAGGGAGTGAAGTGGTAGAGCGTGTTGATCACTTCACTTATTTGGGAAGCTGCATCAGCCAACGCCAGTTGATTGATCGATTGCTGACGAAATCTCTTCACGGATAAAGAAGGCTTCGTTTGCATATCCCAGTTTACGCCGTCTCTGGCGCAGACCTCATATCCGGCTGGCTGTCGACCAAAGGGCGTGTGTGAGAGTGGAAGATATGAAAAGGCCGGATATCTGTCTTTGATCATAGGTGTCTGCGTTCTATCTCCCGTGTTAAGTGGTGTAGTAGGGTGAGCAATATTGGGGTTAGGCGTCAAATGTTAGGTAAGGAGGGGAAATCAATCGACGTGGCTGTGAAGCTACATCGACTGAGATGGTTAGGACATGTGTTACGCATGTATGCCTAGCCGTCAATCGCCGTCCTCGACGGGCAATGTTAGCTGCTGACATAGGATGCATCATGTTGGGAAAGAGTCAGTGGTGGTCAAAATAAAACATGGCTTCATCAGTCAATGAAGTGCACAACAGTTAGTTTCAGCCATGTTGGAATGTGGTACTCTGGACGGTAAACGCCACTGGCTGGAGACAATTGGTGATATGGCTCAAAATCGTTCTTAATGGCTAACGCAGACGCATCCACTCCTTGTGCCGTATAATATCCAATAAAACTACATGGTTCTTCGATATTACTATTCTTTTTGCCTCATATCTCTGTTTTGCATCTCTTTTTACTTTCTTCTCTTGCATTGTATGCTGAGTGAAGTGTGGCGACTCGAACTGCTGCACATCAGTGCAAAGTTCTATGTTGAAACCAGTCAGCCAAATTGTGTCACACTTGCATCACTTATTATATTTGTCACTCACTTATCCTGGAACATATATTTAATAGGTCGCTAAATGAGAAACTTGTCAGCATTTACTGAGGCTTTTATTTTGTACTCTAGGCTCCTGTGCGTTTTTATTTCTTTGAAATATTCTTTTCATTTTTCTAAGAAGTTAATTTCTTTTTTAAAACCAGTCTAATATCGTATCGAGAATAGTATGATAAGCCGTACATAGAATGTTTATTGTTACGCTTTCAATTTATTTTAAGAATGCATAAATAAATCAGTGACAAAATCCCTTTTCATAACTTCGCTTCATCTTACTTTATATGTGACTCTGAATAAAATCTCTGCTGATACTCCATCACCAGAAGTAATAATGTGCTCCAGAATTAATCTATTAGTAGTTCGGCATTTCCTTTTCGACAACCATGCTGACAAGTGTTCATGTGTGTGTTTAGGCAATGTCTTGCCTGCAATGCCTACGCACTTAACCCCACAGGAGCAAGTATTGTCTTACGTAAACAATAAGGCACTTACCTTTTGACGTTATATAGTTTTATGTAATTCAATGACATAAAAAAATGACTGTCAGCTAATCAGTCATAAGTTCGAATCCTACTTCATTTGGAAACTGTAGTGTATAGTACCCAAGATTAATACTGGAATGCCTAAAGACCACATAGTGAACTGATGTCGAGAAATCATAACAGTTTGTTTACGGCATAGGTTGCAGTCAGCCTGTCACCATAGCAACAGTCCGTATACCGTGTAAGGATATTCAGTATTAGAAATAGGAATATTGTTAGATAACCGAAATATGAATAACATTTAGGCGGCAAGATGAATTCAGATTACTCTATGAGGTAGGGTTATTATCAGCTGAATACAGCCCGAAATAACTCAACAGAAATACATGACGAGAATAAAAAATCTTAGCGTCTTTTAGATGATGGATCAATTTTCAGCTTTTGAGTAGTAAAGAAAGGACAAATCTAGCATTCTGAAGTATTACGAAATCTATAATAATATAATTTCTATCCAAAAGAGATATTCTCAGTAGTCAAGACAGGGGCTATACGAGTAGATAGAGACGAACAGAAAGTTGCTAAAAAGTGAATAATAATTAAAATTAAATAATAGTGAAGATGTAAACTGAAACCATTATTGTGTCTAAGAAGTTGTTATCACTTTTCCGGGCGCATAATTGAAGTTAATTTCTTCTACTGGCGACAGCGTCAGTAGTGTGAAGTGACGTTCATTTGAACTGCACTGATGCAGTGAAAGCAATACATATTTTACGTAATAATATTTACCACTCACATATTTCTTTAGGTTTTAGAACATAGTGGTCCAACTAATCAACGTGTTTATCGTGTTGGTGTTTATTTTCGTGGTCAACGATTAGCAACTGGTCAAGGCAGATCTGTACAACAAGCACAAATGGAAGCAGCGAAAAAAGCCTTAGAATTACATCAAGGTAAGTCGTATAACTTGAGGTGGAAGGATATCTTGTTAAGCCTGTAGTCGCTTAGTTGCTATTTACTCTTTTTCAAAGTCATTCCAATCTGCACCTTTATTGTGAATTCAGATAAAAATATTTCGATGAGTATTCAAGCAACTTCCGTTGTTGCTATAATGGAGATGGCAACAAGTGACTACATGAAGATCTCGTTTGTCCTAACACCAGTTTGGCCCTCTTGATTCCTATTGGTTGATATCTATTGCTAGATTGTGTAGATGTATTACACTTTTCTTATAAAGAAATCAATTTAATTAAATCCAAGTGCGCTTAACGTCAAATAGTTGTTAATTTTAGCGGTAAACAAATGAATAGAAGAAGAACCTGTCAACGCGATAATCCAATAATGACTTTGAATCTATCAGTGCTATTTCGCCTCTTCCTGTAGAGATAATTAAATAAACCAAGCACTTATCATTGTATCTACGGCCAGCCTAAAGAATAGTGAACACGGAGTGCGAACGCACCAGTGACCCCGAGCGCATATCATTCATTGGATTACAGAACCTGTCGTTATTATAACGCACTGCACGTATTGAGGTGTAAATTTCATTGTGATGTCGTTTCTAAGTACTGTTTCGACAATGGGTTGTTAGCACATTGGAGTTAACCATATCAGTCTAAATTTATTTTATATAACCTATTTTTTTGTTAACTAAGAAGACATCCTACATAATTAGGATAATATTTAGAAAGTGGTGAAGAAACATAAGATAATTAGGCACAACGATATTACTGCACGCGGATTTACTTACTCTAAAGTAAGAGATAGAACATTACAATCGCCTTTTTAGTAGTCAGTCAGTGGTGTTAGTGTTCAAATTATAACTCTGACTCAGCGTCGTGAATTTCTCTATTGAACTTTAAAGGGGGACGAACTGCCATTTATCCACTAGATCGGAAACTAATGAACCAGAGATTCTAATTTATGTTGATTCACGATGCAATGCGAACGCCACGCTCCCGATTCAGTTGACACCAAAGATTACTGCTTCTCATTAAAAGTTCAAATATTTCATCTAGTAGAACGTCACAAACGAGCAGCAAAGTTCTCATGAGGAGTTGTGACCGGTGGAATGCACCGAAAATTAATGGCGATTAATTTCCACGTTCGAAATAGATCAGTTCACGTTTGATTTTACCTTTTTACCTCTTAGGCATTGGAAATGTCTAAAAAACACAAGTTATTGTTTCATTTGAATTCTGATTTCACTGAAAATGATGTCATCTCACTGTATTTGTATTCTAAATGTCTTATTTAAATTTATCAAGGTTACCAACCACTTCCAATGGGTAGATAAGAATGTTTAATTTATGAGTAAATTGAATAGTTGAAGTTCTACTGTCACGTATTAAAGAAGTGTATAGACCAACATGAACTAATCCTTTTTTTAAAGTAGACTGCAACGAATTTTTGGGGAAAATCTCACCGTTTATGACTTCGTATTAGAACCGTAATACTCATTAATCACTGCTTCCGAGTTAGAATTTAAGAGTTCCAACCGGGTGGTTAAGTGTTAACGTGTTCCCTTTCTAAGCTGAATGTCCTTATGACTTCGTGTTAGTGTACCGCGTGAGATTTTGAGTTTAGGATGAAAACGTTGTCCAATACAATCTGGTTTCCCATGGTTCTCTAGCTTTTCAAGTATTAGTTTGCTGGAATTTGATTGGTTTCTAGTTTGCTTATGGATTGATGTCAGTTAGAGAACTTTTAAAAGCCAGGAAGTGTTGCACGGCTGTCTTATCCTTGTTTGAGACACCCATGACCTTACCATGAAGTGAACTAGTTGACCTTTCAGCCAATGTGACAGAATCTAATAGCGCATGAGTTGTAAGACAACTGTGTCTTACTTCCCGGTTTTCAGTGGTTCTCCAGCTGGTATCAATCCCTGATCATACTTGAAGTTCTCTAGTTGTTGTTGTTGTTGTGTGATAAAATCTACCTTGATTACTAATCAGATCCCTGCAGATTAGCATTTAGAGAAAGTTTCTGTTCAATGTACTTCTTTTTTATTCCCCTCTTTATACCATTGTTTTCATTCTTTTGCGTTCCGAGTGGAACATAGGACTCCGAGCTTCAGTCTTAAAGTGTTGGTAGTGGTTGTGTTGTTTTCACGAGGTAAGGCTGTTACCACGCCTACTATGTGCTAGGTGAGGTTGAACCGTGCGTCATTGGGAAATCAAACTTGTACCATATGTATGGTTAATGGACTTGAGAGAATTTGAGATCATATAATTCATATTTATCAAGAGTTGATTTGTTTCAATTTTGATCACGGATTGATATCACTTAGAGAACCATTAAAAATCAGGAAGTACTGGACAGCTGTTTCGTACTAGTTCGAAACTTTTCCTCAGTACGCTTGCTAGTGAATTACTAAAAAACGAATTCACCCTTCAGTTATAGTGAGGCGTAGTGACCAGTGGGGTTCACCAGTTTAGGTGTTAGGATAAATACTCACTGAAGACATTGGTTGGCTGGTGGTTGCGCTAAAACCATGAACCGATAGCAGTTAGAATTCATGACCCTTTGAGTTAACTCCCAATGACTGAATAGTTAACGAGCTTTCCTTGTAACCGGAGGGTTCCTAGCTCGACCGCCGGTGTGGATGTGTACTATTGAAGAGTTTCAAACTAGAATGACATAAATGTTCAGTACTTTGTCTTAAGAGAAGTTATTTCAATGAGAAAAATACTTCAATACTCTATGCTTCACTTTGTTTTTGTTTGTTTTGTTTTTTTTGTTGATGAAATGAATTTTCTTTTTTCGTTCCACTGATTATTATTTTTATTAGATACATTTCGTCAATTGGATTTTCAACGTTCTGTTATATCCAGACGATATAAACAACCGTATATTAATAAGATATTGAATCAAGTACAAAATTGGGATGAACAATTAGTTGATTATTTTATACCAGATAAGAATAAGACAACGGCTACAACAGCAACAACAATGGAAACAGTATCATGCATCACTACTTCCTTAACTACTACTACTACTACTACTACTAATAGCAGTAATAGTAGTGTTAGTAATAATAATAATAATGAAGGAAGTACTGTTGGCACAAGTAGTATCAGTATACGCAGTACTGATTGTTGTACTGTTAACAATGTTAATAACCAGAATGATGGTGAAATTCAGAATTCACTGTCAGACTATGCTGATTCAGATGATAATGATGACGATGATGATGATTGTGAGTTGTTCAACAAAAATATTGCTAAACGTCGATGTATTCAAAGAATTCAGAGTGATGAAACAATTTCACTTGCATCTTATGATAGTATACAACAAAATAATCTCAGTTTTATAGAATCTATAAGTGACGATGAGAATATGATCAGTCAAATAGAAAGTGAACAGGTTAAAACTGATGTCACCCCGTCTTTATCCCCACTTTCAAAACCATCATCACCAATGTGCATTTTGCCACACTTGTCGACTTCAACTGTTGGTAACCTACACTCACCACCTAATAATTTCATCGACTTCAACGAAAACAAGTTGGAACTGTACAACGATGTAGAAGAAGATGATAGTAGCGAGGGAAGTGATGAAGAGAGAGAGGAAGGTGAAGTATTCGAAGATGTGGATGATGATGACGATGATAGCGATGAAGACGATGATGACTCATGTGACAGCGACACTGATGATACTGACAAAAGTGCTGCTGCTATTAGATATTGTGATTACTCTGGTACAATCAAGAAAAAGCATTTTTCTCACCTTAAATAGATATAGACAGATAAAGACTAATGGAAGACATGAGATTTGATGTTAATGTCAAAACACATTCGGCTATATCTATCCAATGCATTTCACGTACATACACATACATACACACACACCTGAAATCGGTGAATTTATCAATTAATCTCCTAAAGTATAAACAAAAGTGGAGTCATTGGTTGCCTTCTTTATGTCTCTTCTAATTGTATCGCCTAATCCTCTCTCTCTCCCTACTCACATGCATTCCCTTCAGTCTATAATAATAAATTTAGGCTTTTTACTTATTTTATCTTTTTTTTAAAAGAATTATTGTAATTTTTATATTTTCAATAGTCACACTTGAAAATTTTGCTTATTTTCAATCGTTGGAAATAAATTGATCTAGATGATGTACATGCTTTTGTAATTTTTCTTTTCTGGGTAGCCTCCCGCTTTGAGTTGCTTGATGACGATAAGGGAAATATCGTTTTTCAGTAGGTTAATAAAAAAGCACAAGATATCCAGCGAAGAGTGTCTCTTGTCAGTGACTCATATTATTCCTTTGGGTTCCAAGTGGGACGTATAAGTCTTCAGCAGCACGTCACCATTTCACTCTGTTCTCTGTCGTCTTTTTTGTGGCTAGTTCCACCAATACCCACAATGGTTTTATTTCCTCCTCATATGGTGTCCTCCATGTCACTCCTAGACGCGTAACTCATCGCCCGTTTCCTATTCAGGTTCCATTTCAGGGCATGATTCTGCTCGATGATATCGTAGTCATGAGCCTAATCCATCTCCATCCTCTTCGGCACATATGTAAGTGATAGATTGTTGGTTGGTTTACTGCCAGAGTTCCTTGTTGCTCTTCCTTGCTGGCTGGCCATCTGACTTTCAGTAGGGAGTGGCGGTAGCTGTGAACGAAATCCTGCTGGTAATATTATCGGTGACGCTCGCCTCAGTGCTCTGAACCTTGTAGAAGAACTGTTTTGACATTATTGTTGTAAATTCGAATCTTGTTCCTGATGTCGAGAACAGCAGATTCCCACACTGATTTCGGACTAATGAAGGTCTGTTTCGCCTTTCCGATCCCTTCTTTAACATAATCCGTGCCGCCTGTAGTTGAAATGAATTGAATGAGATGAATTCCTTCGGATTTCTTCCACATGCTGTTATTTCTCATGTGTCTTCATCACCTGTGTCCTCTCTATGTTCACTTGAAATCTTCTCTTCGCTTTCAGATTCTTCTGCCAACTTGTTGGTTTTCGCCTGTAGATTTCCGAGTCTGTGTGACATTAAAAATAAGTTATCCGCAAACTTTGGATTTTCTAGAGTCTTCTTGTCAGCTCAGTATGTGTCTGTTTTCTCGATCTCCATGGCCTGTCGTATCCTACAGTTCACAGTCATGAATATCAAGAGTGATAGTATGCAGCTTTGTCTTACTCCTGTATTCACTTCACAGGCTTCTTCGTTGAGCTTTCCGTTGTGAATCACTTGGCGTGTAGTGTTATCCTATAGCTTCATTCGTTTGAGATTGAGCTCAACATCGGTGTACTCGGTTTGACTGATTCTAGAGAACCGAATCAGTTTTAACCACTCGCAAAGCGGAATGTGAATTTCAACTATCGAGCGAAGTTCTGATCAGATGATACAAGCAAAGTTGCTGCTGTTGTGTCTGATACTCTTAGGCGTTTCACAAACACGTCAAAGGTGATACAGAAACCTTTGTCATTGGGTAGACTGAACTGGTTCGGCTATCTCAGCTGACTTCAAATGCATACATCAGTGACGAGTTCAGTTTTACACAAGTGAAACGACCGTCCAGTATTTAGCCTACTTTTATCTTCCTAGCAAGTACTACTGGCTGATGTGATTGATATACGACTACTCATTTCAGTCAATCACTAGTATACAGTCTCAGAACAATTTGTTGTCCGCTGACCTAGCCAACTGTTATATATCTACTATTGACATTTTGAGCACAATTTATTGTTCACAATCCTATGAAGATACATAAATTTCACTGTTCTTTCATAGTTCCATGTTTACTTATCCCAAGATTTTTCGGCAATAATACTTTCTAACGCATCTTTTTGGTGCTGATTCTACTGAGATTTTACGGGTCCAGTTTGAATGGTTTAATTTAATGTCTAAAACTAATAATACAAGTAGGATATTTAGTACTAACTAATGAGATACATAAACCAGGTTACCCTATATGACAAACAGTTGACTTTGGAATTATCTATACACTAAGCATTTATATCATATCCCATCAGAAATTGTTTGAACACCAGGTTAACTAATTCATATTAAATGGAAACGAAGTTAAACGACACTTGAATAGAGAATGATGAAAAACGGTCTACTTACACACCAATCACTACGGTCTTGGAAGCAGTTAGGAAAGAACTCACCTCTGATCCACAACTTACTCATTGGACCAAAGTACCAACTGAAGAAATTATCTGAGCAATTCAATTATGCCACACGTTCACTGTCTTCTAATCTTAGGGCAAAATATATAAACAAACAGAAGGCATAGCAATGGGATCACCAATATCCTCAATTGTAGCAGATGCCTTTCTGAATAGTTAGCAAAATATGACTGTTGAAACATTTAAGTCTACTGCAAAGATATGGCGCAGTTATGTGGATGACACTTTCACAGTGTTGAGAATAGGACGTATATCTAGTTTCTCCACACACACACACACACACTTATGCACACATGAACTGAATAGTAGGGAGGAGGATAAGATTTGCTTCTGAGTGAGAAAATTAACAGACGGCAAGATTAACAATGTTCGATAATTAAATAAAACGAACAGAAAGTAAATGATCGTAATAGAAGGGCACAGACTATAATATATCGAGCACGGTGGGCTGAAATGTCAAAAGCAGAACATAGACTCGAGTCGAAACACTTTATAATTACCAACCGTCTCAACAGAAGAAGTCAAAGTTATGTACAACAAAAGAGCTAGGCTATAACTGTTCAGCGATCACCTGGATCTGAACTGACGCCTTCTTTCGAATTCGACCCACTATACTATACACCAGCGTTTATAAAAACCGACACAGTCTAATAGATATTCAGATGTTAATTTATCTTGTCCTTTATCTGTGAAAGCAGGCTTAGTTAAATGTCTGACACACCGGGTAATAACACTAAGTAATGCATCAAAATGCCTAAATGATGAAATGGAACCGACAAAAGAAGAAGCCTTAGTGCTAAATGACTATGACAAACAATTATTATCAAAATGCTTACAAAATAAAGAAATATTACTGACACTGTTGTCTACCACAAAAATAAGAAGCAATGTAAGACATGCATTCTGTTGTCATATAGGTAAGGAACATCTGAAACGTTGAGTGGGCTTCATAGAAAAGAGGAATTCCGGCTGGTATTCTAACCCGTAAAACTCGCTCAAGAACAAACTTTGTGGGTCAAAGTACTTTACTAAGTGGGTTAAATATAACAGCCCTAGTGTATAAATCACCCTACAATGACTATGAAGATATTCCAGTAGACTGGAGTCACTTAACTTATCAGACCAATTGAGGAGTAAACTCCACGATTGCTATACAGGCAGTGACACAAGCACATAATACGGTAGGACAGAAATGCATTTTTAAAAGTAGGTGGGAAGAGAGGTTGATCACCAATCCATGTTGATTGCATCTACACCTAAGAAGTACAGTAGGAATCATGCAACATAATTATTAGAGATATCACATTACCAATAAAACTAAAGGATAAGAAATAACAGAACTAATCTAAACTAAATCTGATAGTTATGTGATCACCTTGATATAATTATTAGTAATAAATTATGTGGGGAATTTCATCCAGTAAATAATACGATTCCATTGTGTGATATATCCATCCAATAGAGAAATGGGATTACAAATACCACAGTGTCAGATGTTTACACGTATATTCAGATTATATGATTTGTTGGCATTTGGGATTAATTCCAACTGCTCTCTCTTCGTCATGAGCTAAGGAGGACTGGGTGGCTGTTTCATCTTACATTTGTAATTACTCTATTATAGATTCATGCGTATAACACTGTGTAGCATATAATAAATGCTTCTTATAAATACCCAGTTTTGAAGAATGAGTGGGAATGGTTATATGCGTAACCAGAAGCATTTCTCGTCTCTAGTGTAAATAAAGGTTAAAAGAAACAACAAAAGTTCTTTTATTTACTTGTATTGTGGATCATATACACAAAACTAAGTGTCTTTAAAAGATCATTTTAGGGTGAAATTGGCTTTATAAAGGAGATCTGTAATCATCAATTCATTCAGCCTAATGAGGTCGCATCACTTTCCTAGGCCACGGAGTATTTGATGCTACTTCAATAAAATAAAGGAAGATGTTAAATACAACTCGACTAGCTGGATAGTACAATATAATGAACTGTTACTTTTAGGTCAAGACATGGCAACAAACACAACTAATTAAGAACAATAATAATAATAGTCACTTTATTTCAGAAAATAATAACAATTCTTATTACAGAATGGAATTTTCAGCGATTTAAAATGTCTTGGTTTCAACTGAAGGAAACATTGTGTGTTAGGGTAAAAAGCAACATGAATTGTATGAACAACAGCCTTGAATATTACTCTAAGCAGAAGAGACATTTGTAAATCTGGTGAAACGAGCACAATAAAGCAAAATGATTTTTAACTGAGTCTGGTTTTATTAATAAAAATAAAGAAGAATTGAGCTAGGCTGATTAAGTCATGGAATGAATCAAACTGGGTCACAGAAACTGAAAAGCTTTTAGTAACCTTGGTGAATGAAGTTCAAAATTCACCCTGTGTTTCATTTCATTTTGTTGAAGCTACAGTATGCTTGCCTTATTACTATATAAATGCAGAGAATAATCTGTGTACAAATGTGTAAGATTATGCTGGAAGTAGTTGATTTTTAGTAATCCCAACGTGATCTGACAATGAAATGTTCAGCATTTCTGTTGGCGACTTTGTCGGCCGTACTTACATCTACTTGTTACGGAAATACTCTGAATATTGGTAAGCACGGACGTTTATTCATTTCATGATAAGGAATAGTACCTACGATTTTTTGGCACAAGTCATAACCAAATATATATATATATATATATATATTGATGCAAATAATTGGAACAAACCCGTAGTGATATTTTTGAAATACATTAGGATTTAATTGGTGGATAGTGACTAGCAGTGAAATCCAGGATAACGCGCATTTCGTCCTATCTGGGACTCGTGGTCAGCTGGATGTACCTGCATTCCTCAGTGAGCGATGATGTTCCTCGCAACGAGTCTCGAACCCAGTGCCCATAGTTTCAAACACCAGCCAAAGCGTTATTCACTAGACCACCTGGGCTACAAGAGCCACCAGACTTCCTGTGCAACAGGTCATATTAATTATTAAATTGAATTTTTGATTTTCCCGTCGATTGACTGGACTGAATTGCTCGGTCTCAGGTTGACATGTCGGCTTCTTGAGTAGATGCTTCGACGATGTGTCGGCATTTAATTGGTATTTAATTAAATAGGACGAAATGCGCATTCTGGTTTCCATTGCTAGTCCACTTCCACCAATTAAATACTAATCAAATGCCCAGACATCATCGAATTATCTGCTCAAGAAGCTGACATGTCAACCCTGAACCGAGCACTTCGGTCCAATCAATCAACGGGAAAATCTAAAATTGAATTAAAACATTAGTATTTAGTTTTGGAACCTCGATGTCTGGTGTCATTGGGAGAAATGTACTGTTTTTCTTTAAGTGGATATAGATAAATTCTGAAGAAATCGAGGTAGATAACCTACTGGATAATTATTTGGCTTTTTAGACGATTGGTGCTATGTTCCCGTCTCCAGAAGAACATCACCACTCATTGCTGATTCAGGTACATCAAGTTGACGAGTGTCGAGCAGAAGGAAAAGTCTGACTGATTTCCACTGTATGTCCCGTGTGGATCAGGCGTTTGGTAATTACAATTGAGAACACTTGCTGCTTTTCATATGGAGACTTTTAGGGATATGCTCGGAAAATCTAGTAGATGTTCTCCTCTCAGTCCTTCCGACTAACTTGCTGTCGCAGGTGTAGATGAATTGGTAAATGCAGTTGGAATTGACTTGTGGAGCAGGATGCTTTATTACTTTTCACTGAAATGACGAGCATACTGTGTTGTAAAGTGGAATGTGTCTGGCGGCGGGAAATGTACTTTTCAATGCACCCTTAATTCGTTTTCCAGTCTTTGTGAATACCCCTCCCGTCCTCTTTGTACGCTAGACAGATACAAAGTGGTTTCTTTTCGACTATTTCAGGTTTCGGTCTAGGTATACTTCTACTCTAATATTTTAATCTGAACTTTCGTGGGTATCCAGTCTCTGTAAGGTTTTTATTCGACAATTGTGAGTTCCTGTTCATTTGTATCTTCTGAACATAACTCCCTAGCTGTGCTAAAGAGCATTTTTCCCAGGCTCTGTTTGTATCCGATTGGACAAAAGCTGTGATAATTGAAGTAGACTGAATAGTCCAATTTTTCATTCCTATGGATGATTTCAATCAAAACTGAACACGCTCACCTTGATCACACTATCTTATGAATAGTGTGCATCAGATATTTTAAATAAAGGTGACAACTGACTGACATCGTTTGCTTTTTTCTTGTTGTTCAAATTCGTTGCTCAGGTGTTATCTAGTAATGTTAGTCTGAGGAAAAAATTAAATATGTGCATGGAACTCGACAAAGCAGTTCTGTTAGTCACAGATCCTCTGTTACTTGATTTCTCTAAAGGTTTAATCACTTTTTCAAGGCATGTCTGAGTTGTGAATACCTTGCAATTAGATCAATCAACTCAGAGGATACAAGTAAATCAAAATCACCCACCCACTTCAGGCACAAATCTTCTCTACTATTTCAAGTTCCTACTAGGTTTCACTAGCCAGATTTATTCACTGTTGTCTTTACATGATCACGTCATTTCAAACAACCTTCAAATCTCTTCACAATAATTTTCTTTTCGAAGTAAACTTGATATGTGAAGTAGTAACACGAGTTGTAATTCACTGAAATAATTCTGATTTCCATAGAACTCAACTAGTTTTTAGATAAGAAATCATTACTGTCAGAGAGTGCGTCGGTGGCATAGCGAATAGGACGCTCGCCGACCATGCACATGGTCCGGGGTTCAATCCCCGGCCGACGCAATCCTTTACCTCACTAAGCCAGAAATAATGCTGGTGAAGAGGAAAGGTTGGGCATGAGGCTAGCAACCCCATTCTGTAGAAACAAACACCACTGCTACAGAAACTTCAAGCCACTAGCTTGAAGCCCTATATTCCACTGGGAACGTGAAGGAAAAAAAACTGTCAGAGAAATCAGATGGAGAATATCTATTGGCAATGAATTGCCGCAGTCCTTATGATCACGAAATATACCCACCCATTTATTCATAAGGAGAACACAGTTTCGAGTTCAATGAAGAAATATTACTTCTCTACCTGTATGGTCTTATTTCTGTTACGAAAATGGCTGATGAAAGCTACTGGAAATTGCTCAGTCAAGGCAGACACACATGATAGCGATAAAGATAATGACTTGCAGATAATCCTTGCTGATGATTGACAGAAAGCACGAAATTCCGGTTTTACAATCTCTTACTGATTGCCCTCAAATACATAACTATATATAACTTACCTGAGAGCTTCATCTCTTAAATAAAACACAATGTTGGTTGTTAACTATGCTGAGTGACTAAGTGAGGTTACAATATCCCTGCTGATTTCGGAGTTTCACTGATCAAAAATTAATTACGTATATTAAAATAACGTCATTCTAAAGAAACAGTAGTCGAATAGTCACATGAATGAATGTCAAAATGAATACAATCTTCACATCCTTGATTCAAAAGACTGGCAAGAAGTCTTACGTATAACAAAAAAAACCAGTAATTAAAGCTTCTGTTTCTCCCCTGTAGCATTGATTGGGATATAACCTAAGTCGTTTGTCCCAGACTTTCATTCTTTATCAGTTCGTCAGTGACATAAAATTTCTGTGGTTGTAAGTTGCTTCAGGATATGTTGACACTTCGGATACACAGAATCAGTTTTATCATCCGGATAATTATGAGTGTCATTGGTCGGATGGTGGTAATGAAACAGTAAGCAGTCTGGCTTTTTATTCCTTCATGTGTCGGTTAGTAGCATCACTTCTGCATGCTTGGAATATGGTGACTACGATTTGAAGACTGTGATGCTCTGTAATTCTATATTCTAATGTAACGGGAAGAGGAAGCCAGATGCATGTGATACTGAGGAAAATAGTGTTCCCTTCTTCGAGACTTCAACCTGCACCAATCAGCACTCCTATAATTAATCCGCTTGACAGTTCTCTTCACTGTGAATTTATATTATAACTGTAGTCCAGATTAAAGGTTCCTGAGGCTTGTTTGGAATGTAGCTGGTCAGTCAAAGCTGATTAGGAAGTTGAAATGTGAGAAAACAGTAGGTATTCCATAGATAACCGTCGGTTTATTTTGTTTTCTCATAGGTATAATTTATGACAATGAACTGGGAATATCTGGAGAAGCTTTGATGAGACGGTTCAATGAGTTAAGGGCCAAAATGGAATATTATGCTGATTATCCGATCAGAAATTTTTCTCTACCAAGCCCACCTCCATTAAACATAACTATTAATGAATTTACAGTTGGTCAAGGTTAGTCTCACAAATTTTCGCCTTAATACTTATACTACCGATAAATTAAGTGCAATGATAATCATAGTTACTTTCAGTTGCACAGGATTATGTTTGTTCTGGTGACTTCTGCAATACACCGTTTATCTAAGATGGGATATTTTACCTCTGTTCAATGTTTTACCATCCCTTTGCCTATCGATGTCATTAGAGACGTGTTTGAAGAAAATGTTCAGTGTATCCCGCACAATCTCAAAAACATTCCTAGTATCGTCTGATGAGAGCTTCAATCTACACTCAATATTTCCATCTTGTTATGTGGGTGCTTTGAACTGCGTAAAACTGGGTACACCACTGATGCTGTTGACCTCAAATGAGCCACCTGGTGTTTAGATCATTTCAAGTGGGCAAGCATGTGAATGGTGGGCATTTAGAGCATTTCTAGAGCAAATGTCAACACCAAGTGTACGATTTCAGATTCATACATTCCATTCTGCACCGCATAAACAGTCACTAGACTTTCACTGGAACGTATTTCTCCTTGATGAAATCTAGACGCCAAGTCATGTGAAAGAAGGTTCATTTCGTTCTGTCCCGATTACATTTCATTCAAATAGTTTCTTACTTCTCTTAACTCAGATGATAAATAGTTTCATACGAAGATGCATTCTAGAGGGATCATTCAAGTTTATTTTGCTAATGTTGAGTTGATAATAAGGCTGATATTTTGTTTTCAAGCTGAGATGCTACTCAGACAAAATTAGCCAATCAAAGGTCTCGTCTAGAAAAAGTTAAAATTCATCATTCATTTATCATTGAAGTTCAGTTTGCAAAATAAAATTGTACAAATCAGTGGATGAAAGTCTGGAAGCCAAAATTATTCAAATCACAACTTGTTATACTATAAATGACAATCAAGAAATGCGGCTAGCAATTGAGTGCTGTTCAGCCACTTATCTCAGTCAAGCAGTAGTATTTTAGGTGAAATTTTGATGAAGAAACATTGACAGATAGATGTATTCCGTCTGTAGTTATCAACGCAGAAAATTTCTGTCAATTCAGCTTTATTTTCTACAAGAAATAGCTGACAATTTACACTCGCTGATATACATACAGTAAATTATTGAGAGAATTTCAATATACCTGGAACTATCTATGATGTGTATGTTTGTTTGAATATGGAGAGCTCTATTGATTTCTTCTGTTTTTGATTACATCCTTTTTTTTTGATTCAGCCTGCAACTTAATCCAAAATAATGTGCATGTGATTATAAGTTTGACCATCTGCTCCGTGGCACAGTTAATCGAGTCACAAACTTCACCACATAGAATAACACATGTGGCCATACCTAGACCAGCATGCTCTAGAGATTCCATCGATTCGAGTGCACTGTCAGACTCAACAACAATATGGATTCAACCAACACCTGAGCATACAAGCAGAGCTATATATGAATTAAGCGAAACTGAACGTGCTGCTTTAGCTTTGCTTCTAAGTGATTCACCTACTTGTAAGTAGTATAATAAATAAGTTAAATAATATATTATTTATTCTAGTATTGGTATTAATTATCTTTGTGACAAATTGTTCCAATGGTTATCTGAGAAACATAACTACACTATCAATACTCTAGATATGAATATTAAACTCTCCGAGGAGCAATTTATTCATCTTTGTGAACACAGCTGGCTCAGCCCATGTATCATATAGTTGAATGCATTGACCAATTCATCGTCTTTAATGCACTGATCATTGATGAAACCTTGAACAGATATAGAAGATCTAACTAGAGATTTCAAACTTGTATCACCTTTACAGATTGCAAAATATCTACCCACCTATAAAACAGAGTGTATACTAACCAATATTCCACTCTGTTCTATTATGCCTATATCAGGCTATTCCACAGAAAGTAAGCATGTGAAGAAATGAAAGAAATTTGACAATAAGCGTCTTCGTTTAGTTGAGGCAACACAGATGAGACTGAAAGCAGACAATGGTCGATGAATGATACTAATAATCCTTATCATTTGAGATGAATTGGGGCATGTATCACGATAAGCACTATCAATTGCTGGTGAATTGAGTTGAAACTGAATATTCAAGGTAATCTGAACACAAACGCTGCGTAATCCTTTGAGACTTTTGACTGTTGGGGTAAGCCATACTTCACGGAGATTCTGGAAATATTGAAAATCAGTTGTGCTGACCTCTTCGTGAAACAATCCGAAGACATATGTAGTGAGAATTCGAGGGGATTTCACCAACTTTGTCCATGAATATATGATCAGGTTTGATTTTTCCCCTCATTTTTGTGTGATGTCTTGAATTAGACCGATCCGAAGTAATCAATCTGTGTACAAAGATTTACATTGTTCCCTTTGTCTACCAATGGATTAATTTGTCACTGGACATATTTTAATTTCAGAAGTCATAACATTGATAAGTGCTTTAAATTTGCCTCAATTGTGATTGCTTCTAAACTCCACTGAATACTTACTCGCAGCTAAGACAATTCAACCTTACAGATTACTTTTATGTATTTGGCAATAGAAACAATGAAATTTGAATTTTAATCCTTATAGTCTCCATTATTACTGATTCTTCGAATGAATCATATTTAATGGTATAATGTTTGAATGCTTATTGGATGGAAGGATTGTGATTACACATAATCTTCTGCATGTCGTCATTGATATTATCACTATTATTATCACTATCGCTACCATCATAATTTATAACATTTTTACATGTTTTCCGACTAATTTATCAGGGTAATTATTAAGTTTCAAGGCTTCTCTTATATGTCTCACTTCCTGTCTTAGATTTTCCTTGGTGCTACTTAGCTTTTGTGCTCTATCACTTAAACATTTCACCAATCCTATTTTTACTGACATGGGATGGGATGATCGGAAGTTCAAATATCTGTTTCAATGTGTGGGTTTCCTATAAAAACACTGGTGTTTAACTTCCCATCTTCTTTCCTTTTTACGCTACAATCTAACATTGGAAGTTCCCCTTCCTGATATTCCAGTTCATATATGTGAATATATCTTCCACAACCGGGGATATTGGTGACCCCCTAAGTTTGTTTGTATATCTTACCCTGGAATTTAAATACTGTGGAAGTCAGGCATAGCTGCACTAACAGCATTGTGTTCTCAAGTAGCACTTTCGTCCTAAGTTCGAGTTCTTGGTCAAAAATGAGTTCATTTCTGACTACCTCCATAGCCATATTTATCGATATACGTGTATATAAACCGACAATGTCAAAACTAACCATTTTTTTTCTTCATTATCTAATTTTAAATTATCCTATCTATGTTTTAGTGCATAAGAATTTGTTAGTCTAGATTTTGAGTGGCTTTTGAGGGGATTTAATACCATGGCTAAATATTTAGATAATTCATAAGTAGGTGGATTTCTAAAATCAACTATAGGTCTAATAGGGTTTCCTGACTTGTGACCTTTAACAACACCATACATCCTACTGGGATTATTATTTTTGGTCATTGAATTAAACCACTTAGACTCACCTACAAACGGCTTCATTCGGCATATAAGGTCCGCTGTGGTGATTGTGATTATTAACAATAAAAAATATTGTTCGAAATCGCGTCATCCAGTAAATACTAATACTGTTTCACTGTGTGATACATTTAATAAACAAACTAATGTTGAATTAGCAAAATCTTTAAATAACTACATTTTCAAGCCTAATATTAAATTAAACCATTAGCAGTTAAGGCGAAGGTTTATGCTAAAAGTATGACTGGACAACAAGATGTCTAATAAAGTAACTGCTGTTCTTACAGGCACACAGAACAGTCATCTCTTTTGACCTTTCCATGAGCTTAGGGAGGAGCAGAAATTATTGGGAGAAGAATAACTGGATTGGGTTCTCATTCAAGTTATTTATTGCATTTCGATATTGAACCCAACCCTCAGCATTATCATTATTATTGTAAATGGTCATAATAACTTCGACTGTTACTGTTAAATAGAGATAAACACGACAGAATGTAAAAGTTTGAATTTAGGAGACTGATCTGAAACTGATCTGAGATATAATCATCATTTCAAATATTGATAAAAGCACAAAAACAAACTTGCTCTTGAAACACGTGTTCATGCTTTACTGAATAATGTTGACGATAGACTATTTTTCTGTCTTCTATGTGTTTGGACGATAATCACACTTTTAAACCATTATCATGCCGTAAAACTATGTTGTGACAATTCCTAACACTAAGTTATACGTGGAATAACCACAATCATAACTAAATAGTCATTCATACATTGAAGAGAATAAAAAACTTGAGCAAAGAATATCCTTTTCGATAACTTTCTCGTCTGTCTGTACAATTACATATATATGTATATATGTTTAGATACACAGAATATTCAAGAATAGTCGTCATTAACAATATTGGTGTTTTTGTTAAGTAAGACCCATGAAATTACAGTTCACGAAAGATGCATAAATTATAATAAGCACACAAATGTAATAGCGAATCGAATATCATATAAAAAATTAGAGGAGTTTCCACAACAAAATGAGGACCATTAAAATTTTGATAGCCAAGGTAGGGACAGTGTCTGAACCAACTTCTCTGGGAGACATAAGTTAGGTATCTTAATGTGAATCTCAATGGCCTCAGCAATATGTGGTAGACGAACTCTTAAAGTAAAGTTAAGATTAGTTGTTGTGGGGTAGATGACTTTGAAAACCTGGTTAACATCAATCTTGTATTCTGTATCCACGTGATGAAACAGTATAGAACTATGAATGAACTTTGTTCGTCCTTTACTCAATCACACAGGATGGTGTTCGGAAATCTGACGATAAACACGACTGATTGTACGGCCTGTGCATCTAACTGGTTCACTAGACAGCAGGGTCAGTCAAATTGGTAGATACACATAGAAGAGGCGAAACTAGACAATTATCTTTAACTCCCTAACTAAAATAGGAGTAGTTTTGAGGACACAGCATACTACAGCCGCATTTCTTAGGCGTTGTGATAATATCTCCGAGGGACTGATGTTGTGAGACTAAGACCTTCCTTTTCCGGAACTATTGGTTCGTACTTTCGCCTGCCTTGACTCTTGATTCGCATTCTTATCGACGAATTTTATGGGTAACCGTTCTCACTCAGCAAATGTTTAATAATATTAAGCTCTTCATTGATACATTCATCACAGTAGATTGCGCTTGCTCTGTGTATCAAGCACTTTATGAAATTGCGTTTGTATTTCAAAGGCATAAAGCTGAAAATATGAGTATAGTGACCAGTTTATTTAGGCTTTCTTTTCACACCTCTTGTTACTGTATCATCCTCTTTTCTGGTCATGAGGGCGTGTAGGAATGAAACACTAGAGTGTCTTGCTTTCTCGATGGAAACATTTATTGCAGGATGTACATCGTTAATTTGTCGATAGGAATGTTCTTTACTTCATCCTCATCTTTCATAATCAAAAATGCATCATCCATGTAGCGACAGTAGAATTCTAATTCATCAATTACATCTGCAAAGGCCCATTTTCTGCTTTCGCAGGGAAAGTGTCGGTTAGAATGGTTTGTAGTGGTGAACCCACTGCCACACCATCGATCTGTCTGTATAGTTCCCTAATAAGTAAAAAGTGAACATTGATTGCGCATTCCAAAAGAAGCTATTTTATAAGAGATGTTGGAAGGCAAACATCGATGTTTCGTCTTATGAGTTCTTCGCATAGAAAGTCTACTGTCTCCATAAGTGGTACATTGGTGAACAGGGAAGATACATCGAATGATATCATGAATTTATTGTCAACATTTAAAACTGTCATCATTTCAACAAATCCAAAGGTATCTTTTAGGCTGTGTTTTACCAATTCAGTTTGTAGAGGCTGAAGGAGTTTCACTAACCATCTGGCTATGAAATGGTATGGTGTGGTGAATTTAACTTACCTAATACCGGTCGAAGTGGTAAACCATTTTGTGCACTTTCAGTGAACCATATAATCTTGGTGTGAACGTTGCAGTGGGTGTTCAGTGAAGTAAACTGACTTTGTGAGACAAAGCCTTGTTGTTTCAGTCTTCTCAATGTCTCAGCTAACTGTTTCTCTTTCTTTTCAATCGGATTTAGACAAGATGGGATATGCAATTAAAAGCGTTCTCTGAGCTACAAATCTTCTCTATTATTTCAAGATGGGATATATTGGAATTTTAGATTGTCATTAAGAACAGTATTCATCTTCTCGAAGTAATCCGCTTTGTTCATGAACAACCACTCCTGAATCCTTATCCGGTCTTTTTATTAATATGTTATCTTTTTTTGGAGAATATCTAGGCCTTGTTTATGTTTTTTGGTTAAAATACTATCCGAATTGCGTTTACTAATCAACATAATTATAGCAACAATCGACCAGGGTGTACTTAAGTATTTCAACAGCTTCAGTCGATGAGGATGTTAATCCTTCGGTTTGAGTGTAGTGACCTTCAGACTGACCTTGTGCATCCATTTTATTAATTCTTACATAAGTATCACAAAATTTGGGACTCAGCGATAAAACTTGCAGATACACTTCATCCATCAATATACTGTTGGACTGACATTCTTCTTCTTCTTCATAAGCTGCTACTAGTTAGTTAAAAGTTGGAGTCTTCAGTGGATTTCCAAGTGCTGATTTACAGGCATTCGACTGATATCAAGTTAGACCACTAACTGACATCATTAAAATGTTACTGAAGACTAGGGAATACTGGATGGCTAATTATCCTGGGAACAACCCCCTATGGAACCAAGGCTACCTATTGCTGAGGAATTCCAAAACTAGGACTCAATATCTATCCAGTAGCCAGTGGTTTCTATTGGTGCCAGTTGGCGATATTGCTGAGTGTTGGATAGAATAACAACGCCTACAACTCATCAACTCAAATGTAATCTTCCTCAACCAAAACATTTCAAGTCTAACTTTTATTTCATTTTTGCTTTCACATAACAGTAGAAGTGGAGGCAGTTTTGGATTTAATCTTACAATCAGAAATGAACAATGAAAAATTCGTGCCATACTTTTCAACTCAAATGTATTCCAATCATAATCTATCGAATATTTTCTATCCAACTTCAAGTATACACAGAACAGTCGATGATTTACTGAATCGAGTGAAAAATTCACAAAAGCAAATATCATCGAAATTTCTGTTGACTCATATATTTCAACTGCAGGTGAAACCACTTGATCCGGATCAGCTGTATTCGGTGAGTAGGTAGCATTTTCAACGATTGATGTTATGCAGCATGCTGCATGTTACTGAATAATCCAGTAATCTATATTTAGCTAAAAATGTATCCAAATTCTATTTTAATTATAATTATTATTCCCTTAGCCTCCGAGTAAAACATGGGGCTTTGGCAGAAAATCACCAGTCGATTCTGTCCACTTTTTTAACTGTCGTTTCCTACAGGCATGAAATTAATTGAGCTGTATTCATGCTCCTTGCTTATCCATCCACTCGTTTTGTGGGTGTGTGTGTGTGCAAAGGAAATATAAACATAAGATCAAGGTTAGTGTAGTTTCTCACAGATAGAGATGGAAAGAAAGAGGCTTTGGATGTACTCGAGAAATTTAGTTAGCTTAAGTTGTCATGAATTATAGGATGCAGTGATAATTGTGTGTCATTTGTGTGTTATTGCAAATCCATGGTGTACAATAAAAGGGATTGAATATAACCTCAAATTAGTTTGAGAAACATTGTTATTTTTAGGTCATTTACATGCCTTGAATGAAATCTGAAATGACTGAATTTAACTCAGCTTAGTATACACACTCCAACAATAAATAATAATAATGAACAATGCTCAAAATTGCGCTGAAGGGGATGTTGTCCAGAAGGAAGACGAAAACTCCGCAACTAAACCAACCAGCTCAGAGTGTGATGAGAGTAATTCAAGTCAATGTTTATGTCCCAAATATTGGTCATGTGAAAAAACAAGAACAAAGACTGACTCAACAGCCGATCACAGCAGACTTTGCGTAGGCGGATACAATTAGCAAATAGATGATCTGACCTTCAGGAAACAACCACAAAGAGATGAAAGATTAACCTTCAGTGAGAAACAACCATCAGAAGACTGTGTTTGTCTGATAACAATAATCTATAATAATGTACATGAAAATCTATAAATATTTGTTGATTTCCTTAACAAACGATCTGTTGCCTGGCCCTTGTCTTCTGTTCTAGATAAAATATCCAGAAACAGGTTCTCTTCTCCTGGAACATGAAAGATCGTGAAATCATACTCTTGCATGCGCAACATCCATCGTGACAACTTCCTACGTGGGTCTCTGGTGGTTCTCGGCCACTGCAACGGCTTATAATCAGTCTCTACGGGGAACCGTTGACCAAGTAAATACGGTCTCCATTTGTCTAGCGCACCCACAACAATCGCCAAACACTCCTTATCAATTGTTAAATACTTCTGTTCCATGTGCGTTAAAACACGCTGGTGTATTCGACGACTCCGTCACCCTGTCTGAGTACTGCCCCTATTCCGTAATCGCTAGAATCGGTAGACACTATGAATGGCTCTTCCGGCACCGGTAGTCGCAGCGTCATTCTCTGGTGATCCATCAGCTGTTTGATGCAATCAAATACCCTGTGCGAGTCTTCCGACCAGACAAACTTTGACTCGCCTAATAGCTGGTAAAGCGACACAAACCAACAAAGACACCAGCACCAAGAAGATCAAGCCAACTGACACCAAATGTGATCGCAGAAGACAATGGCCAGGCAACAGATCGTTTGTTAAGGAAATCAACAAATATTTATAGATTTTCATGTACATTATTATAGATTATTGTTATCAGACAAACACAGTCTTCTGATGGTTGTTTCTCACTGAAGGTTAATCTTTCATCTCTTTGTGGTTGTTTCCTGAAGGTCAGATCATCTATTTGCTAATTGTATCCGCCTACGCAAAGTCTGCTGTGATCGGCTGTTGAGTCAGTCTTTGTTCTTGTTTTTTCACATGACCAATATTTGGGACATAAACATTGACCTGAATTGCTGTCTACCAATTTAGCTAGCAGACAGCTCTCACCACAAAAGAACACTAATAATTGCAAATAAATAATAATATTAAATGTCAATGATGCTTACTGATCAGCAAATCTTGCAATTAATAGAAAGTTGACACTGATGTAGAATAAGTCTAATTTATAGCGAAATTAATGATACATGCATAAAACATTGTCTTTTTGCCTCTTATTTTTGCTCGCATAACACAAAGGTGATAACATTAAATGTCAGTTATTCGGACAGCATGATAACATAAAGTGTAAGGACTATGTAATACAATGCAGACTTAAAGTGCAGTTTGATGTTATTATGCGTCTTCTAGAAGCTTTCGGACAGAAACCACTTATATACACTAACGGTGTATATCAGCCATCTATATTTACTTAGATATACCGACTGAGTTAGGTATTACTAACCAATCAGGCCACACAATCACAAATAAATCACCATCGTCTGGCAGAAAGGCATTTGGTAATGGTTTGTTTAACTGATACAGCATTTCACCTAGCTACAATAAACGTCGACGTCTATACCTCCTAATAAAAGTCAATCTGAATGGAGAATATTCTTTTCAATAAATTCTCTTCAGGTCCTTACAATTAACATAAATGATGCATTTCTACTTAGTATAACAGATTAATAGTTATTGGTTGACAAAATGAGTGGTATTCGTGTGACAATCAGCTTGGCTGAATACAATTACAAAATATTGTGAAATGATGGTCATTAGTCATAACAGCTTCAATGCAATGTGTGAAAGGGAAATTTACAAGTCAGTTGAAGGTTGTATAATAGTGTCAGGTGTGTGGTGAGTACAAAAAAGTAAGCAATGTAGATGAGATAGCAAGACTGCGGTATACAGTTCACAATAAAGTAACCAACATGTGAAATGAAACAGGTGGAGGTATAGACTGAGGAAAGTGACCATATCACAAATTTTAAGTCACAGTAGATTTTCTAATATTTTATTCCTCCACGTTTTGAGTGTCACATAGGGCTTCAGGCTAGAGCTTTGAAGCCTTTGGAACAGTGGTTTTATTTTCACAGGATGGTGTTGCTAGCCTAACACCTCTCAACCTCTCCTCTTCACTGGATCTACTGCTGGCTAGGCGAGAGTAAGGAGTGTGCATCGGCAGAGGATCGAACTACAAACCTTATGCATGGTCAGTGAGAATTCTACGGCTACAGCACCAACGCACAAGTTACATTAGTAGTAATGGAAAATTCGATAGTATAGGAAGAATGATAGAATAAAGCGTGCTAAGCATAACACATTATGGCTAAAACTATTAGGATGAAGGAAGTTAAAAAAGGACAAAAATTATAAACAAAGCAGAAGAAAAAAGAGATAAGAGGAAGAGGCAGTCTCAGAGAGGAGAAGAAATTCTTTGGTGCAGGTTTGATCACAATAGGGAACAGCTACTGAACGTGTTCTTTTCAAACACAAATTCCAGGTTTAATCTATCTTATTGCTACAGTTTCAGCTATACATGTAGAAGACGAAGGCGAACTGTCTGTCATAATGACTTCAGAATGTGGCATACAAGCCTGAAGGTTATGTTAGCGTCAATGTGACGTACTGTATTGTGGCAGAAATGAACATTTTATGCATTTGATTTCCCTCTAACTGAATTCAGCTGGTAAATGCTCTTCAGTCCATAGACTCAGCTGAGTAACTGTACACCATATATAACATGAACTACATGAACGGTTGAAATGGTATATGCACAAGGAAGAAATACGATTAGCGTTTCATTTCGGGATGAATAGCTGCTGAAGGATAGAAAGAGATGTGCAGAGTAAAAAGTCTTCTTTATCTCTGTGGTTAAATGTTAAACTATAATCTCCGTAGGAGTACCTATCTCCCTTGAATCGCTAGTTCATCCTGGCGAACATTATAACCTTTTATAAACCTCTTTGCATATATCCATTCACTTTCAGAATATCTCGAATGACCTGGAGTTCTTTCTTCACACAGTCTTGGGAGCAAAGCCACCTAATTTGTCACACGAATACTATTTATTCTATCGCTGAATAACTAATCTGTGATGGCATAACTGACTGCCATCGTAACGACAAGTATTATATTTGTACACTGTAAGAACGTGAATCGAATTTGCTGAAATGTGTATTCTTCGTTCAGATTGACTTTGAATTTATGATGTGAGAATATTTTGTACTATTGCATCTGAATACGTGTTGATTCCACCAACTCACCAGGCGTATTGAAAACGAAGTAAATAGACAGCTGGTCAACTAAGCTTCTATAGGTATTCCTTTTGTCCCGCATATATATATATATATAAACGAATTATGTTATATTTTACAACGTGTTTATTTTATTTATTTTAAGATATTTCAAAACAGGTACATATTTAAAAACTTCTACTGGATATTCGCTACAACACTGTCTATAACACCGAATGAATTAATCCGTGTAGCAATGACCAATCAAAAAGAACAGGTTGCAACAGGATTTTATCGACAATTTCCTATACTCAATGAAGAGGATTGTTTAAATCTGGAAATTGGCGAGAATATGCGTTTGTTAATGGAAGAAATATTCCAGTGTAATACATACAACATAACTGTAAGCTGAAGACACAATTGTATTTAGCCATGAATAGGAAAGGAGAATAGTTTTCGAATAAATAGTTCAAGATTTCGTAGTATTGAGCCACGTTAAATTTGTGATAGATACTGGAAAGGAGAACAAATGAAGCAGAAGAAGCAACAGACGAACATCAGCGACTCCATGAACATACATGACATTAGCATAGGTGGCCTGACTGGTGTGTGGAACTCACTGCCATCACGCCTATCGGAAGAGTTTTACTAATTGTGCTGTCGATAGCTGTTTACTTCCGACTGGTTTCATCCTTAGATCCTTACCCTCCCATTAGCACAGAATGAACTGTAGCGGTAAATAATTCCACAAAATGATTAAACAACAGCATTCTTTGCTCAACATTGGATGCTGATCTTCACTGTTCAAGTCAACTTGTTAAGCTGAATGTTCTCAGTCAAGCATCCACACGATTCGGCACGCTGTCGTGTTACTTTCAGTTATTTGTGCACGTTCTCTAACTAACTAAGCAATCATCATTGCACCACTATTCTGATCCCGAAATATATCTTGTATTTTGTACAATCAAAATGTTGGTTTGGTTCGTCTGTGATCTCATTTACAGGATAGAGACTCACGTGTATATATAAATACGGCATATCTCGCGTAAACATTGACATCCTTCAGGTCGTAAACTGGTATCCTTTAGCCCTAATCCAGGTCAACCATAAAACTTTCTCTACTGCCTGACAAGTTTCTTGTACCCCACTACACTATATATTTAACATTAAAATCTTATGAAGTATGCTTACAACACAGAAACAGGTGTCAGTATATATCATGTATTACGTACTCCTAACCGGAGTAAAATCAATCATCGTGAGAGCTACTCCAATGAGTATTTTCCATAACAAAACTTAGTGGTTGAACACCTCTTGGTGAGGGGAACTTAGCCTCCCTTATTATTTTTTTTCTATCATAGCTTGATTCCACACAGTATTTTGGTATAATTATACAATTTTCAGCATTAAATGTCGGTAGCCTGAATTTAGCATTCCGGCTATTGATATCAGGTGTGCGTCGACCGGGGATCGATCCCGGGACCATGTGCATGGTTGGCGAGCGTCCTAACCGCTGTGCTACCGATGCTTCTAGAAATAAGTCGTTTCCATCACTGAGTTTATTTCTCTAGATACTTTGACATGCTTGAAATGGCTGCTATTTTCTTCAGAGCCATTTGTGCGTAGAAGCATCAATGTGGAATTTAAGTTAACATTTACATTTTGAAACAAAACGCGTATAAAATAGTACATACAGAAAATTGGTTGCGATATGGGTGGTTAGAAATCATTTACGTCAAACATTATTATTTTGCTAGTAAGATCACTGAACTACAGTGTAGCGAAGTTTCCCCCTTTGAATGGTGTTATCGAATTCTCTCACATGTATGCATTTTCTCTCAAACTGAAAGGTGAACACTATGACACCAGTCGACAGTATGTGTTTCTTGATAGTGTTATTAAAGGTAAAACACTGGTATTTAATTGCCCTCTAACATTTAGCCTTCAGTTCGTTAGTGAAACCGACTGTTTGAGATTCATCCATTCAAGGTGTTTTCAATTAATGAATTGAATGAAGGTGTTCGGGTGTTCAGTGTATCACTCAACTGACAAGGTGATGAATTTCAACATTCATAAGGAGAAAACTTGTGTTGAACTATACTGGAGACAGAACAGAGACTGTTGTCGGTAGCCAGGTATGCCAAGAAGTAGAAAATATTACCACCCTAGGTTACATACATATTCACTGATTAATACAAGTATTTATAAATCTTATTGTCTCTTAATAAAAGGAATGAATATATTTCATTTTCTTTTGCATATTTCAGGAACGTGAACTGGAAGCTGTTTATATGATACTTTTATCTAGTCAAACAACGATTCTAATGAAGAGTCTTTCATTGGATATCTTGAATACCCCAGTTATTCAAAATTGTGGTTCTAATGTTGTTCAGACTAAGTCGTTCGGTCAACTGTTTTATCGGATTCTTATTTCTGTAAATGGGCGTTTTTGTTTTGACATGTGAATATTGCTCATTATTTCATGTTTACTCTGTAACAGTTGCTTAAATCAGAGTACAAATTGAATTTATGTAGAAAAGGGAATAGATATAAATCTCCTCTTGAGTCATAATCAGTCAGTCGTCAATTTCGAATAATAATACAGAAAGTGGATAGCAAGTTGGTAGTTGGCTTCACCGTCCAACACTTCATGAGACAACATGGGTGTCTATCAGTGTGAATGGTAGGATTAGTCAGTTTGCCTACAGTTAGTCACGGTTTCGCACATAATACCAGTGTGAACACACAGTTATTGAGTTGTGATGATTTCACTCAGTCAGTACATTGCTTGTTCTAATGTAATTACCATCGTGTAAACGTATGCGTCTGAGGTAGAATGTTCGCCAGTGATGCACATGGTCTTACTTAGATTTGAGGATGACGCATTTCTAAACCTCGCCTAGTTTACTATCTGACAGTTGGACTGGAGAAGACGAAAGGTTGGACGGCAGCCTAGCAACCACAGTCCCATAGAAGAAGAATACCGTCGCTTGAAGACCCATGTTTCACTTGAAACGCAAGGATTGAAGAAGAAGATCGTTTAAATACAGGGTCCACTGTAAGGAAAAGCCACATGGATAACAGGTTTAAAATAGTTATGAAATAATTAACATTCCGATACGACCCTGGAAAAGACATATTGTAATGGTAGAAACGATAAATCTTATCAGCAGCAGAAGCCACAATATCATCTATTTTTCTGGTTTAAGAGTAGTCTGGGTGGCCGAGTTCAGAGGTTTTCACCTTAGTGTTGTATTCTAGACTTTAAAAAATACACTTAGCTGTTTCCATGGCAAAAGAAGACGTGGAATTCATTTGAAGGTGTTGTCAGGTGACTCTTGTTTCACAACGTATCTTACTACGCATTCAGTAACGGAATGCCAGAACAGATGCTAAAGAAAAGTCTTGAATGACATAATATTGGCTTAAATTTGACATTAACTAGATAGAATTAGGAAGAAATTGATCAAATCTGCAGTTTAAACAATTCAAAGTGAAATTTCACCACTGTCTTTCTTTTGAAAACCGAGATTATTCAGATCAAAACGGTTTGACTGATTCCAGAGAACCGAATCAGTTTTAACCACTCGCAAAGCAAGACGTGAATTTCAACTATCAAGCGAAGTTCTGATCAGATGATACAAGCAAAGTTCCTGCGCTTGTGCCTGATACTCTTAGGTGTTTCACAAACACACTTATGATGATACAGAAACCTTTGCCATTGGGTAGACTGAATTGGTTCGGCTATCTCAGCTGACTTCAAAGGCATACATCAGTGACGAGCTCGGTTTTACACAAGTGAAACTGCCGTCCAGTGTTTAGCTTACTTTTATCTTCCTAGCAAGTACTACTGGTTGATGTGAGTGATATACGACTACTCATTCCAGTCAATCAGTAGTATACAGTCTCCTAGAATTAAGAGAACATTGTAAATTATATTTAGTTATCAGGGTGTAGATTCTCTGAATCTGTGCGAAGTTCTCTTAGCTTTTATTCGTCAACTTTGAAACTGGATGATGATGAAAATACTTGCTGGCGAAAATACAGACGGATCACGATCACTGAATCCTATTCAATCAAACATCTTAATATGCATGAGAATCTTCTCATGCATTATTTAAGCTGAACTTAAAAATACGTCGATCGATGACAGGAGGCATGATATAAGACCTGGTGAACACTGAATGAATGACTCAGCACAGTTGAATTAGTCACTTCAAGATGGTTGTTTCAGTGTGTTTTCCACTGTGAATTTGTTGTCACCAGTCACCTCTAGCATATTTCTGTTTATGTCAATTTTCTCTTCAGTTGGCGGAATTCCCGAAATGGAAAGATTTACTATTTTATGCATTGGAAACAAACAAAGAAGGCGTTAGCAAGTTTTATCCAACTGGGAAATTCGGTGACAATGAAAATGCTGTATTGAATGATCGTGCAAGATTTGTTGCAAAGCAAAGCCTATTAAGTGGATTATTTCCAAATGTCTTTCGTACATTTCAAAATCAGACACTCAATGTATCAACAGTAATAGTGAGTTGATATATATGTTACGACATTCTTGTATAAACTACTATGACATTGACAGAAAAATATATGCATGCGGCCAGGTTTCATATGTGCCAGCTACAGTATGCTAACACTGATGAGTTAAGCAGTCAGAAGTGTTTGTAGGTGACGTATTACTAGATAAGGAGGCATTATAAATTATTTAAATTAATCCCAGCGTGTTAAGAAAATCAAAACAAGATTTTTCTGAACGTTTCGCTGTGTAACAATTTTCAATGCTGAAGAAGCTGTGGCTTACACAGCGAAATGTTCAGAAAAATTTTGTTTTGATTTTCTTAACACGCTGGGATTAATTTAAATAATTTATAATGAATCAATCTGACTCGGCGCTCAAATTATTCCATGAAGTTCGTAACACCTACGGCCTGGCAGGTTATGCGCTTTTTGACATTTGTGAAGCCAAACCATCTTCTATGGTTCCCCATAATTTGTATGTCGCAGATTCCGGATTTTTCTATAGCTCATTTCATTCTGTTGACGTCGTATAATTATAACCTCACTTATCTGGACAGCATCGTTCCAACTACAAGAGGCATTACGGACGAGGATGTCAAAGGCAGGATCGGAAAATCAACATGGCCACTCACTTGTATGAAATCTGTGTGGAAATCTGCTGCAACCAACATGAAAACAGTGGTTCGGATTTTCAACACTAATGCCAAGTCAATCAGTGCTTTTATATGCTTCAGAGACTCGGTGTGCGTGTCATCAAAAGTAATTCGAAGAGAATTCAGACTTGGCTGGCTCGATACTGAAAACCGGATAACTGATGGAAAGGGTAAAAAAACAAAGACCTTTGGAGACGAACCAGTCAAGAACCTCTTCGTCAACAAATATACGGAAGAAAATGTAGGCAGATCGGACACACTCTTAGGAGACTGTTCATTGCAGACAGGAACCAGGCAAGGTCTCAAGTGAAACCTGTATATGAAACGACGAGTTCGACATAGTTTCGAGGGTGATATGGAATAGTTCGTGTGAGGAGGCGGTCAGAGAGTAGAGGACAGGATGAAATGGAGATGTGCTGTTGAATCCCCGTGTTCCACTTGGGACCCAAGGGAATTGTGATAAATGAATACAGTTCATAATAGGTTCGTATCTGTACCAACTGATTTGAAACACATCGATTAGTCATTTAACCGTTACGAATGTGGTTAAAGTATGTTGGTATTGATTCTTAATTATTACAGACAGGCAATTATTGAGATGCTTTACGCCTATATGTGGCGTTTGTGTTAACTCAACCTTGATAAAGCCGACATCTGAGACACTTCATTGCCAATGTGATACAACATGAAACGAAAAATGTATTGCTACAGTGTTTCACACATTAGGATGGGATTTCGTTTTTGTTTTCTGAAGTTTCCTGGTGTATCTGAATACTAAAAGTGTTTCTACTGGATAGACTGTTCACTACATTTATAGTCATGTGACACTACTTTAGTGTGTGTGTGTGTGTATCGATGGTTTAAGTAGTGTCTTCTTCAGTTCTGATCAATCTATCGAATCACAGTTATGTAGGCTTTCGTATTCATGTTATTTCATTTGACTAGCTCTACCTAATTTGTGTTTAAAACATCAATCAGATGAGGGTAAAAGTAATCTCAAGGTGTTTTCTCACATGTTATGGCAAACGGTGCAACAGATATTCCAGCTGTGCGAAACGTCGATGAAATATATATCTAAGACAACACAGTGAAACGATTACAGTTTAGCTTTGAGCACGTAATATAAGATCACAAAAAACAACACACAATAACCATCTCCTTAGGAAATGAAAAATGTAACTGACTGTCACTATTCTGTACTATCGAATAAACAGAAAGCAAAAGCAGGTAAATTTGCTTGTATACTCACCCTTGCATAATGAAGCGAAGTGGAGGTTTCTCTGCCAAAGTAAACAGTCTTGAATAAGGACGAATATATAATGGTGATTAATGCTCATGACTAATGCTCATATTGATTTTAAATTTCATATGGCTGAATGGCATTATCAAATACATGGTGAGAAAACAGGGTAGAGGCTTACTAAGGTTAGGTTGAAAAAAGTACATGGTTTGTTTTACCTTTGCAATAATAAAGGGTGGGAGAATTTGTATACACAAGATGGAAGGTTATGCCTAAAAGGCGTCCTGTAGTACAGTATTTGTGAATTCATATATTCCACAGCATTCCATGGTAGCAATGTTGATTCAATTTGTTTCTTTTGTACACAAAGTTCTGGCTGTATTGTGTGAATTGCTACGGCTTCTACTGTTACGAGTACATGATACGTAGAGGCAGTTATAACTGACTCTACGCGAGCCCTTGAATTGATAGATACAGCAAGAGGTGATTAACCCAGGAACTTCTTCTTTCACTTTTGGAATCACACAACTGCGAGTGTAGAATATGTAGCCAGCAATTTACTGGCATTACAAGTTCTTTGAACTGATTATCTTAGCTTTTCGATTACTAACTCACTTGATGTGTCACCTTTAAACTACAGTCGCATATATACAATCGCTTTTCGAGCACAGGTGAATTCTATGAATCTCAGAAGGAGGTGTAGAATTAGTAAGATTAATAATTAAGTAGGACGGTGCGTAACAATATGAGAATCTTGATAACACTGCAAAAGAACTATACCGAATTAAACAAATAAAGGATGACAAATCAAGCAATATCGGAAATGAAATTGTTCAAAATGAAAATAATAATAATACGACCAGTCGAAATAACAGAGAATGGATATACAGGCTGAATAGACGAAACAAAAAGTAAACAGGGTCAAAGTAGAGTTGGGGAGTATAATAGTTTAGCGTAAACAGGTGAGAAGCATGAAAGGAGAAGTAGTTGAGCAGGTTTTTTCGGTATACAGTGTTCAGACTTTTCTATTCCGATGGTGAAAAGTTCAGAAGTGCTGATGAGTTGGATACTTAGTGACTTAAGCGAGTTATTTTCCGCCTTACAGAAACTGAAAAAAGGAGGTCGAGGAGATGAACTGACCAGTATCAACTAGATGTTCAATTATTCCACTTCTTATAGCTCTACTTCCACCTCTACTAGTCTCTTTATCATTGTACTACTTGTTACAGTTTCGCTCTGTCTAACTCACACCACGACTTCATTTGATATGAAATGTCAGGATAGATGGTGATTGGGGATTCTTCGAATAGTTCTGCGTTTCCAGAAATGATGGCGAATTTCAGTCTCACCAAGCAATTCGATTTTTTTGGAGCAGATCCTCAACACCTAGATCCTGCATCGTTCTGAGGTGATTCTGTCATATGCAGATGATTTAACCGAGGATATAGCTTATTAGTAATGTTTTACAGGCAAATATTTCAATAAATTGGGTTGTTGTTTGACACACTCGACACTGAAGCATTGATAGGATGTCACATTTTCATTATAACTGGTGTATTTCAGCAGAGGCATACTAAGTTGTTCATACTCCTACCAAAGCTTTTCAAGCATAAACCCACTACTGAACTGGTGAACTGAATTTCTAGGTAAGTCAAATATTCGACACCCTTAAATCATTCATTTACTGTTCACAGGTAAGACACCAATGAAGGTCAGTTCTTGGGTAATAGATTTTATTTAGGAGGTAAGGTGTGTTTTGTCAAAATAGAGGTCAAATTATCCACCAGTTTCCTCACAACTGACTCCAAGGGAGCAAATAACTCCAGGTCAATGTTTCGCTTTTATTTAAAAAGCCGTAGTGTTGTCGGAAACAATTATCCTATAAATATCAAAGTTATGTGAGTGTGGAACCTGGTGAATAAGTTATTGAAACGAATATTCACTGTTCACTGGTCAGTGTTTTAAGCATTAATTTCACAACATTCACTGTCCGTGGTTTCTGACCTATCAAGAATTGGAAGACACGGACAATCCAGTGTGTTCGCAATTATTCTCTCATCCTCCATAAAAGCACAACTTGTTGTCTTTGAACTATTCATTAAGTCACTTGATTATTTTTGTGATTTCAGTTGTACTGTCTATCTGTAACTGACTGATGACAATTTATTTATCTGCAGGAAGCTCCATACGTCATGGGCGGTAGAGTGACTAAAGATCTTGAATTGATTGGTGCCAGAGGTTTGGTGATAGATATACTCAATGAGTTTGCACGTCGTCTTGAGTTTAGGTCAGTTGAGACTTCTATTTTTTTCTTTCTTACTTGCGATTTAAATTTTTATTTAGAAAAAAAACCAATACAACCCTTATTTTGTTAAAATTTCCTTGACCAAGTTGAAGTAAAGCGATCCAAAGCAGTGAATGCACCAACAACCTTCTGGTGCACATTATGTGCACAAAGAAATGCAGGAAAACACCAAGAAGACTAATTAATTTATGCGTAAAATTATATACTACTGATTGATTGATTGATTGATATGAGATGAGTAGTTGCATACCACTCACAACAATCAGTAGCACTTACTAGCCAGATTGAAGTGACGTAAACATCGGATGGCATTTTATCTCGTTTGTGGCCGAGCTGATGATTGGTGAACAGGGTTTGACTGAGCTCAGACAGCCGAATCAGTGCAAACCACTGGAAGGGTGAAAGGTTTTTAAAATCATTGCAGACATGTTTGTCAATAACTATAGTTTAGATGCTTATCCGTATTTCTCTTCGTTCGCTTAAAATTGACCTGTTTGATGCTGATGGTCATTTGAGGGCTGTTGGTTCACCCATTCAGAAGTCGCTTCTTTATTGAAGCCAATTCAACAGAAATTCGCAAATCATAGCTTGGATGACACCTTCCAGTTTTCTAAAGAAGTCGACCATTTTGGTACATCAATCAAACTAATGGTGTCATACGATGTGACTACCTTATTTACAAACGTACCAGTGATGGAAACAATAGACATCATTTGTAAATAAACAGATCTATTGCCATTACCGAAGACAGAGATAAAGCGCCCACTAATTCTTTGCACAAAAGACATCCAATTTAGATTCAATTACCAATTCTACCGACAAATTGACGGGTTCGCTATGGGTTCACCTCTAGGACCTATTCTAGCCGACATCTTCATGGGCTATTTCGAACAGGCGCGACTGAGTGACTCTATCAATGAAACAAAATACTATCGTCAATACGTCGATGACACGTTTGCTGTTTGTAACGACATGAGTCAGGCATCCGTATTATTTGACAGCCTTAATGAGATCCACCCAAACATTAAATTCGCCATGGAATATGAACACAACGACGAGTTCAATTTCCTGGACCTGAATGTAAAAAGAAGAAACGATGGAACGGTCGAAAAGTTCATCTACAGAAAAGAAACCTGGACTGGATAATACCTTCACTACAACAGCTTCTGCCCTATTAGCCATAAGCGGGGCTTAATAAGGATATTGTACGACAGAGCCAGGAAGTTATGTTCGCCTAACAAGACGAAAGAAGAATTAAGCTTCGTTGAAATATGCCTTAAGGAACACGGGTATCCATAGGGATTTATCCCAAAGTACAGCAAAGAACGAGATGAGAAAGAGAAGTATCCAACAGTTGAGAAGAAGAAAGTGTTCATTTGCCTCCCTTACAAAGGAGACGCAGTATGACAAAAGATTGAAAAAAGGATAAAAGGAGCAATACAAAGATGCTTCCCTGCAGCCAAGCTGGTGACACTATACAGCACTACATGCTCTATAAACCAATCGAAACTGGATAAGCACCCTGCTGATGTTACTTCCAACTGCATTTATGAATTTATGTGCACCTGCGACAGCAAGTACCTTGGAAGGACAGAAAGAAGGGCTTCTATCCGGTTTTCAGAGCATATTCCAAGAAACTTATGCTTAAAAGGAAGCAGATATTAAAAAAGTGCAATTACCAGACATCTTGTGGATACAGGTCATTTCGTCGAGATTTCCATATCCTCCAAAATATTAAACATACAAAGGACAGCGAATCTACTACGATTTACTGAAGCAATTGCAATCAAACTTTTCAGACCAAACTTATGCATACAAAAAGAGAGTGTAGTCAATCTCTCACTCCCTTGGTAACCGTATTACTTGCATTACACTGATTAGTCATACACACTAGTGAGCTCAGCTCACTAAGCACGTTTTCAATTTGATGAACTTTAACCTTCTTGAGTTTCTATGTTGACGTACAAGCTAACAATGTTTATTAGATTTATACTTATATTCCGATGCATCTTATAATGTTTTCACTATTTAAATTGTAATTTCAGGTAGTTTGCAGTTAGCTGATAAGAACCTGTGAAATAGAATGCTGATATCATTTTATACTGCAAATCTGGTCTTTCTTTCTCTATCGAGATATTTTCTTATTGTTCGAAAAACATAGGCGAACGAAAATGTTTGATTGCATCATGGAATAGAGTGTAGTTGGTGTAGGCCTCTCATTGAGACCAATCGTTCACTTTACCTGCTGCGATATCTGTTCATCTATCAGACAGCTGTAGCAGGAATTTTATCAACTGGCTTTTTACTACTAAAGCACACTTTACAGTTTAATTTATCATGGGTTGGAAGTGGAATAAAGCACACACAGCAATAAACAACCGCATAAAGTTACTGGCTTGCAGAAATGAATGATGACTGTTTTATTTTTAGTATTTTCATTTTATTCGTATGCGTTCTTAGTCGACCATAGGCTATAAAGTTTGAACTTTGAAGTCATATTAGTAGTAGTAGTGGTAATAATACACATTTGATGGAATGGTTTTGCTATCCTCGCACCCAACTTTTCCTCTTTACTCGGCTTACTTCAGACTAAGTGAGGTTTAGGAGTGCGTCGGCTGACGATCAAACTGCTGACCACCTTCGTGGTTGGCGAGTATTCCACCGATTGTTAGCTGCAATAGATAACCATAATGACTATCTACCAATCAAATGCCAGTTCTATCTAGCTAACCATGACTGTAACGTGCTCATTGGCTGTCCTTATATAAAATCACCTTTCAGAAGACTGAAAATCACTCAAAAACAAATTATTTTAACGCCTAGTATCATACTGTTGTGTGAAACTGGTGGTTAGGAGAATCGGACTGCCTTTAATTTACGTGGTGTTCGTATACAAAATTACTAAAACAGTCAACCTGCACATGTGAAACACTAAACTGAAAGGGCTAATCAAAAAAGGGGTTTTGAGTAAATAGATGACATACAGTTACAATTCGAAAAATTGCAGAATATTCATTCTTTATACTTACTACTTGACTTACTATTCATTCCAGCTATCGACTATTCCTCCCACCGGATGGAGAATATGGAGCGAAAATTTCAAACACAACGTGGAGTGGAATGATTGGTGAATTACTGGCCAAGGTATATTTGAAGTTTACTCTTTTGAGAAAGTCCCTCCCATTTTTAAATTTAGTCATTATTAACGGCAAGACCATCTTCTTGAAACAGTCTTTTGAATAGGTAGACTGCTGTTGATCGAATGTGTTATAGCTGAGAGGTATAAAGTAAACCTAGACAGCTGGAGAACTAGAGACTCAGAAGCTGGCTAGCTTGAATCCTGGTATTAGGTAGATCATTATTCCACCTCCATTGTATAAAATATTTAACACAACTATGCTAATATAGCAAATGGGGTTTTACTCGCATTTACATATCTTGCGGTACTGCGGATAATATGAGATACCATTGGGATATGAATTCTTACTTTCCAACTATTTTCGATTACTTCGTGTACTCAGCTTCCTTAAAAAATCCTAAAGGGATTGTTTGTAGGGATTTGATTCATCTTAAATTTGACCATGGGTTGATACCGATTAGAGAGATAATCTTTGAAAACCAGGGAGTACTATTTAGCCACTTCGTTCTAGTTTGAGACTCCTCAGCAAAAAACACCCATGGCTTCACAGGGGATCGAACCCGGGACATTCGGGTTGTACTCTAAGCTTGTTGCCCATTCAACTACTTTAGCCGGAGTTCATTGACGCGCGAACGCCAAATTCTGTCAACTAGCGATTCTAGTGTGAATTCCAGGCAGTGTTGCTGGCGAGGTTTTGTCCAACACCTGACCTGAGGGAAGCCAATAGTCACAACTTCTCACTGGAGCTCCAGGTAACTTATTCATGTCATCAGACGCCAGTGAGCATCAGACTGATTTTCAAGGTTTATTTCAAGTGGGATCACAGACTGACAATTTTGTTCAACACAATTATCACCTAATATGCTTCTTGCTTTTTTATATATTTAACATTGATTGTTTAGAGAACTGATATTATAGCAGCTCCACTAACTGTGAACGATGAACGATCAGGATTCGTGTATTATGTCGGACCGTTTATGGAAGACACAATGGGTATTTTAATTAAAGTTCCTGATCAAAATGAAGAACTGTTCCAAATGTTTTTACCTTTTCGTTATGATATATGGCTCTGCTTGGTTGCTTCAGTATTCATTGCAGCCTTGGCAATTACACTATTCAGCATTATAAGTCCGTTTAGTGCCTGGAATTTAGCCTTACCTGGAGCGACATCTGATGAAGTTTCAATATACCACAGTATCTGGTTTACAGTCGGTGGTATGCTAATGCAAGGTTGGTTAGTAAATGTTTAAGAAAATTAATCAGGTCTTACGTTCTTAGAAAGCAGTAGTATATTTTGATAAACAAATGTTTATCCTACAGCTTAATATTATTATTATTATCATTTGAAAAATATCATTTTGATATAAATAACAAATAGAAAATCAGAACAAGTGATGATTCAGCGAAGAGACTCTTTTCAACTACGAATTTATCATCAAGCTGTACAGTCGTATATCAACATGGTTTTTAAGAGGTTATATCCGGTGAGGGAATCGAATCGTAGGTCTGAGTGAATGCATAAAATAATAATAATAGTAGTATGAAATGCAATTAAAACTAAAATGTTTGTGATTATAATCATAGTTAGATGTCAATTATTGTCATAAAGAGAATAATTCATAAGATGTATAGATGATGGAAAGGGTGTGCAATTATTGGATTAGTAGACAAATCGAATAAAATAAAAACGTTATGTGACTTCGTGTGAAATTTGATAGCATAGAATTTAACGTTGTAAAAAAGAATTGATTTAGAATGACAAGTGGAACAAGTGAAATAATACCGGGGATAGTTCAAAGTGAGAATAGTAATAGTAACAACTGACGTGATAAAGTAAGAGTATACAAAGTGAATAGACAAAATGGAAAAATAAAAATTGGTAGAGCCAAAATATGATTAGGGATTACCATACTTTAGCATAGACGGATTAAGACCATGAGAGTTGCAGGGGTTGAACGAACTTTTTTGTACACAGAGATCTGACTTCTCTGTTTCGATAGCCAAAGCTTCAGCAATACAGATGTGTTGGGTAGGTAGTGATTTCGGTAAATTACTTTTTGCCTTGTAGATGACTTTAAAGGCGGAGGCTATAGAGATAGGGTGATCATTATCGACCAGATGTTCAATGATCGCGCTTCTTATTGCTCCACTTCCACCTCTTCGTAACCATGCAGGATAGTGTTCTTGCACCCTCTTGCACAAAACTTGACTCGAACGACCGATATACCTAGCTCCATGCGAGCGATGATAAACACACATACGTTATTCAAGTGTTGGTTTGTACGGATTTGATTGGTTACAGGATTTTCATCATGAGCTGACATAGAGTTAGTCAACAGCGGCATCTTGTCCTTCAGGTTATTGAACAGTAACGGTCGACTGGTAAAGGCTATTCTCAGAGATGCAGCAGGAAATGTTCTTTTCAGGGACTGTGCTATCCTTCTTTTCATGATATCGGAAGCGAAGTCACCTCTGACATCCAAGCTCATGTACAGTATTTTCTTGGGTGCGGATGATTAGTCACATTTCATAAGATTTCAATTTGAATTCTTGTCCATAAAACGTGGTCGAAATCCATTTTCTATTGGGATTTTCCTCAAAAGATTTATCTCATCCTCCACAGTATCAGGGCTACATATGCGCCGAATGCGAGTGGCAAGCGACTGGACTAGGTTTCGTTTTCGACCAATGGGTACCCAGCTGTAGAAATTTGTCAGTTGACCATTCCATGACAGCTTTCGATAAATCGATCTCTTCAGAGTTCCATCGGTCCTCCTTGATAAGTTCACATCGAGGAAATGAATACTAGACTCGTTCTCCATTTCGTGTGTGAATTTTATCGCTGGATGGCAACCATTAAATGCATTTAATATATTATTCAAATTACAATCACTATTACAAATAATAAAGGTGTCATCTACATACCTTTTATACATTTGAAAGCTTTGGATTATTGGCTTCAACTGACCATTTTCTAGACTGGACATAAAACAGTTTGCAAGGAGAGGACCCAAGGGAGAACCCATTGCAATACCATCCTTCTGTCTGTAGATTGTTTCATTGAAAGTAAACTGTACATCCAATGTACATCTCAAAACTAGTTCTTTCAGATCTCTATTGGGTATCCCTATATTCAGTTTGTTGTCTTCAATATATTTGCATATTTGCATTCACTCAGACATACGATTCGATTCCCTCACCATGTTGATATACGACTGTACAGCTTGATGATAAATTCGTAGTTGAAAAGAGTCTCTTCGCTGAATGGATCACTTCTTTTGATTTTCTACATGTTACAATGAGAATTTTTCATGAGTTAAAATAAATAACAAAGACGTACGTTAGCCTGAAATATTCTTTTTGTAACTTCACTTCAAAGCTGTACATCTACAGAGTGTTCTTAAGGGTTCTGGAAATCTCTATAAAGGTCAACTGTTGATATCAATTGGCAACAAACCATGTGAAATTACACATCAGCGAAAGTAATAATGAACAAATCAAGGAATTTAGTTAATCAGTTTCGATGTAGTTGTGTCCTCTGAGCTGGATGGTTTATTTGTAAAGCTTTCATTGCCCTACTTACTAGACAACATCTTCAGCGCATACTGCAATTTACTGAAGTGAGCTTGTAGATTTCTCCACGAGTTTTTAAGTCATCTCTCCTGGAATTGATGTCGCACACAAACCAACAAAATCACTTCACTCAGCTGGCTCTATGTCAGCCAAAAGACTCATCAGTGAAAGAAGATAAAGCCAACATCATCCATCAAATAAGTTGCAATGACTACGAAAAACACTACATTGGCCAAAGTGGACGTCGTCTTCATCTTCCTATCCATGAACACAAACTAGCCGTCAAAAGACATGACATCCACTCCCTCATATCGCCTTACTGCATACAGACAACCACAGATATCTATTCGACTGTGCCAACGTTCAAATATTAGACAGAAGAAACACCGAGAATGCCAGGAAATTTTTAGAAGGCTGCCTGGTATCCCAGTGAATCGTGAATTGATATACACATTGACATAGACAAAATTCACCAATCGATTAGAAGGATATCTCATACACAAAGGGTCAAACTTCAGGTCAAGGAAACAATCAGTACCAAAACAAGTAGTCTAGAAGATGTGAAAACACACAAAAACAACCAATCACCTTGAAGGTCATCGACCAGGAGAGATGACTGATAAACTCGTGGAGAAATCTAAAAGCTCACTTCAACAAACTGAACTGTATGCGCTGAAGATGTTGCTTAGTAGAGCAATGAATTCTCCGCACATAAACCCTCCAGCTCAGAGAACACAACTACATCAAAATCGTCCACCTGAGCTACAAATCTTCACCATTATATTTAGTTAAGCAGTATTACGTAATCTGAAAACATTATGTGGTGAATATTACTGAGAAATGATTACCACTAAGAACTACAACCAAGAAGACTGTTCGTAAGACTAAGAAGTTTAGATTACGTGTAAAGCCTATTTCGAAGTTAGAAGTTTTAAGAGAAAGAAGAGGAAGAAATGAATACAAATGGATTACATACCAGATTATTGTAAAAGATGAAAAAATAGTTCAAGGCCACGGTAGTGAAGGGAACTGGACAAACACAAGAAAATACTCTGAACTGTATATACACAAGCGATTTGCCCATTCCTTTTACGACTGGAGCTGTCAATGGACGTGAACATTGAACGTTTGTTTTATTGGAACTGGCAACCATTGGTGGGCAATTCGAAGGCGCGAATGGAACGATCGCTTGCAAGTTGGAAGAAGGTGGAAAGAACACGAATAAAAACTTTGTATTTTGTCTCGCTTTAATTGCCAAACAATATAATTTCGTTCAAGGAATACTGGTGTTTTGGATTTAAAGTTGAGATATATACATAGTATTTATCGGTTCAAAACGAAAACGTCTTCACATAAATAGGAACTTAGGGCTTAGTTCCTTGACAGGGGCTTTAATTTCTTCAGCGGCTGACTGCTGGATGTAAAGTTCAACCTAAATTTCTACATTTTTGAGTACATTTTGTTCTAAAATGCATAAACTGTTGTGGAGAATCATGGTCAACTACCGCATTAGAAGAGTCAACGAGTAAGTGAAGTTCCCTTTTCAGTGGATTATAGAGACAATCTATGCGGTAAAGGAGATCAAGATTAGATTTAAAATAAACTTAATGAGCTTTCTTTCCACAGGACAAGAACTACGAGCCATCGCTGGTTCTGCAAGGACAGTAACACTTCTCTACTGGCTTCTAGTTCTGGTAATTCAAGCCACATGGCAGGCTGATTTGACAGCATTTTTAACCAGAAATGTTGTACAAATTCCTGTGTCATCGTTGGATGATCTTGCAAATTCAGGATATACAGTGGCTGCCAGAGAAAACAGTGGATTGAAGAAAATATTCGAGGTTTGTCTGCTTTCAATTATTGTGAATTTCCTAGTTAAATTTTCAGGATTTATTGCGATTAAAGCCTATTAGTGGTATATTACTCCTTCCACATGTTCTGAGTGGAGTCCAGGGATTTAACCAGGGATGCTAATGACGTTTCATTTCCTCTTTACATCATCTTTTCCATCTCGCCGTTACACTCAAAATCATCTCGTCACTTCTCATTCGAGTTCCACTTGATGGCCTGCGTAACGTGTGGTGTCACTCCACGTTCTCATAAATGTATGTCCAATCCATCTTCATTTCCTTGTTCATATTTCTTGGTTGGAGAATAATGGGTCGTTGCCTGTTGGCTTAGTTGTGAGAACCCCTTGGGGCTTTCTGTTTCTGGTCGGCCATCTATTCTTCAGTATCCAACCAATATAGGTGTTGACTAAAGTCTACAGACTGTTGGGAATCCTTATGGCAACATGTGTGCCGAATCCCCGAAGTATATACAAGAATCCACTTAAAATTACTGTTGGAAATTAGGGTGTTTTTCCATACACTTGATCTCCCCACTGATTTCTGAGTAAATGAACAGCTGTCCTCCCTTACCAATTCCATCCCAACTGGTTTTGACATCCTCATTCGTTCTTCCTGTGGCTGGAATGATTTCTTTGAGATTTCTCCTATTGACAGTAATTCGGGTTGATTAGGTATCCTTATCATATCTGCTCCCTGTATGTTCACCTGACGTTTTGTACTATCAGCCTGTTCTGGCAGCTTGTCTGTTTCCGCTTGTATATCTTAGACTGTGCTGAAGCTTATTGGGGAGACATTGTAATCCGACTTCATCACATTACATGCTTGCGTATTTATCTGTACTGATTTGTTAATAAATACAAGGAAACACGAAATCATTAGTGAGTCAGTCAGTCAGTCAAAGCCGCTTATATGATAAGAAGCACACATGATAATGAAATGCATCATCCTAATTCTATTGGTGGTTCCCTTATATTCTAACACAGATTGACTTTTTTGGCTTCATTATTAAGGATACAAGAGTGCCCTTGTGTAGGTAGAATCTTCAGGAATCTTAGGGATGTGTAGGTTGGAAACTGAAATTTGGTCTGCTGTGTGGCTGGTGACCATTTTGTTATTAAACCAGCAGTGTACAAAAACCAAGGGGTAATGGCCAGCCATTTTGTCCTAGTATTAAGTCCTTCAGCGGTACATTCAAATGGCCCTAACGGGGAGCGATACTAAGGCCTTTAGATAACGAGCCGAGCCTGCTTACCATCTGGTCACTGGAAAGAAATGACATCCAACAAACGCATCTTCAAGTAAATTCCAATGAGTAGTCGACTACTCACCTTTACTTCTTTAGAGTTTATTGCTGTTTGTCGGCTATAATAGTAATGTGACCTGTCAGCTGAGGAACAGAGGGATACAAGTGAAATTTTATTTAGCGTGTACCATTCAGTAACAAACACATCAGTGTGAATATTTCATTTTTCCACTGATTCAGACGTATATTGATTAGCTTAGTGATTAAACTCCTAAAGCTTACTCAGGTGTGCACATATGCACTTCACGTACATCCATGAACAACAGATGTAGTGCATCACAAAGTCGTTTTAAGGCAGTGTACTTGCCATAACTTCCGTTCAACTAATAACCTCTAATCAACACTGAAAACTGGATACCTTTTCATTCATTAAACTTTTGTGTTACGCATACTTTCAGCTGCCCTGACACCTGAGTTAGACCATTTTTTAAAACCTTCTGGTCTACTGAGATTTATAGTCAACATGCATTCCTGTGTTTTTAAACTGTGACTTTACAGCGTGGAATCGGAAATCCAGTTTACTCAAAGATATTTGACAAAATCAGCAAGAATGGTGTCGATATCATTTCTCTGGATCAAAGTGTTGAGTTTGTACGCAATAGTACATATAATGTGTTTTTGGGTAACAGGATAACACTACTACATTATCCATATGCTGAAACGGATACCTTGGATGTTGTTGAAGTCAAAGACATTGTTATACCACTTTCATTTGCTGTTAGATTAGACGAAGAGTATGCCAGCTTAATGTTGAACTTGTAAGCTACTACTACTACTTACACATAAGAATATTTCTCTATTTTGATTTTGTTTGTATCCTTGATTTAAGATTGCATGTGTATCTATTTTATTTTGCCAGAAAGTTGGCTGGTTGTTCAGCATTAAGTAAAAACATTTTTTAGGATTAAGGCAAGCGGATTAAGTAGTATGTTTTCTTTCCTGAGGAAATAATTTGATGGCATTGTTTGCACGCTATTAACCTGCGAGTGTATCAGTTCTGATCCACAATAGCTCTGTGGTAACGTCTGTGATTGCAATACTGAGCGATACGGATTCGAATCTCAGAGACGATGACATTTCCTCAAAGATAACAGATATACTTTACTGACGGATGATAGGAAGCATGAAACTTAAGTCCAAGGTTTCCTGATGACTGTTTCTAGCCGTCCAACACATTCATCGTGTCTTAAACCCTATAATTACAGACAGATCAATGAAGAGATACAATGGTGACACCAATTTCATACACTGTATCACTGGGTTTTTTTCCATAACTGAATATAATTCGCATAATTTAAATCATTTCTTAGCTCTCATTAGAAATTAAGGCACATCTTCACAGTAATAGAATTAGCTCCATAATGGATAGGATTTTATTTTAATAAATCACACAGTGTTGTACAGTTAAATTAACTGATGACGTTTCGAGCACAAACTATTGCACATAATCATATCAAGTTACTCACACAACTTCTTTACTTCGTTTATATACATGTGTGGAATCGATAAGTTATTGGAATAAAATTCAATATGAGATAATGTACATTCAGAAATAATAGTACGAGTGTGCGTCGGTGGCACAGTGGTTAGGACTCTCGCCGACCATGCACATGGTCCGGGGTTCGATCCCCTGCCGGCGCACACCTGATATCTATGGTCGGCCTGAATTTGGGCTACCGATATCCATGCTGAAAATTCCACACTTGTACTCAAAATACGGTGTGGAATCAAGCTGTAAATCAAAATAAAAAATAAAATAAAATATTAATCCATTACAATTAGATGGGAAATACGACGAGTGTTTTTATAGTCATAATAAGTTAATTGTTAGAATGTTATGATGTGTTTGAATTGAAATAGAATTTTAAGATTATTTATTATTCTCTTCTGATTTGGCCGGAGGCAATAATATCTTCCATATTTCTGGTACTTGCATTGAGTCATTTCTGTTGCATGTATTGGGTGTACACTCAATGAACAAGGATTCCGTAATCAACCTCTCTCTCCACCTACCTATGTTGCTCTTTAGAATTTTAACCCTATCCCACCCTATTTGTGGTTGTTCGTTAATGCGTGAAGTGCAATTGCTGAGCTTTTTTCTAAATTACTTATCTTTTCAGGGTCAACCATTCTTACCTTAGCTAAATTCTTATGTTCTGATAATCTGACTATCCCCGGCCTACTAGTTTGACCTATGTAGTTGACCACACAGTCATTGCAGGGTATTTTGTAAATTATATTGTCTAATTGGGCCCACCGGGTCCTTCAGCCTACAGAGCTTGTCCCTGCCTGAGTGAATTTGTAGGTTTAAATGCCACTCTAATTCCTGTTTTATTAAGAATCCTACGTAGGGTCTCAGTGGATGACTTATATTCTCTCTTATTTATGTTATCATTACTAGTTCCACAATTATTTTTATTTTGTTTTTGGCCTTTAGTTATCTTCCTAATGAATTTTCAAGGATAATTATTCAACACCAACGCTTCTTCTATCTGTTTTATCTCGTCGTTTAGGTCTTTTTTTGTGCTGCTTAGTGCTATGGCTCGGTTTGTTAGACACTTAACTAAGCCTGCCTTAACAGTTAACGGATGCGACGAATTAAAATCTAAATATCTATTAGAATGCGTTGGCTTTCTATACACACTAGTGTGAAGTTTACCTTCTTCTATTTGTTTTATTTTACAATCTAGCATAGCTAACTCTCTTTGTTCATCTTCCGATTCAAATGTGAATTTTATTCCCTCTACCAGTGAGTTAATATGTATCAAGAAGCTAGAGATATGTTCTGTTTTTAACACTGTGAAAGTGTCATCCACATATCTCCACCATATTTTTGGAGTAGGACTAAATGTATTTGGAGCAATACATAGGTAGGTGGAGAGAGAGGTTGATTACGGAATCCTTGTTCATTGAGTGTACACCCAATACATGCAACAGAAATGACTCAATGCAAGTACCAGAAATATGGAAGATATTATTGCCTCCGGCCAAATCAGAAGAGAATAATAAATAATCTTAAAATTCTATTTCAATTCAAACACATCATAACATTCTAACAATTAACTTATTATGACTATAAAAACACTCGTCGTATTTCCCATCTAATTGTAATGGATTAATAGCACCCGTACTATTATTTCTGAATGTACATTATCTCATATTGAATTTTATTCCAATAACTTATCGATTCCACACATGTATATAAACGAAGTAAAGAAGTTGTGTGAGTAACTTGATATGATTATGAGCAATAGTTTGTGCTCGAAACGTCATCAGTTAATTTAACTGTACAACACTGTGTGATTTATTAAAATAAAATCCTATCCATTATGGAGTTGTACTTTACCACAGTGCCCAAGTTTTATACTTATATCAATAACAGAATTAGCTTTTAGTTTAAAAATGAATTAACAGATATAGAAATCAATATGCCATCCAATATGCATCAGAAACCAGACAACTGTAATACATGATACTATAAATGCTATTTTATAAGCATTTTAAGGGATTTCGCATTCTAATGCTATGCAAAAATCTACTATAATATTGTTGAGAGGAAAGATAACAATTTTAGACTCAGTTCACGCCTTTCATAATTCATTAATTATACGTGTAACTAATCTGTTTGTTGGCTTTTAGTGATGCTTTTTCATTTTCTCTTTTTTTTCTAAAACTTTTAATAACTCAGCATGTCGACACTAAGAGAAAGAGGAGTAATCGATCATTTACTTGAAAAATGGGATGTGGAAAAGTCGAAAATTGTAGCTAACACAGCTTCTTACAATTCAGTAACACTTCGGAATATATCTGGTGCATTTATAGTGTTGTCTGTATTTATTGTGGTTAGTTTAATAGTCTTAGTTATTGAAAAGTTTTGGTATAAACATGCGTTGAATAAAGCAAGTCTCAATCCAAAGGGTAAAGAAACAGAAAAAGAAGGTCATCCTGGTATATGGCGACGCTTTACTCATCCTTCAGCTGAACTACCAAAACCAAAATTAGATCTATCACGGAATCCTACACTAAAACAGTTAAGATATGCAGGTCATAGAAGAGCGTCAGCAGCTTTCGATGCTACTGTTATCACTGCCGATCACCATCATACGGAATTAGATGTCGATTAGAGATGTCAGGTTTAACAACGTGTCTATATAATATGGACGAAGGCTTACTAACAACTTTGTGCTGTCAGAGTGAAAGAAGATGATGAATAACCAATCAAGAATGGATACAGTAAATTTTGTTTATATTAGTACTGAAATACATGGAACTGACCGTAATGCTTCTTTTCTTTCTTTTTTTTTAATTTAAAAGATGAAAAGGGATAATTTACACAAGTGCTAGTCAACCTTATATTTTATCATTGGTTGCATTTATTGTTTATTCAGTTGTAGTATTAGACAATTTCTAACGTTTACACCTTAAGATAAACTCTGTGTTACACCATAAATATAAATGTGTGTTCAATAGCAGTAAAATTGTCTCACTACTTTTATATATTTTGACTTCTTGTCATCAATAGACTTCTGAAGATAATGATACTTTTAGAAATTAAGAGATGTGTTAATGAACAATTTCATCCACCAGTTGGTTGGTTGTCAGCGTTGAAAGTTGAATAAGATATCATTTGACTCTGATGAATTAGGTGGGCGAATGATACAAATGAAACATATCAACGTTTATGCGAAAATGGATTATTATAATTACTATTCTCTTGAGGATCCAGGTGGAATTCGGAGCTTCAATGGGATATCAGCACTGAATTCTGCTATCTGTTGTCCTCTTTACCTGACTCCACGATTGCCCACTAGCTATCATTCCCTCCATGTAACACTCGAACGCATGCTCGTCTCATCACTTTTCATTCAGCTTAAAGTCTAGGCTCTGTCTGGCTCACGATGTCAATCAACTATCAACTCAGCGTGTGTCTTATCCATCTTTATTTCGTCTGTTCATTTATCGCGCAACAGACTCTTAGTTGGTTCTTTCCCACAGTTAGTTGTTTCTATTGCTTTGTGGATGGCATTATGAGGCGAAAAAAGATGCTGATGAAAATCTCCAGTATACTGCTCGAAATGCTTTTGATAACACGCACACCAAGACTCTGAACTATATAAAGGCACTGGCTGCCGTCACATTAGTGTTGAGAATCCGAATCTTGTTGTTTACTTTGAGTGCAGTAAATTTACACACTGATTTCAGAGTGTTCAATGTCTGTTTTGTCTTCCTGACTATATCATTGACATCTTCATCCGGGCCACCTGAAGATGGAAGGGTGCTGCCCTAACAAACAGATGAATTGACCACATTAGAATTTCTCCTGATGGTAGTGATCAATACCAGTTGATGCTCACTGGTTATATCCATTACCTGTGTCTTCTCCATATCCACTTGAAGTCCTGTCTTCCATGCCGGCCTCCTCGGCTATATAAACATATAGTTTTATTATCATTTTTCTTCCCATTATCCACATTTGATTACCACTCTATTACTGCTGACTAATAACATTGCTTCTTCATACAAATTTTATATACAAACACTATCGCCTCTCCACTAGTTCGCGTCCATTCTACAGAGTTTATTGATTAGTCATTATCTCACACTTTTTATGTCATGCCTACTTCTGTCTCTTTTCAAACTTACAGTAAATCATTGTTTCTAGGTTGCACCTTACATTATGGAATACAACTTTTCAACGACAAAGTTTACCAGTATCTGATTGTTCCAAAGATTTCCGTGTTTAATATAATTACGATTGTACAGCTCATGAAAATGAATCGTCGAAAAGAAAATTTTCTTCGCTGTTTGTGCCTTGTTCTTATGACTCAATATTTTTTTTCGATTACAGCTTGATTCCACACCGTATTTTATGGTACAGGTATGGAATTTTCAGCATGTGATATCGGTAGCCCAAATTTTGCAGGCCGACCATAGATATCAGGTGTGCGTCGGCGGGGGATCGAACCCCGGACCATGTGCACGGTCGGCGAGAGTCCTAACCACTGTGCCACCGACGCACAGTTCAATCAGATACTGGTGAACTTCGTCCTCGGAAGATGTATTACGTAATGTTAGGTGTAACCTAGAAGCGATGACTAATTGTAAGTTAGAAAAGATACAGAAGTTGGCATGACCTAGTAGGTGTACGACAATGACTAACAACAAGCTCGTGTAGAATGGACAGCGACTAGTGGAACGGCGATAACGTGTTTGTATATAAAATCTGTATGAAAAAGCAATGTTATTAATACACAGTAATAGAGTGGTAATCAAATGTGGATGAAAGGAATAATAATGATACTGAAATAACAATAATTTTAATTACCTCAAATCCCAACCACTATCTCTTTCTGAATATATCAACTGTCTCCTGCGGCAAAACATAATATATTGAAATTTGCTTGTACATCATTATGTTATCATTCCATTGGGTTTCAATTAAAATATAGTGTTTCTACTGCAAGTCTGCATTTCATCCTATCCTCTTCAGCTTTTCTTAGCTGGCTTCTCGACTGCCCGAAACCTTTGATATTCTCTTGACGCGAGAGAGTCTGTCACGCGATGTCACTCACCGGTCTCCTAAGCGCATGTTCGATCCATCGCCGTTTTCTTCGGCATATTTGTCTGGCAGCAGGTTCTTGATTATTTCGTTCCTAGAGTTTCTTGTCGCTAATTTTTTCTGGCTATTCTTCGGTATGGAGCCAGCAAAGGCAGTTGTTGATGGAAGTCTGCGGTGGTCTGTCCGAAATGCTCTTCCGTCATGCGTCAAGTTTCTGACCCATATAGAAAAACTGACTGCCTTAAAATTGGTGTTTAAAATTTGGATCTTTTTGCTTATGCTGATTGCGTAAGATTTCCAAGCTGAATTCAGAGTGATAAAGGTGTGTCTTGCCTTTCCGATTCTGTGCCCCTTGCCTGTAGTTGAAACTATGCTTCCGAGATAAGCAAATGAAGTTATCTCTTTCAAATTTATCCCGTTAGTAGTGATTGGTGCTTGTTTTTGTTGTTGTTGGTTGGTTATCTTCACCACCTCCGTCTTCGCCATGTTAAATTGGAGTCCTGTTTTCTCCGCTTCTGCTGCCAACTTAGGGGTCTTCTCCTATAAGCCTTCGAGTACATATGATACTAGACAACAATCATCTAAAAAGCATAGATCTTCTAGAGTCTTCTTATCGGTTCAACGTACCGCTGTCTTCTCACTCCCACGCAAGGTCTGACTTATGATCCAATCCATCACAACCAAGAATATCATTGGTAATAGTTGGCAGCCTTGTCTTACTCTTAACTTCAAAGGCTTTGCTCAGTTTTTCATTGTGGATCACTTTACTTGTGGCGCTATCATAAAGCTCTTGAATGAGGTCGATAAAGTTTTGAGACACTCCACAGTCAAGAAGCAGTTTCCAAATTAATTCTCGGTCAACGCTGTCGAAGACCTTTTCGAAGTCGATGAAATTGAGGTAGAGGTTCGACTGCCATTCTTTGCTTGGTTCTGAATCCAGATTGTTGCGGTAGTCAGGTGGAGTTCTGTATCCAGTGCATCTTTTATTCTCTCCAGAATGATGTGACTTAGTATTTTACTTGGCATGGACAAGAGCATGATTCCATGCCAGTTCTTGCAGAGTGAGAAGTAAGTCACCCTTCTTCGGTAATTTGACAAGGTAGCCTTTTTCCAGTCAGCAGACACCATTCCTTCCTTGCAATAATGCCGTCAGCATATCCATTACAGTCTCTGGACCCAATTTTGTGCTTCGGGGAAGTGAATTCCGTCTGTTCCTGCTATCTTCCTGGACTTCTGTTAGTGCTGTTGGTGGCATTTCTGGGCGAGTTGCAGGTGATGGTCGTTTCAAGAGTCCTTTGAAGTGATCAGCCCATTGCTGTATTTGTTTCTCCTCCTTGGTAATTAGTTCCCCTTAACCATCTTATATAGGTTTCACCTGCGTTGGTTCCTTCCCGAAAAGAGACCTGATTATCTGATGTAACATTCTCAGGTCTCCTTTACCTGTGGTCTGTTCTGCTTCAGTTGCCAGTGTGCGCAGAGTTGTATTTTGTCTTTCCTAGCACTATTCACTTCTTTATTCCCTGCGTTATTAACTGAACTCACTGTTTGTACATTAGTTGCTTTGAAAGACTTTTTAATGTTAAATTCGTATACAAAGCAGATTTGACGACGAGTATTTTCATTAGTGAAAATTATGCATCATAAAAGTTGCAGATTCCTAAAGACTGTAATAGCCGAAGTAAGTCTTACAGGCAGACAGAGAGATGGCATTGCGATGAAATCGCCACTTGGTCCACTAGGGGCTGACTGTTTTATGGCAAAGCTTGAAAACTCTCATCTTAGTCAAACCACCAGTTGCTGTGACATTTATAGAAAATATGTAGACTAAACTCTCGTAATCTGCGATAATAAAGTAATTCTTGATGATGTCTTGTTTGCATTCAACAACTGCCACCCTTCTTTACAATTCACCAGAGAAAAGGAATCTGAACTAAGTATTCCGTTTCTTGATGTGTGCCTTAGTAGACCTAATGAAGGATCTCTCAAAAGATCCATCCACCGGAAACGTACATGAAACGGACAACTAACTAATTTTTATAGTTTGGTGCCAATCTCCAGGAAAAGTAACCTAATTCATTCGCTCTGCTCTAGAATAAGAAACGTTTGTAGCTCTGATTGCGTTGACCCAGAACTTAACTTCCTAAAAGCCACGCTCGCAGAAAACGGTTACCCGAACCGATTTATTGACAGTAACACGAAAAATAAGCAGTCTAAACTGGTCACCGACTCAGTTCCAAAGAAAACCCTATTCATGAACTTGAAATTCAAAGGTGATCAAGTCAGTAAGACGGTTTTTGCAGCAAAATTACAAGTGACGTTCACCAGCCACATCTACCTCTGTGAAAGATAAACTCCCCCGTCTGGCTGCCTCCATGTACATCTATCAGTTCACCTACTCTTGTGGAGCAAGGTACATTGTCGCAGCCAGAGAACGCTTTCCACACGGATACGAGAACATAGTCCAGCATGTTTTTACAACGGAGAAAGAAAGTGTGTGCGAAGCTGTATTCTAGAACATCTGATCGGATCCTGTCACTCTACCAACCCTGACCATGATTTTAAAAACATCTACCGAATCCATGCTAACTCGCCAGCCGCTTTTTCTTCGTTACAGACTTCTAAAGACAGTGGAGGCCTTGGCCATTTATGAATTTAAGCCAGACCTTTGTTTACAAAAGAAGTATGTACACTCCCTACTTCTGCCTTGACCGTAGAGGGATAGACATTT